TTTGATTTCCAGATTCTTTATTCTTGTTTCATTATTTGTGTCTTCAATTATGTTCTGATTTTCTCTTAAAAGTATCGTTTTATCAAAGCTGACAAACCTTGCAGGATTTTGGCTGAGAATTTATTAAAATTTTCCTAAACAAGCATAAAATTCTGTGTTATTGAGTTCACCGTAAAAGTAAATCCTTGTAACCTATTAATAAATCGAAATTATTTGAACAGTTGTGCTCAGTTATGATTCAATGAACAAACAGAAATAAATCAAGTGAGGGTGGCCACTTATAAATGCTCTATTATTAGATAATTGACCAGTGGAAAGCGACGGTGGCGCCGCCCTGGCGGACGAAATGTGAATCTTTCATATTGAGCTTGCTGTGCTCTATGGTTAAGTAATCAAAATTTTAAATTAGAATTATTAGTATGTAGGCCCTTCTTAGGGCACATATACACGTCCCAAATAGCTTGCCCTATCACCACTTCGGGACAACATATCGGTGGTGCAAAGAAGAAGTGGCGAAAGACACACCTGTATTTTGTTTCATGATGTAGTTGGATTTATAATCAGCTTCAGACCGTGTCTTTGCCTGTATTATGTAATAAGAAAGTACCATATGAAGAGCTAGAAATGCAATTCCTTCTTGCAAAAGTATATTTTATTTTTTATGCCAGTTTTCAGAAACTGCCTTGATTTTTCATTATTTATTTGCATCCCGATCGATGTTTTTTTGCCCTCAGCTTCTCAGGTACAATCAATATCTTTGCTAAAATTTATCAAAATTGGTTCAGTAAGAATATGGGGACATATTAAGTGCCTCAAGATTTTTTACGAAATCATTTATCGTTTAGACGACAGAAAGGAATAATTCTAAAACTAATATACAAAAAACTTTTTAAATAAGTATAATAGTTTCCCAAACGTGAATCAAAATTGAAAACCACAAACTTCTTACGAGTAAAACAGTTATAAGCCCCAATAAAATTACAATCGTTTTACCAACGCCTCCATAACAAAAAGCTCCAATAAAGCTTTACAAGTGAAATAAGTTCCTAATAAAGCATTCTGTTAGCCTCTCTGAGGTCAATCCGACTTTAGACGTGAAGGAATGCGCAGGCGCAGGTTAATGCATTTTAGACCTTATCACCTACTCTTTAAGATTCAAAATCAATAAGCTTGCGTTGCTAGTTTAAGGGTTAAATGCTTTTAAACTAGCACGCAACACATCTTATTTACAAAACAAAAGACGGTACCATTTTATTTGTATTATACACTTTTTTTTCCGTAAAATACTTTTTAGTTTATTGAGACAAAAGGAATCTAAATAGGCATTAAATTAAATTATGCGAGTACTCTTGATTTAATCATATGAACGTCAAAATATAGTAAATAATATAAAAGAAAAAGTAGCCCTTATGGGGGACTTTACATGTCTCCTTACCTTTTGGGCCCTACCCTACCAGCGCTCAACAACATCCTACAAACAATCAACATCCTACAAACTTTACTTTATAATAAACTTTACTAAGTTTATACCTCTACCTGCTTAACATTCTTTTTTATGCCACTTCTTCTAAGCTTAACATTTCCCTTCAGCCGATATGTTCCAAAGTGGTGGTAGAGCAAGCTATACATATTAGACCACTTACTACAAGCTTTATTGGACTGTCACTACCTAATGTTTAAGTAAAGGTCACTGGAAGCACCTGGATTCAGGCAGCGCAAGACCGGTCATTGTGGAAATCTTTTCTAGCTGAAACGAATAAACTACCTTATCTATACTAATATTATAAATGCGAAAGTAACTCTGTCTGTCTGTCTGTCACGCTTTCACGCCTAAACCACTGAAGTGATTTTGATGAAATGAAATTGGCATAGAGATAGTTCGAGTCCCGGGAAAGGACATAGGATAGTTTTATCCCGGTTTATGAAACAGGGACGCGCGCGATAAGGTTTTTCTATGACAGACAATATTCCACTCGGGCGAAGCCGCGGGTGGAAAGCTAGTGTAGTAATATAGTACACACCCATGAAAAAACTAAAGTATAATTTTCTACTTATCCAAGTCCCCTTAATTCATATCGTAAAAGCATTTCGTTATTGCACCATCGATACACCATAATCATTAGAGATTCCGTGATAGGATCCCATAAATTTTGCAAATGCCAATGTAAGTGGATGAAGTAATAACATAATTGGGTCATGGACGAACTAGGTCTGTTTATAACAAAAATATGGATAAACTAGCTTTTGCCCGCGGCTTCACCCGCGTGAAATTTCGTTTATCACAGATCGTCATAAATTATAGCCTATATGTTATTCTGGGTTATAAACAATAATACTGTAAAGTTTCATCAAAATCAGTTCAGTAGTTTTCGCGTGAAAGAGTAACAAACATCCCCGTTTACCCCCTTAGGGGTTGAATTTTGCAAAATCCCGTCTTAGTGAGCACCTCGTTCTAAAAGGAACCCCCATGCAAAATTTGAGACTCCTAGCACTTGTAGTTTCTGAGATTTCGTGATGAGTGAGTCAGTCAGTGACCTTTCGCTTTTATGTGTATAAAGATAAGTAGCGTTAGGTATGTGGTACCGGCAGAAAAAAGCAAAGCACCAACCGCACTCTTCTCGTCGTAAAAGGCGACTAAAGGACACGACTTGCGAACATCAGGCCTCCCCAACCCGTCTGGCCAGAGAGCGGAGTATAGACCAAATCCTCCATTGGCCTCTGGTAAAATAGAGAGAGTCGTGACGCGGAGGGCCGACCCCAAATAAAATAGGAATGGGCCAGGCAAAGAAGAAGAAACTAGAGAGAGTCGTGCTCCTGCAGTGGAGACAATGTGTCCTAATGATGATAATATTTCTGTTATGTCCTCTTCCTTCCATTATCAAAAACTAGAAGAACAAGAAGCCTCTTTGATTGGTGGTTCCAGTCAAATAGGGACTAATGTTATTAAATTAAGGCACTCAGAAACCATTGATTTATAAATCAATGGTTTCTGAGTGCCCTAAATTAATTTTAGTAAAGTAGTCTAGTGTAATTTAACACTGGTGAAGTGCTTTATTCTGGCTTGTTATTGACGCAATGAATTGCTTCTTTGTGAGTTTTTGTTATTTTTATTTTTTCATCCTTTATTCATATTTTTTCCAACAACAATGTAGGTACTTTTATAAAAAGGGAAACCTGTCATTGGTTATACTATTAGTCTAAATCTTATAACTAACATTTTCAATGTATCGCTGTTGGTTTCTATAAATAATAAATTAAAAAAAAAAATGCCTTGATTGGCTCTAGACACCGCTAATTTCTGAGTCTACAATATGACCATTATCCGACTAAAAATATGTTGTTATTCCACACAACCATTATGTCAGATGTCAGAGCTAGATGATCTCTAATTAGTGGACACAACGGCTAATTGATACGGCCTCGTTTTTCTACTGCCACTTCCTAACGTTTACCTAGAAATTGGGTCAGTTGGACGATGAGGACTTTATGGCTTTAGTCTGGAACTGAATAGGATAAACTATAGCTAGACTAGCGGCCGCCCGCGACTTCGTTCGCGTGGACCTCATTTTACCCCTTAGTTCGAAAAATCTGTTGTTTGATATCATGTTGATAGATGGCGTTCCACGACTTCCCCCGCATGAATATTTACGAACGTCATAAACAGTAGGTTGTCCAGCGCTGTAGATGTTAACCAATGACGATAAATGGCGCTTTTTAGACATGTCTTATTCGTTTATTGAAATCTATTTGTCACATATCATCATTTATAGCCTATAATACTATGTTAATCTGGGTTGTAAACAATAATACTGTAAAGTTTCAACAAAATCCGTTCTTTTGTGTGAAAGAGTAACAGACATCATGACATCCAGACATCCAAACTTTCGCCTTTATAATATTAGTAGGATAGTAGGAAGGATAGCTAGATTAGTGGTACAAAAGTATGGTAGAGTTTATTTAACAAACTAGCTGACCCGGTGAACTTCATAGCGCCTTTAAAAAGTGGTCTTAAAGTTAGCTAAGAGTGGCGAAAAAGTTTTCAAGAGTTTGTTATATAGTGTTTATTTAACAAAATAGCACTCGGCGAACTTTGTACCGCCTTTAAAGTTTTCTTAAACGTATGTATTTATTGCCTATTTTCATCAGGGATGCTGTCTATTCAATGCGATCAATCAATCAAAATCTTTTCGCTTTATTAAAATTTGTATTGATGAAAATTTATAGAGTAACAGGATCTTTAACGTTAATTATATTATGTACTAGAAAAAGCTAAGAATAGAAGAAGAGTAACTTATTTGATAAAAAACAAAATAACAATCGATAAACAACATCTTTGCATTTGCCAAACTTGACCTTCACTGGTTGGATTTAAGCTGTAGATCTTGGCTACACAGTAGTTGCAGTAGTGAGAACAAGAGATGAGGAGATTGTGCCAAAAAGATCCCGCTGCACAAGAGTTTACCGCTTTTCGTCAAGATCATAGATATTTAACGAATATACATGTGCCTAATACACACACAAGCGGAGTCACGGGCTAAATACGAATAGTAAGGGCAATCCTCCAAACCGTCATCGACCAAAATAAGCCCGAACTTTCCATTACAAAGTGAATGCGATTCATTCACAAGTTGTCGATTGTGCGCCACAGCCTAAAGTATACAGCTGACTAAAGATACGTTCACATTCTTGCGTAGTCTTCGGGTCAATTAATAATAATAATAATAATAATAATAAATACTCTTTATTGTACACCACATAAAAAGAAATAGAAAGAANCCTAGTATAACCCATCTCTAGTCGCGCCCCATGACAGTTCACGCGACCGACGCGACGCGACGTTGTGACGTCACGCGGAAATTCAACGCATAGTAACTTCGTAATTACTTATTTGATTGACAAATAAAAAAATACGTGTTCAATAGTTTTTGATAAATGACAGACTAAGTTTTTTTTTTAGGAAAAACCTAATTTCCCCCACAGGGTAGAACTCCCGATAGACGATGCCCGAGGCAACCCGGTCATAGCAGAGTGAAGAAAGAAAAAACTTGTCCGACATAGTATAAATAAGACCTAAAATTTTTGTCACATAATTGCAGTCGTCTAGGATTTTTTTCTAGGCTATTTAGGCACACAATGGCTTATAAAACCAATTTCCCCTGGCCCTTAAAATAGGGTCCATGTTTCTTGGTTAAAAAAGAGTAAATTATTACGTCAATTAACTTATCAAAAAATACTCGACAAGTATTTTCCACTTTTTCAAAATAATGAAAATTTAAAGAGATAAAGTGCTCCAAAGTTCAAAAGAAGAGGCCCGTGACGTCAAGGAGTGCTTGAAGCTAGGACTTTGTGACGTCACGCGGAAATTCAACGCATCATAACTTCTTAATTACTTGTTTGTTCGTTTCAACCGAAAGACGTCCACTGCTGGACAAAGGCCTCTCCCAAAGATTTCCACGAAGACCGATCCTGCGCCGCTCGCATCCAGGCACCTCCCGCGACCTTCAACAGATCGTCGGTCCACCTAGTGGGAGGCCTGCCCACGCTACGTCTTCCGGCTCGTGGTCGCAACTCAAGAACTTTTCTGCCCCAGCTTGTTTGATTGAGAAATAAAAAAATACGTGTCCAATATTTTTTGATAAATGACAGCCTAAAAGTTTTTTTTTAGGAAAAGTCTTATTTATCATTTCTCCCACAGGGTAGAACTCCCCATAGACGATGCAAGAGGCAACCCGGTCATAGCAGAGGTAATACACCGCGGCAAGAAGAAAGAAGCCGTCATAGCGTGTGCTTTAGAAGCCTGCAGGATATTGGACAGGGCTGGTCTGCTGCGGCAGTCGAAGCATGGTGAGTGTTTTTTAGGGTTCCGTAGCCAAATGGCAAAAAACGGAACCCTTATAGATTCGTCATGTCTGTCTGTCCGTCCGTATGTCACAACCATTTTTTTCCGAAACTATAAGAGCTATTACTGTTGAAACTTGGTAGGTAGACGTATTCTGTGAACCGCATTAAGATTTTGATGCAAAAATGATAATAAATATTGGGGGCTCCCCATACTTAGAACTGAAACTCATTTTTTTTTTAAATTAAATACAAGTCTCTTCTCAAACTAAAGTTTAAACAAACAACTTGAAAAAATCGAACTGCCTAATGCGGTTCTCGAATCCACGACCTTCCGCTTGCCAGACTACTGCTCCTCCAACTGAGCTACTTTAGACAGTTCGATGTTTTCAGGTTGTTTATTTAATAACTGCTTAAGTTTTTATGATCTAATTTTTAGTGCTTCAAAAAAGGCGTTATGAGCAGGTCGTTAGTCTTCCGTTTGCAAGACCGCACACTTAATTTAGTTTCTAACGCAGTACTCGTAAGACAAGCACAAAACACCTTATTTGAAATAGCCCATCAGCATTCGACTTTTTATTATTATCTACTTTGACGTTAATTAGTGCCAAATATTGTTTTTTTTTAATGTATTTTTTACCTTCTAGAATCGCGCCGCCGCAAACAGCGCGATTGGAGCGCCGATGACTACTATGACTCCGATGAAGACACCTTCCTTGACCGCACTGGCAATGTTGAGAAGAAGCGGACGAAACGGATGCAGAGACTCGGCGCTTTGGAGAAGGAGGATGATAAGCCTCTCACTTATGACGACTTGGTGAGTCAATATGAACCAGGGGACAGATAAAGTGACCCAGGGGACAGGTAAAGTGACACCGGGGACTGGTAAAATGACCCAGGTCACAAGTAGTGCGATCCAGGGGACTAGCAGTCTAACTCAGGGAGAACAAATCAGTTTTTTTTTGGCAAAATTCTCCGCACTTAGGCAATTAGGGACGTAATATGAGGCAGGTATAGGGACCCACCGTTTCCAATGGAGACAGCGTTGGATGAATGGATGTTGAGAAGAAGCGGACGAAACGAATGCAGAGACTCGGCGCTTTGGAGAAGGAGGATGACAAGCCTCTCACTTATGACGACTTGGTGAGTCAATATGAACCAGGGGACAGATAAAGTGACCCAGGAGACGGGTAACGCGATCCAGGGGACAGGTAAAGCGACACAGGGGACAGTTAAGGTGACTCAGGGGACAGGTAGGGTAACCCAGGGGACAGGTAGGGTGACCCAGGGGACTGACTGTGCAAACCAGGCGAGAGCAGATCAGTTTTTTTGGCAAAATTCTCCGCACTTAGGCAATTAGGGACGTAATATGAGGCAGGTATAGGGACCCATCATTTCAAATAGAGACAGCGATTTCATCAACGACCGGTCTTGCGCTGCCCGCTCATAGGCGCTTCCCGCGACCTTAACTAGCCGTTGCTAAGATAATAGTGTCTCAATAAGATTTCTATAGCTATAATAATAACTTATAAGTTGACGACAACTATGACTCCGACGAAGACACCTTCCTTGACCGCACTGGCAATGTTGAGAAGAAGCGGACGAAACGGATGCAGAGACTCGGCGCTTTGGAGAAGGAGGATGATAAGCCTCTCACTTATGACGACTTGGTGAGTCAATACTCCTAAATAATGAGCCAAGGGACATGTAGAACGACTCAGAGAACATGCAGTACGAGGCAGGGGGCAGGTAAAGCGACACCAGGGACAGATAAAGTGACCCAGGGGACAGGTAAAATGACCCAGGGTACAGGTAACGCGACACAGGGTACAGGTAACGCGACCCAGGGGTACAGGTAAAGCGACCCAGGGTACAGGTAACGTGACCCTGGGGATAGATAGTGCGACCCAGGGGACTGGCAGTCTAGCCCAGGGCAGAGAAAACCAGGTTTTTTTAGACAATCTAGGATGAAATATAAGCCAGATAAGGAAGGATGTACAATTTCCAGAGGAGACAGCGACTCTTGTTGCTCTGTGTATAAATGAGCAGATATTTTTCGAATAAGATCATTACTTACCATCAGGTGAGATACAGGCCAAGAGCTTCCTCGTTGTGGATAAAAAAAAATGTTTTTTTTTGTATGTGTCATCCAGTCTATCATTTCCTTAAATGTCACTTTCTTTTTGGTACACCCTGTATATGTATACCTACCAATCTTTGAAAAGTGTTTCAATAAAATTCTAATTTCCAAAACTTTAATAACATGACATGACCACTTTGTTCTAGTTAAAACAAATAACCGAAATCGAGTCCAAGATATCTTTAGAAGAGAAGACGCTGGAACGCCTCCGTTCGGTCAGCAAGCCTCAACCGAAGGACGACGAAGATGAACTGGACGCGTTCATGAGTTCATTGAAGAGTCAAGGACAGAGCATGGCGCAGAAGGCTGACATATCCAACACGAAGGTAAGATATTGAAGTCATCAACAGGTCATTTAGTATTTATATACCTTGGTCCCTGAGCACAACACCCGCTCAGAAAGAAGCACTAACACAAAAGCTTCCTTATTATGGATGAGCTCCACATAATCCAACACCAAGGTAAATATCACCAGGTCATTTAGAGGCCCAGTTTTCCACACATTATTTCCACATCTCCACTCCGCATTTTTCGGTGGAAATGGAATAAGCAGAGCAGGGAATTTTTCTATAGAATTTGACAGCAATAGACTGACAGCTGACAGATACGCACAGCTCATACATTTCTTGTCTCCTCTCCGCTCCGCTTTGGTGGAAATGGACTGCCAAGTTCGCCACACATCTCCTCTAGTCTCCGCTCCGCTCCGAGGAAACTGGGTCTTAGACACCCCGCAAACTACAATCTCTAGAAGAGAAAATGCTAGAACGCCTCCGATCGGTCAGCAAGCCCCAACCGAAGGACGATGAAGATGAACTGGACGCGTTCATGAGTTCATTGAAGAGTCAAGGACAGAGCATGGCGCAGAAGGCTGACATATATCCAACACGAAGGTAAGATATTGAAGTCATCAACAGGTCACTTAGTCTCTATAGAAGGAGCACGACCCTCTCTAATTTACTAGGAGCAAATGGACAATTTCTCCCACACTCAGTGTTGCGAAGCGATTGTGTAAGGTTGTTCATGAATGGAAAATTAATACAATTGATCATCAATCGTTTACCTAAATTCGAAATTTTGACCATTCCATTAAGACCGAAAAGTGACCGGTCGTATAAAACCGTTTCATGGATTTGCGTTTTATTATCGAAAAACATTCGCTAAAACTCATTTTATTTAACAAATAATAAATGAAATTCATGTTCAAATGCAGTTTATGACATAATTTTTAAATTGTCACTATTAATATTTTTTACTAAATAACCTGTAAAAGTTAATTCTACAATTTCTGAAAAATCACCTAAAAGTAACCTTTTCATTGGTGTAACCTAAAAGTAACCAATGCAGTTCAAAAGTAACCTAAAAGGTTACAAAAGTAAACTTCTGGCAACACTGCCCACACTCGCGAAGTTTGAACAGTGTGCATATTTCGAATAGACTGATGCCCGTTTTCACCATCAACCCCTTATTTTTAAGTGACCCCTATAACAGGACAGACAAGGTAACACATAACAGGAATTTTGTTTACATAGGGGTTACTTAAAAATTAGGAATGATGGTGAAAACGGGCATGAGAGGTACAATGTAATATTATGAGAGATGCTGCTGACAGGGACTCCTTGAGACCACTCAAATCTTCAATTACTGACAAATAATATCGCATCTGTGCTCGTATTATACTCCAAAGCTTGTTTTTTTTTTAATATTTTTTTAAAATAAAAAATATCCGACAAAGATCATGCGTTCGCGTTAAATGTTTTATTTAGTTCTACGCGCTGTTTGTTATTATATCAACGTATCCATTTTTTTATTTACTTTTACGAGCTGTTTATTTTTTTTTATGGTCGGATGCCATAGGCACGGCAATTGATGTCAAACCAAACGGTAAAAGGTGTTTTTGTATTTCTAGATGCGAATCCAGAAACTCAAAGCGGAGTTGACCAAAACACAAAGGCTTGCTGAGTTGGCGAGACCGGCGCATCTCCCGCCGCTCGTGAAGAAGGACGAGACCAAGATGGCCGTCAAGATGGCCGCCAACTCCGTTGTCTATGGCAAGAGGTGGGCGCTGTTTTAATTATTATTTTCTTGACTATTAAGAAGGTTTTTAATATCGTGCGAATAGGGTATTTGACACCACCAATCAATTGACGTACTTTTTAAAACTGTCAAAACGACACTCTCCCATAGATTTTGTACGGCAATACTAGCATGTGACGTCACAATTCTATCAACTCAATGAAAATACTTTTTTCAATTATAATGCAACCAAAAATCGTAATTTACAGGTAATTAAAAATTAATTAAGTTTTTAAGACCAGAAACAAGTGTCTTTTTTAAAAAGTTGTTGTTTAGAATTATTGGCGAATGGTGTCAAATACCCAATTCCACCACACACGCGGGATTTCTTGCATGTCATTTTATGATTTTCATACAAGTATTTATTACGAGAGGAATACGCAGGGGGTGGGGGACGCGGGACAATCCCGCACGATATTAAAAACACCCTAATTTATGTTAAATCTTACTAATTTTATAAATGTGTGTTTTTTTTTTTATTATTTATTTATATTAGGGAAACAAACAATTTTGATATACAGACAAAAAATAGGACAGAAATCAGCAAAGTTTCCACAGTTAAAATTAATACAGAGTGCAGACTAAAAATTAATTAAATAGTAATAAATAAAGTGTGTGAAAATGAATGGATGTTTGTCACTCTTTCACACAAAAACTACTGAACGGATTTTGATGAAACTTTACAATATCATTGTTATACATCAGAATAGCATATAGACTGTAATTTGTAATGATATTTCTGTGAATAACTGAATTATGCAAAAGCTAGTTATTTATGTGTTTCCAAAATCGACTGATGTCATTCCAAAATTATTATTTTTTTAAATAAATACAAATAACCATATTTTGTTCCAGAATACGTTTAAAAGAAGACGCCGAAAGAAAACCAAAAGCCAAAAAGTCTTCCAAGCAAGAAGAAGAAGAATTCGTGGAAGAAATCGACTCAGACGAGGAATCCGAACAGAAACCAAACGAAATCCCTAAAGAAGAAACAGAGAGAATCAAAGAAGAAAATAGAATAGCTGATACAAAAGAAAGTGAAGTAACGAAAAATGAGAAGACAGAGAAAGAAAATACAAAAGAAAGAGAAGGGACAACGAAGAAAGTGTACGGACCTATGAGGCCGCCGGAAAATTATGTCATTCCAGAGAGTTATTTCGATCAGGAGTCGGATAGGGATTTGCCAGAGATCATGGAAGATGAAACGGCATAATATTAGGCTTTAGGTATTATAGGTGTAGCGCTTAACCGATTGAGTCCCAGACGGCATTAATTAATGTCATAACAATGAGGGCTATCGTTTTTATACTTAACAGTTGGCACCCCTGGCGATTGACAGGACCTTACTCTACAGTGGCGCCATCTGGATGAGTGCAAATGCGATAGTGCTCCTACCACTTTAGCGCTCACCAGTTGGTGCCACTGTCTTCGCTACTAGCAAGTGACAGGACCTTACTCTACAGTGGCGCTAACTGGTGAGCGCTAAAACGATAGCCCTCATTGATTTCTATTGTGTCTAGATTCGCGGAGCTTGAAGGATTAAGTCAGTCAGTGAGCTAAGGGAGCGGCACGGGAGGAGTTTTCTTATACGGGCACTTGTCAGAGTGGTCGTGGTTGCGCTGACAAGGTACATGCACAAAATATAACAGAAGGTAAACTCCATACTAAGCGCGCTCGAGCCACGCACACATAGACACCGCTCACGTACGCGTTATCAAGACTGTCTTGGACGAATGCGAGGCGCGATTGCGTTCGCTTGAGTGACGCTGCTTACGCGTTTGTAAAATTATTTTATTGTGCGAAAATGAGTGAACAACAAAAAAGGGGTATTGTAACATTTGTTAAGTAGACGGTTGCTTACACTCAACATTAAAAACTAAATTTTCGTTTTTTAAACTACCAGTTGCTTCCGGGAGGTATTTAAGTAAGGTATTTATTTGTATTTCAATAGTTCGTTTAACGTTGACAAATTAAAAGCCAACTCAATTAGGAATATCGAATTGTTTTAAAGAGGTTTTAGGAATTATTGGATAATAGTGTCAACCACTCAACTACATACTACTTCCTTCTCGTGTATTTGTTTGCAAACTATTAAAATAATAACGTACTAAACATAACTACATAATTATACTTGGATATCTATTATTGTCTTTCTTCCGTAGTATTAAGAGTAACATTTTTCTATCATAACGAAATAAACGCACACATGACAAGACAACTCTAGCGCGACGGCCGAGCGTGCGAGCGAGCGAGGTATGCAAAGTGGGGTACATACATGAGTTTACCTTCTGTTATATTTTGTGGTACATGGTAGGGTGATGTCACCTCCGAGGGTAGCTCTCCTGGCGATGTGCTTCCATTTCTAACGGTTAGAGACGTCGCGAGTACGCTGGACCATGGTTAACTCAGTGGCCTTTGTGATGGCGTCTACGGGAGGAGTAACATTGACATAATTATTAGTCATAATTTCTGACGTAATTTCAGAGGATACATTATTATTAACTGAAGTCTCACTGAACGTTTGACCTCTCAAAAATACCCTCCCGTACCGTTCCTATACCTCTAATAGATACCTATAATTAGATCGAATTTGTTCAAAAAAAAAAATAGGCTGTTGTGCTGTATAAAGGTCCTCAATGAGACAAGTTTGATATTTCTCAATAATGGAGATTTTGTTTGCTAAAAACAACGTCATGTTGTTATTAAACACAAACAATAGTTGGAAGTGTCACAGTGACTGTGAGTGCGGTGATAGATGTAAGCAATAAATTATTGTAAGAAATGTCGTTGTTTTATTTATTTGAAGTCCACTAAAGTGAAATCTATATGCCAGAAAAAACGGCCGAAATGAATCATTGCACCAGCGCAGCATCGCGTCGACGCTATCGGTCTAAATAGCTGGTAGGTACTACAAAATAAGTTAAAAATACTCGTATTTATTTTAACACAAAACTTTTCATTAAAGACCGCGCTTTTACTTTTACCACTCTCTCTCATCTGTGCTTTTGCTGGAATACCGCGCGGAAACAGGATATGAACACATTCCATTTTACATTAAAGAACTTGTGATAAGATAAAATTCTGGTTGAAATCGTAGAATGAAACGCATGTTATAAGTGTGTTCCTAACAGCAACTTTATATTTTTTTTATTATCGTTGCTTGTACAATTTTAAAAATCCATAGTATTTTCCACGAGAATTTAACGTGCCAATAGAATTCCACTAAAAAAAAAGAACACGCCTGACGATTGACGTTTCCAAATTCCGCTACTTTTCACACAAAATGCGTTTCTTGTGTTCAATGAAATCATTCTCATAAAATATTTTTAAGGAAAGATCTGTATTTACAAATTACTTTAAAAAGTCCAGCAATAAGTATTATACGTTTTTAATGACCTCTGTAATCGAATAAATTCTTAAATAAATTGAGGCTCTTATTATTAACTGGAACAACCGCGTGAAACAGATCTCAGTCCTGTAAAAGATGGCCTCTCTGTTGAATGTTTTGTTGCGAAAATCCTCGAATTTTGGGCAAACTAAGGCCCTTTTACTGAATTTACCAGCAGTTAATAATGTGAAGTGAGTGTAGTTTGCTTAAATGAATAATTTTGTGCCTTTAAATCAGTGCTTTATTGATTAAACAATTATGTAATAATTTGAGGTTACCTGGATGTATTTTTCTTACATTTTATTTTTGTATTTTTACTGCAAATATTGTAATACACACTTAAATATACTATTCAAATAATCATAGATAATTACAATATTCTATCGTATACTTAGATTTCGCTATAGAAAGAAAGGACAAATATTTATTTTAAACTAAGATTTTCATCACAATCAAAAAGATATAAAATGAAGCAAACCTAAATAAATAAATTAAAGTTCACTTAACTACTCAAATACAGACGAATCCTCTTTGATGTTTGAATATTCAATTCATTTTAAATAGTATATCAAATGATTGGGTCTTTCGAATGACTTATTTAAATTATAGTAACAATATGTTGCAAAACAAAACAGTTAAATGAAATGGCGCCTTCACTAAACGCTTGCATGTTATTTATGAAATAACTAGCTAATTAAAGACTAGAGGTAGTAGTAATGTAAGTGACATAGAGACATGTTAATACACATCGTATGACCTAATTTATCTCCTCCCAGCTCCCAAAGGAAAGCGCATCGATGGATGCCAGACACGGACTACATAAAGCAGTTCGAGGGACCGGTGATGTTCCCCGATGAGGTCACTGCGTTGATGAAGCATCCACCGTACAACAGTAAGAATGCTTATTTTCTAGCTAATAATAATTGTAAACAAAAACCTGGCCAGATAAAGCCAAGCTCCTATGGGAAAGTTAAAACTGTCATTGTGGGGTTTGTAATAGACGGGGTTTGTCTATTTGCCTCTGATAGATATGTCTCTGCCGGGTTCCCTACGTTTTATCGAAAGTCGTTTCATCGAAGGTCGTTTCATCGAAGCCGTTTCATCGATTGGTCATAATCTCGAACGTACGAAATATCGAATGCCGTATCATCGAATGGTCACATTATCGAATGGTCGATTCATCGAATATCTTAGCGTCGAAAGGTTGTATATTAAAGAGTTACCTACTTACTAATAAAGTTAGTAATTCGCTGAACACTTGTTTAAAGTGACGTTTAATATGGAAATGTCACTTTAAACTACTGTTCAACGAGTGTGTAACTTTTTAATAGTAAGGGAGTTAATCATGACATCGATATAAAAAAATATAAAGTGAAAATAGCTATTGAATAACACAATAGCGTTCGGCCACGACGGCCACCAGACCTGGCTGTATGATGCACTCACGCCTTTACCTAGTGCCTTAGTACAAGCTAAATTGAAGGGTACAGGGGCAAAACAAGAAATGTCACAAAAACAAAAAGTTACGTAATGAACATTTAAATTTTTTATAGTTTAAAATATTCTTATGTGTCACTTCACTTAAAATTATAAACTACTAATATAAATACATATTATGACTATTACTTGTTTTTACGCTTTTTGTATAACAAGAAATGTCACAAAAACAAAAAGTTACGTAATGAACATTTAAATTTTTTATAGTTTAAAATATTCTTATGTGTCACTTCACTTAAAATTATAAACTACTAATATAAATACATATGACTATTACTTGTTTTTACGCTTTTTGTATAATAAAAAATACGCGGGAAATCGAAAATATTGCCATCAAAAATATACTTTTGAATTTTAGGGATATTCCTTGTTTTGCCCCTGTACCCTTCAATTTTGAAAACATCCATTACGGCGAAATCCAACTTTGACGTTCTAAATTTAAATCACTTTACCGCCCTTTTACTATTTTGGTGGTTTGAAAACGCATTTTCTTGATACTTAACTTAATACTTCTTAACCACATGTCATTAAACTTGATAGTTGGATATTTTATGTTACGGAAAAAAATCTGGGTTTAAACTAACTTAGGCTGAGTTGCACCACCTAACTTTGACCGTATCTATGACGATAACCGGTGTTTTATGTAGGTATAGAGTTTGATACATTTTTGACGTTTGTCACAGTTAAAGTAAGATGGTACAAGTCAGCCTAACGTCACCTTCCATATTGCCATATTTGAATAAACAACCTTTCGACACTAAGGCTGGGTTGCACCATCTTACTTTAACTTTGACAAACGTCAAAAATGAGTCAAATTCCATACAAAAACCACCGGTTATCGTCAAAGTTACGGTTAAAATTAGGTGGTGCAACTCAGCCTAAGAAATTCGATGATTCGACCATTCGATAATGTGACCATTCGATGATACGGCATTCGATATTTCGTACGTTCGAGATTATGACCAATCGATGAAACGGCTTCGATGAAACGACCTTCGATGAAACGACTTTCGATAAAACGTAGGGAACCCGTCTCTGCCTATGAAGTAAAGGGAGTGACATCTGCATTAAAATTAATAATAATACATTAGAGTCAGTATGCATTTTCAAACAACATTATAGTTAATTCAAACAAACAACATTATTCTCAGCACTTGCCATATGTTTGTCTCAAAGCGCTGGTAGGGCCCAAAAGATAAGGAGACATGTAAAGTGCCCCATAAGGGCTACCTTTTCTTTTTTTATTATTTTCTATAATAATATTTTGACGTTCATAAGTGCCACTTGTGGTCTAAACTGAATAAATACTTTTGATTTTTGATTTTGAATCTGTTGCAGTCTAGTACTAGGTGTAAGACAGATAGATACTTTATTGTACATCACACAAAATAAGGAAAGAAAGAAATACACTAGAGATTGCTATGAAACAATCTCTTCCAGACAACCTTAGGAAGGAGCGCTAAAGAGAACCATTTTCATGTTTTCATTCTAACACTACCACCTATTTAAAAAAAATTGAGGTTGTCAACAGGAAGGTTCCTGTTGGATTTTTAAAATTACCTCATGCTTAATTATTATTATGTTTGTACGCTTTGGAGCTCACGGGTCAAAAGTGGCCCGGTCCTTTATAAGGCTTGCGTGGGGATACAGATCCAACACTTAGAGGCCGTTTTAAGCGCAAAATAATCGACAAAAGTGAAAGTGGTGCACATGCTGGATCTAGTCTCCTGTGGCGACACCACTACAAACTAGTGACCAACAGATGGCGCTGTTACTACTTCACTATGGCACACTCCGCCGCTCATACAAACCTGCATCGCGGTGACGGAGTTTTAGATCCTGCCAAGTATATATAGACAAACCAAGATGGTGTAAACTGGACCTTGGTCCCCGAGCACAACACCCGCTCGGAAGGAAGCACTAACATCTAGCTTCCTTATTGTGGTTGAGCATCATATCCCACACTCCGACTATATCATGGGATGTAATTATTATTATTATAGCTTTATATTCCACATTTTTACAGTTTCATTCAATTAATCTGTATCTCTTGTTTGTGGCCCCTTTGGGTAAAAGCCTCCTCCATCTTTTTCCACCTTTCCCTGTTGCTGGCTATGTGCAATTTTTCCCTGCCTTGTTTGTTATGTCATCGGCCCATCTTTTCTTCGGCCGTCCTACGTTTCTTTTGCCTTTTGGGCCTTGCCATTTTGTTGTTTGATAGGTCCACCTCTTATCTTTATATCTTGCCAAATGTCCTGCCCAGTTCCACTTCTGTTTTAGGTTAAATTTAAGAGCATCTGATAAGCATGCACAGTGCCGTAACTAGCCTTTTATGCGCCCGGTGCGAGCTTTCAAAACTGCGCCCTTGAAAAATGCTTGGTCTGGTCATTTCTGCGCCCCTCCAGGGTCTGCGCCCTGTGCCTGGGCATCGCTGGCACCGCCCTAGTTACGGCACTGAGCATGCATAATTACAACAAGCATTTGTCCGTCAGGCATCATCCCGCCAGCAGAGAAGCACGTCCGCAACATGATCCTGAACTTCGGGCCGCAGCACCCGGCCGCCCACGGCGTGTTGCGACTTGTCCTGGAGCTGGACGGTGAGGTGAGATTCTATTCAACTACAAGCTTTCATTATTTTCACATGTCTGGTGTCTGTCGTCAAATCTTGCAACTTAAAATATAGTTCCAAAATACTGAACTGTCCTATCGATGACATTGACAGCGGGGCGCCACCGTCAATACCGAATCGCTGGTTCCGATTTTTGCCATGTTGGAAACCATAAAGTTGAACGATGGTAGCGCCCCCCTGTCATTGAGTTTGGCGGGACAGTTCAGCGTGGGTCATCTATAGACATGTTGACACCAACAATCAATTGACTTACTTTTAAAAACTGTTAAAACGTGACTCTCCCATAGATTTTGTATGGGACTACAAGCATGTGACGTCACTATTTAGTGAACTCAAATAAACTACTTTTTTCAATTACAATGCGACCAAAAATCGTAATTTACTGGTAATTTAAAATTAATTAAGTTTTTAAGACCAAAATGAAGTGTCTTTTTAGAAAAGTTGTGATTTCGAGTTATTGGAGAATGGTGTCAAATTGTCCATTGACCCACTCCCCGGTTCTTTATCTCAGACAAGCCTTTGCCCGAGGATCAATTTTGATTTAAACAGTCTTTTATTGTGTCCATGTGCATGGTGCACAGCCCCCTTTGCATGCCCCCATAACATGGCATATCAATGGCCCTCCCTGAAAAAGAACAGATATCCCAATGATTGTGCCACGGCTTTGTCCGTCTCATTACTCCTATGTGAAGCTTTCATTTATGAGCTGTCATTAATACGCGATTTTTTCTGTAGATTTTGTATGGCAAAGATGATAACATCACCAGTTTGCAATTGACTATTCATTGACATTAATTGAATTGTACAGCAAATTCAAAACTAACTTGATTTTTGAACTAACTAACCACATTGAAGTGTTGTGAAAAAGTTGATCATGGAATCTATTTTAACCAACAGACTGTCCGAGCAGCCGACCCTCACATCGGTCTCCTCCACCGAGGAACTGAAAAACTCATCGAGTACAAGACCTACACCCAAGCGCTGCCTTACTTCGACCGGCTGGACTACGTCTCCATGATGTGCAACGAGCAGTGCTACAGCCTGGCAGTTGAGAAGCTACTGAATATCGATATTCCGCTGCGAGCTAAGTACATCAGAAGTGAGTATCTATCATCATCATCATTTCAGCCACAGGACGTCCATCCACTGCTGAAAAGAGGTTGGTAGCATTAAGCAGGTATAGTCTGGTCGCCGAGCACGTAGAATTTCGTCCAATGACCCCAAGCTGCCCACCTTATCGCTCGCGCGTAATTATATTGCTGTCGCGACTGTGCGACGGGCGCCCGCAGTGAGTGTGCGAGCGCGACAGCAACATAATTACGCGCGAGCGATAAGGATGGGTAGCTTGCGGTCATTGGACGAAATTCTACGTGCTCGCAGACCAGACTATACCTACTTAATGCTACCAACCTCTTTTCAGCAGTGGATGGACGTCCTGTGGCTGAAATGATCTGCGAGCACGTAGAATTTCGTCCGCATTGGACGAAATTCTACGTGCTCGCAGACCAGACTATAGTAGAGTTGATAGATCTGAGCTACACCCAAGCGCTGCCTTACTTCGATATTCCGCTGCGAGCTAAGTACATCAGAAGTGAGTATCTTTTATTGTAGTATGGGCTTGCTCCTAATAAAAATCTTTCAGGGGTGCAAATAAGGTCTAGGGTGGAGCAACCATGGAAAAGATGCCTGTTCACTCGTACCTTCAATACCTGAGGGTTCGTGAATACAGAGGCTAGCAGGGAATTCTAAGGAGCACCCTAGCAGTGCGCATTATAAAAGAAGTATCAAAGTGCTTAGGGCTTGAGGTGTATAAAAATGATATGTGTAAATTGACCCCATTTAAAAAATTGTTGGTCTGACCTAGGAGATATTATGTCATGAAATCCATTTCTAGGCTTAATTTGCTTATACCATCTCAAGAACTTTATTCCTTGGGGGAGTCCTTTGTCCTAAATGCTGAAACAAACGAACGTAAGAATATCGCAATAAAATAAGAATATCTAATAAAAATTTTGTGTCAGTGTTTGTAAAAAAAGTCCCCCGAAACAGCTTGTTGACAGACCGAAATTTTGTGTGTATAAAGTTGTCTGAGAATAGGATGTACACTGTTTTTCAGGTCTATTCCACTTTGATCACCTGGCTTTGATCACCCAGGTGATCATAGTGGACTCCAAGCGACAATTTGGTGTCCTTTGATCACCCATGGATAAGATGAACTGGGTGATCAAAGTGGACTCCAGTTTTATTCATATTTTAGTTTCAAATTGTCGCTTGAAGTCCACTTTGATCACCTGGGTGATTAAAGCCAGGTGATCAAAGTGGAATAGACCGTTTTTCATACCCCTAAATGCAAAACAACGTTTGGGTCAGCTAGTTTAATATAATATCTTTTTCCCAGCTCTGTTCGGCGAAATAACCCGCATCCTCAACCACATAATGGCGGTTGGTACGCACGCGCTCGACGTCGGAGCCCTAACGCCCTTCTTCTGGCTGTTCGAGGAGAGAGAGAAGATGATGGAATTCTACGAGAGAGTCAGCGGCGCTAGGATGCATGCTGCTTACATCCGCCCCGGAGGAGTGTCATTGGTAAGCCTTTAAAGCATATAAACCTTCTTCTAGCTGTTTCAAGAGAGAGGGAGAGAGAGAAGTTTGTGGTGACATCTATCAACTCCCGGAGGAGTGTCATTGGTAAGCCTTTAAAGCATATAAACCTTCTTCTAGCTGTTTCAAGAGAGAGAGAGAGACAGAGAAGATTGTGGTGACATCTATCTACTCCTGAGGAGTGTCATTGGTAAGCCTTTAAAGCATATAAACCTCCTTTAGCTGTTTCAAGAGAGAGGGAGAGAGAGAAGTTTGTGGTGACATTATATCAACTCCCGGAGGAGTGTCATTGGTAAGCCTTTAAAGCATATAAACCTTCTTCTAGCTGTTTCAAGAGAGAGGGAGAGAGAGAAGTTTGTGGTGACATATATCAACTCCCGGAGGAGTGTCATTGGTAAGCCTTTAAAGCATCTAACCCTTCTATAGTCTGGTCGCCGAGCACGTAGAATTTTGTCCAATGACCCCAAGCTACCCATCCTTATCGCTCGCGCGTAATTATATTGCTGTCGCGACTGTGCGACGGGCGCCCGCAGTGAGTGTGCGAGCGCGACAGCAACATAATTACCCGCGAGCGATAAGGATGGATAGCTTGGGGTCATTGGACAAAATTCTACGTGTTCACAGACCGGGCTTTAGTTGTTTGAAGAGAGAGAGAGAGAGAGAGAGAAGCATCTAAACCTTCTTCTGGTTGTTCGAAGAGAGGGAGAGAAGACGCGCTACTACAGACTAGTGATAGTCTTCACCAACAGATGGCGCTAACACATTACTATGGTACGAGCCACCGCACCTACTAACCTGCATCGCGGTGACAGAGTTTTTTGCCCTGACAAGTATAATAGGAAATCCGAGATGGTATCAACTGGACCATGGTCCCCGAGCACTACACAAGCTTGGAAGGAAGCTTCATCAATTCATCATATCGCACATAATGATGGAGTTTTCTATGAGAGAGTCTAGGATACACGGTAAGTCTTCAAACCATCTCCTTGATGTTGAGAGCCCTAAACTCCCTTCTTCTGGCTGTTCGAGGAGAGAGAGAAGATGATGGAGTTCTATGAGAGAGTCAGCGGCGCTAGAATGCACGCGGCTTACATCCGCCCTGGAGGAGTGTCATTGGTAAGCCTTTAAAGCATATAAACCTTCTTCTAGCTGTTTCACGAGAAAGGGAGAGAGAGAAGTTTGTGGTGACATATATCAACTCCCGGAGGAGTATCATTGGTAAGCCTTTAAAGCATATAAACCTTCTTCTAGCTGTTTCAAGAGAGAGGGAGAGAGAGAAGTTTGTGGTGATATCTATCTACTCCTGAGGAGTGTCGCTGGTAAGACTTCCAAGCATCTAAACCTTCTAAAGCAGTGAGTGTGCGAGCGCGACAGCAACATATTTACGCGCGAGCGATAAGGATGGGTAGCTTAGGGTCATTGGACAAAATTCTACGTGCTCGCAGACCAGACTATAGCTGTTTCAAGAGAGAGAGAGAGAGAGAAGCATTTAAACCTTCTTCTGGCTGTTTGAAGAGAGAAGACTGGTGACATCTATTGACGCGCTACGACAGACTAGTGGTAATCTTAACCAATAGATGGCGCTGACACACACATTACTATAGTACGAATCACTGATGAAACACTGCTATTGTGGTGAAAAAAACACTTATAGCCTGACCAGGAACATAAAAACCCTGGCATAGAGGCGCGTCAATTGCATTTGATAGTGCAACACTGAGTACAGTCGTACCTGTATTAAATTAATAGGCTAACTTTATGTATCAGGATTCAGGATTATGGGCTAATTTAATATTTTCATAAAGTAACAAAAAATATTATAAAACAGGTAAACTGGTTTAAATAAATTAAATGAAACCATCGATCGAGCAAGTAGGATTTTATTATTATTCATCAATAATCAAATTCTAAACTTTCATATTCAACTACAATGTCTGCTCATGAACGCTTCAAACTCGGTACTTCTTTCCCAATTCCATAAAATTCAACACTTACAAAGTGACAAAAAACTTTAAAATAGGTGGTTGAAACAAACCACAGCTAATTTTCATAGTTGACTGTACTATACGACAAACATGTCAGTCAATTTGACAACCTTTGTCGGAAACATAATTCAATGAAAATATTGTCCGAACCCTTAGTACTTCTCTTCGACAAATACTTTAACACATTGTGAACCACTTTTATTTCACGACTATAAAAAGATTTAGCAATTTAATTCACAAAATCAATTGCGCACATTTAAAATAAAGTTTGTTTACACTTTGACAGCAATAGACTGACATGCAAGGTGACATGACAATGAAGTTTTTAGTTATTGTTGCCATTAAAAGAAATTAGTACCATTAGATTTCCGCAACATGGCGAGGGTTTTTATGTTCCTGGTCAGGCTATACATGTACCAACTTAAAGTAGATTATACATAACAAAATTCTATAATTGTTTTTTTTTTAAGCTGCTAAGATATTTATTCTCAAGCAACCAAATAAATGTTCTATCAATTTTCTATCCCCAGGACATGCCACTAGGCCTGATGGACGACATCTACGAGTTCTCCAGCAAGTTCGGCGAGCGACTCGACGAGGTCGAAGACGTCCTTACAACTAACCGCATCTGGGTGCAGAGGACCAAGGATATTGGAGTGGTCACCGCGCAGGACGCGCTTAACTACGGTTTCAGGTAGTTATTGATAACTAGACATGCCATATGTACGTTCTGTGTTTCACTAGACACTTTATATGTCGCTAGACAAGTTATTTGTGCCACTATACATGCCATAGGTATTGCTAGACACGCCCTGTATAACGGTAGACATTATATGTACCATTAGACACGATCTATGTAGCTATTTACCACTGCACACGGTCCATGTACCACTAAACAAACTTTGACAGACTAGACACTGTATACTATATCACTAGACATGCTCTATATACCACCAACCGCATCTGGATGCAGCGGACCAAGGATATCGGCGTATTAATTATGGTTTTAGGTATGTTAAACACTTCCATGTTACATTAAATACGTTCTGTGTATCACTAGACAATGTACTATTTCTCTAGATATACTTTATGCCATCACGCATTCATTTTGTACCACTAGACAAGCTGTGTACCACCAGACACGCTCTATGTATCACTAGACAAGTTATGTGTACCACTAGACACGCCCTATGTAACGGTAGACACACTATATGCACCACCAACCGCATCTGGGTGCAGCGGACCAAGGATATAGGCGTGGTCACCGCGCAGGACGCGCTTAACTATGGTTTCAGGTAAGAAGTAGTGCAATAAATAAATAAATAAATAAATCCTTTATTTAACAAAGATTACTACCTACTTATTATTACTAGTATACTAGTAACAAAAAACACAATTTAAGTTTGAAAAGCTACCTATGCCATAGTAAACACAAAAAAAAGGAAAAAACAAATAATATGTCAAATAAGAATGTCTTTACTTTATATGTGAGAGTGTATTATTTGTATTTATAAAACACTTTATTTATCACAACACACGTTCTCTGTATCACCTGTGTGCCACACGAGTCTGTTACCACTAGACACACAGTGTACAGCTAGACACGCTGTGTATGTGTTAATAGACATGTTTTTATGTCCTTTTGTACCACTAGGTACCTCTAGATACATTGTGTGTACCATTAGACACGTTCCATGTAATAATATACACGTTTTGTGTACCATGGGACACGCTATAGGATAGGTTTTATGCCACTAACCTATCAACAAAACCAAGCACTATATTTTTAACTGAGATGATCTTTTTATCGTTTAGGGTTGTCAATTTAAGATTGTTTTAATAATAGTAATGTTTTGTTCCAGCGGCGTGATGCTCCGCGGCTCCGGCATCAAGTGGGACCTGCGCAAGACGCAGCCCTATGACGCCTACCACCTCGTCGAGTTTGATGTGCCTATTGGAACACACGGCGACTGCTACGACAGGTAGGAGACTTGGCTTCGACTTGTACAGTCACGGAATGAAAAGGTTCGTCAGTTTTCAAATTGATTCCTTTAAAGAATCGCGAGCACATATTACCTTTTGAAACTAAGTTATAGAATAATCTCGAGTTAGAGAAAATAATCTTTAACTGTTCGTCAGTAAAGTTCAAAATTATTCAGATCAAAGTTGTTTGACGATTTAACTTGTCAAGAAGATTATTATGATTGATAAACTAAAACCTTCTTGTTGGTTCAACCTGCCATTATCTATTAAATTAAAAAAAACTACATTTTGTAACATTGCACTGACGGGGTAGAAAAATAAACAAGCAAAACCTTATTCGTTAGCAAACGTCATATTTATTTAAATGTTAGCACCACTGTTTCTTGCACTGTTATGTTGGCAGGTTTGACTCTTACAATACCTAGTGCAAGCGAAAACCGACACTAAGGTGACGAACCTTTTCATTCCGCGACTGTACAAGTCATCCATCTTACCAACTCTGTCTTCACTTCTGATCTATCAAGCTAAAAGCCGTAACTTGTATAGTTCTTGCAACTCACGAAGGCGAGTGAGCTTTACTTGTGTATGTACGTACATGCACATAACGATAATGTCTATGAAAACTGTTGAACAACGAACAGTAGCGAGCCACCACACGTGTAAACCTCACTCGCCTTCGTGAATTGCAACAACTACAATCTATTTACTATCTAATCAGAAACTCTGACACAAATTGTAATATGTCTAGCCATAAACGGCTTATCCATATCCTCGTAGCGCCCACGGATTTTTTGGATCGTCTTTAACTACGACCCGACCGTCCTTCTTATAGGACTTATAGTTATAGTCCTATCAGCCCAAGATTTTGAGTTGAAATTCGTATGTGTTAGAGTTACCGGTTTGAAGTGAAACTTTCAGGGTATAATTATGATTATATTAGCATGTGTTTTTAAATTCAATTATTTGTCTACCTTTTGTTCTTTACAAAGGCCATCGGGCCACAAATTCTAGATTAAAAGGTAGTATTAAGTGATGTAAAATTAAATAATACAAAAAATTAGTAGTGTAAAGAGTATTAAATTAATAATAATAATAAATACAATAAATATTTTTGAACAATTTCACACATAACGCTATCTAGCCCCATAGTAAGCAATTAATATGCTTGTGTTATGGGTGCTCGCTTAACGGATATACTACATTATATACGTTTTAAATACATACATATTATACTAGTAACACCCAGACCCATCACAGAAATTAAAATTCATCATTTCAATTTCTGCCCGGCTGGGAATCGAACCCGGGACCTCTCGGCATAGTAGTCCCTTTTAGAACTACTACACCAAACGGCCGACAAATAATTAATTAATTAAATTAATTATTAGTGAAAGATAAGTTGCATTTTTATATTAGTAATATTCCATAAACCAATATAACACAAAGCCACAAACTAAAAATATTATGATATTTTTAGTACTAGCTTCGACCCAACCGCCTTCACAAAGTACATATTATTTCAAACCAAGATTTCGCAGAATTTCTGCCCTAAAAATGCAAAGTAATTATCTCTATTTAAGTAATACCTATTCGTTAGCAACTTTTTGCATAAAAACATACTCGACAACCACGGATTATCATAAAAAAATGCGATTTACTAACTACGTGTTAGTGAGCCGTCCATACCGCCGGCCATTTTTCAAAAAATCCCATCTGTCAATTGTGACAGCCAATGGTAGCATACCGGAAACTGTTCCCTAATATTTCGTTCAGAAATCGAATTAAATTATTTCTTTAAGCCGCGAAATTTCAAAAATCTAGACAAAGTTTAATAATATGGCCTTCTGAAAGGCGCATGGGCGGTAATTGAAAGTTAGTTGAAAAAAGTTCTGGGCTGTAGTCGCCATGTTTATTTTGGGTTATCAAAAGGCGCGTGGGCGCTACGAGGATATAACCAGAAACCCTATCCTACCTATTTACCCAGTAGCCATGAACTGTCTTTTATGATCCATGTAATCAATTCCTGAACGGATATTGATGAAATTTGACAGTATTATTGTTTACTTTATACATTGAATCAGAATAACTTAATAAGCTATAATTTATATCGACATTACAACATTAAGGCTGGGTTGCACCATCTTACTTTAACTTTAACAAACGTCAAAAGTCTGTCAAACGCTGATAGCACAGAATAATAATAAGAAGTACTACGTACAGAAGTTTTACTTCGCGAAGGTATTTAAAAAAATGTATGCTCAATGTCATTAACAATATGGTGTAATTTAGCCTGTCTCAAGAGTCAAGCACCATTTTGTTGACAAACGTCAGTGATAGGCACTGCGCCGAAGCTATAGGGNGTACCTTGCTACGTTATCAGGGGAAGGGTTTTTAAAATCTAAGCTATTTTGAAGACACCACTGCGACCATCTATTCCATATTGGGGTGTATGTTTTTAGCGTCGAAGATCTCCAACACGTCGAAAGAAGCTGCTTCTCCTCCGCTGTCCAACTTCCTGTTAAGGCGTCCCAGCCGAAACGAGCCAAGCTTCCAGCTGTAGGTTGTGAACTTGAGCTGGTGGCCGTCCCGTCTGAGTGTCTATCAGTGTCGACGACAGGTTCTGAATCTTCACAGGGCGTGCTAGGGCCCGGTTTTTCAAATCTGGGCGCCAAAAGGGCTTCGTCCACTTGGGTGCAATTATGATGAACTTGCCTGTTGCCGAGTTGAGGTGATGGAGTACTCGAGGCAGCAGGGATGGTGGAGGGAACACCCACGCTAGGTGGTAATTCCAGCACCTGCTGAACGCGTCGTGAAAGCAAGCGTTCGAGTCTGACAAGTCTAGCGTAGCATAGTTCGATACGACATGAGCTTCGCTGGAAGCGAAGAGGTCTATTTCGGGGGTTCCCCAGCGGTTGAAGACCTTTACTGTCGCTTGGTGTAGTAGGTACCATTCTGAGCCGGCGCGATTGCGCGAGAGGTGATCGGCTTCTGTATTGTACCGGCCTGGCAGATGGTGAGGGACCAGTACTATGCTGAGGCTGTCCGTCAACGCTAACAGCTGTCTGGTCATTTCGAGTAGCTTCGCTGATCTCGTCCCGCCCTCGTTCTTTATGTACGACACCACGGTGCGATTGTCGCTCTGCAAGATTACTGTAGAGTGTTGAAGAACCTCTGTCTTTGACGAGATAGCGGCTATCACTGCGTACATTTCCTTTAGATTGCAATGCCATCTTTGTTGACGACGATCCCACGTGCCTTGAAGTGTATCGTTGTTTACCGTGGCGCCCCATAGAATGTCTGATGCGTCCGTGACTAGGTAATTTGTTGGAAAAACCGGTTGGTGAATCGGGGTCTTCTGACTTATGTTGTCGAGCCACCATTCCAACTCTGACTTTACTTCGTTTGTGATGGGACTGGGTCGCCGCGGGCTTTTTCGAAGTACATGGCTGTGTCGCTGCAGCGTTCGGCAATGCAACCTTCCTCGGAGAGTGGTGAAGGTTGCGAAATTGAGGTACCCTAAAAGGCGTTGCGCCTGTTTGAGGGACCAACTGCCGGCTGCCAAGCGGGTCAATATACATTGGCGAATCTTCCTCACCTTGTCCAGGGGTAGACACTTGGTGTTGAGTTGTGTGTCCCAAAGTATCCCCAGAAACTCTAACGACTTTGTTGGCGCAAGAATCGACTTTTCCCAATTGATATTCCAACCCAGGCTGGAGAGGTATGTCAACGCTACCTGAACATGAGCTTCTAACATTTCTCTGTTCTGATGCACAATCATGAAATCGTCCAAATATACTATCAGGCGGAGACCTTGGCTGCGCAGTAGTTCGGCCACCCAATTTGTGACAGAGGCGAACATTCTTGGTGCTGCAGCTAGTCCGAAGGGAAGGCAAGTCATCTGGAGTAACCGACCCTCGTAACTGATGCGTAGGAAGCATCGATGCTGCTCCGCAATTGGCAAGTGGTAGTAAGCTTGGCTGATGTCCAGTTTTATCATCCAATCGTTGGTTTGTAAGAACTTGGGCATTAGGTAGTGATGAAATAAATGAAAAGTTTTGGGATTCATGAACTGATTCAATGCTTTTAAATNCCGTGACCTCAAATGGCTGTCTGTCACAGATAACATTCACAGGTCATTTGTCACGATGACTTACTGAGCGACTTACCGAGCCCAACATTACTGAGTATTATTTGCCGGAAAAACTTCAGATGCGTCTGACGAAGAATGTGCACTTCGCAAAATGAGACTCGAAATTTTGAGAAATGCACATTGTGCAAAAATCTAATTTTGAGTCGAGAGCTCATTTTGCGAAGTGCACATTCTGCTTCAGATGTAGTACAAGTGAGTTCTTTCATTTTGTGGGTTGTAAAAACTGTAGTAAATCAAAAAAGTACTCTATATCAGTTTTTGAGCGCCATCTTACTTGTTTCATATGGCTCATCTAACAATGGCTCAAAGTGGCCTCCAAATGACGTATATAATTTGGAGGGCACTTTGAGCCATTCAGTTATTTTCAAGCTATTTATTGATATCCAGTCAAGCATGAGCTTGAAGTTCTGGCTTTGTATAGAGATTTTACCGCCTTTTCAGATTACGAGCGTCTGTCATTTGTCTGTTACTGTCAAAGTACTATTGTAGAGATGCTGACAGAAACGCGTCATAGAAAAGTCAACTGTCACTACTCTAGTAGAGACGCGTCTCTTCTCATAGAAAGCTAACATTTGTGTTAACATTTACAATATCGTCAATTTAAAGACTAAACTTAACAAAATACAATGCATTCTTCTTGAAATACGATAGGTTGAGAATGAGATATCCAACAAAACCTGTTAGAAGCGGATTCATAATGTTTTTATATTGTTTTCATTACACTAATAGATTCAACATTTCAAAAGCGGAATGGAATTATACGTTCCATTTCATGACCACGGTCTTATTGTTATTGAAGCAGTTATGTGATATACTTTTACTTCATCATGATGATTGTTTTATTCTATTTACGCTGCGATTATCACTAGGTTAAGTAGAAAAAAACTCATTTATTTATGCAAGTAGTCTTTTAAAAAGCACTTTTACACGTCCCAGTATTAACCCTACCACTGCTTCGGGGCAATAAATGGGCCAGTGCTGAGAAGAAGCAGCGCAAGAAACTCAGTCACTATTGTCAGTCTCTTTTTCAAGAGTCTGTAAGACTTTTACAGTGGTTATGAGAATATTTTAAAAGTAAATTTTTACAAATGACTGTCAAGTGTCATCACCAAAGGTTAGGCTTAGGTTAGGTAGATCTAAATTGAAATCAATAATAATACTTAAGTAGCAACTTCCTACAATGTTTAATGACGAGAATTCAGCCATTTTGAGAAGATTTTAAATGGAAATACCGTTTTTGTTCCGCAAATAAAACTTTGTATTAAAACCAGGGTTCGAGGATATATATCAAGGGATATATATCAAGATATATATCGGATATTTATCCGATATATATCAAGCTGGTTTTGACGATATATATCAATTTTTAAAATTTGTTACTGTATTTGTACTTTTTGATATAAGATTTTTATTTTTTAGTTGATTTTGCCGCATTTGAAACAAGATTTTACGTTTTTGCTTTATTTGTCTGATTTTAAGTTTTAAAAACATTAAAAGCATGTATAAGTAACACATATGCAATAGTATTCATAAATAATACAATAAAATAATGGTATGGCTTTCATACAAAATTGATATATATAAAAGTTGATATATATCGGATATATATCATAAATATCCGATATTTTGATATTTATAATAAATATCGGATATTTTCGAACCCTGATTAAAACCTCAGTTTACACAGAACGTCATTCATCATCATCATGCCTTATTCATGGCTGAATCATCTCAGATTTTAGTATTGGTTTGTACGTGACTTCGAGCGAAACTAGTTATAACTTAATCACTGTTTCAATCGCTTCAGCTAGATTCTTCAAATTCCACGAATTTATCTAACTATACAATGTATCCCAAAATTCAACGATTAGCTGGCGCCGTAGAGACAAAAACTTTATTTATTTTTCCTAAAATTAGTCATGACCATGTCCACCCTACGGCGCCGGCTTCTCGTTGAATTTTGGGACATCATGTCCCATGAGTCGCATGTAAAATTAACAGAGACATATGAACATTTTTGTGCAATGAAATAATCTTCAGTAATTGCTGCAAGTGCTCAAAACAATTGATCCAGATTTTCAACGACTTGTTCTTGATTAGCTGCAATAATTACCTAGTTTTAGACCACTTATGAGCTGAAGCTGGCTGATTATGTTGTCCAATACTAGGGCACTATATAAGTTGTGAGCCTCGACAACATAACGTGTTGTTAGACGACATCTGATACTTTTAATGAAAAGTTTGACATTTTTGACTACCACCTTATTCAAAACTTTTTATCATTTGAGCACGTTTTGTATTATTAACATTGAATTGAAAATTATCTTGACTACAAAAACATGGAATTGACTTGCGGAAATTTTCGCGCGAAGATTTATTGTGACTTTCGACGTGGTTAATCAATACAAAACTGAAGCTGTCAGCTAAATTTCACTTTTGGTGATAAAGATCTGTCCTTTACCATTGTAAAACGCTAGTTTAAGAAGTATAATATTGTATGTCATTGGCTCACCAGTGAACTTTGCGAAAGTCGTCCAAAATGACTAATAGTGGCGGAAAACATTGATGTTGTCAGAAAAATGGAAGAGAAACCGCGTCATGTGATATATCGTAGGATTGAGATAATCCTAGGCATTAATTCCACTAGCAGTAATTAAATATTGTATGACCATATTATGGTTAATACGTTTTTTTCTAGCTGGATGTCACAAAATTTTTCAAACGCTAAATAGGACGCTTGTGTCGTTTAGTCCTTGGAAATGTTTGATAAATACGTTTAAAAAGCTTTGAAAGCCGTTTTNTAATACATAATTTGGATAGTGATTTAGTATAAATTCCTTTTGAGAGCTACTATCTGCTTAGAAAGCTTATATTGTTAAATAGTGCACGTATCTAATGTTCCATGTTTAACGCCTATAGCAGTACATAAAGCTGATATCAGCATTCGCTTAACGTGAAATAAACATTTAAAACGTATTAAAGTGCTCAAAGTAAAACAGTCATTTTTAAACTTACTTTGAGCAATTTGCCCTAAGGTCGCATGAGACCGCGGTAACAATTGCTTTCTATTGAGTCTCGATTCGCTGATGCCTTAAGTCTTAAGTCCGGTTGAACTAAAAACTATTTTAACACCTACATTTTAAATTCTGCAGCGGAAATGAGCAGCAGTTCGTCTGAAGGCAAGACGAGCTCATGGGAGGCGAACACAGCGACTCTTCTATCGGAAGACTACGCGGAAATCGTTGATGATGATGCGGACTACTCCACGCCTGCTGGTGAGCTTAGATCCCATAATAACTACACTCAACATCAAATAAATCGCACCTCCCGCAACAAGCACTTTCAAACTAATGCATCCCCACTTCCCACCAATATTGGCACCATTTAAAAGCCTAGTTCTAAACTTCATTTCATTAAAGGAAAGGTTTTTACCCCAAAAATGTGTCTTTAGAAGGATCCAGAGTCACTTCTTCAAAAAATAGGCTATTACGCTTGAGCCAACTTTTATGGCTATAAAACTGTTAAGTTGGGATTAATCGGTATCCATCTGTTAAAGAGGACACGTGTGATCATTATTTGGTTTTATAACCATAAAATTTGGTCTAATTGATCCCAGAGGTGAGCCCAAAGTGAGGTCTCGTTTCAAGTCACATTTATGGTATATGATAATCATTTATTTAGAAATTAAATGTGTTTTTCTTTAAGGATATTTACTGGGCTTTCAAATAACACCAATATTGTTGGGACACCAAGATTGTGTCAGAAGAAAATCTTTAAAGTTCGCGTCGCTGAAGGTGCGGTTTATTTGATGTTAAGTGTAGATAGATAATAGAATTTGATGGCATAAGGATAGTATTTGTGGTATAAGAACAATCGCTAATATTCCTGTTACCTCTCCCGAAGCTAGGTTCAAACAAAAAAATCTAGTGGTCTAAATGAATCGCAACCACATCGTAAAGGTGACCTCTTGAATCGATAGCTTGATGCAGATAATGGTACCTATAACATATCGCAAAATGATTCATCATCAAGTCGCTTATGCCCGTTTTCACCATCAGTCCCTAATTTTTAAGTGGCCCCTATGGTAACACATAACAGAAATTTTGTTTTCATAGGGGTCACTTAAAAATTGTGGATTTATGGTGAAAACGGGCATTAGTCTCCACTACAAGACCACGGCCTTCTAATTTAATAGAGGCAAGTAAGGATTAGGCCAACTCTCCTCACGCTTACCAGAAGGGTCAGGGAGTTCCGATGTTTACATATTTGGTCCTCAGTCGTCTCTTCCATCGGAATGAGCTCCTAATATTCTCCGCTGGAATCACGCTTTGATTCAAGCACATGACAATTTTCTGTCTTTCTTCCAATGTAATTTAAAAAATTCTGTCTCTTTCTTCCGTTTCATATTAAATGTCTTCTTCCAGTTCGGGACTACGAACTAGTCCGTAACCAGATCGAATTGACGGGCATCATCGGCGAGGGCCAGTTTGGAGACGTACACAAGGGCACGTGCAAGGTGGCTTCTGCCAACCACCCCTCGCTGAGACGGCAACTGGCTACACTAAAGCAACAAGGTAAAGAAAACAAATTACCAAACTATGTATCTAAATATAAAAAAACTCAAAGGTGACTGACTGACATAGTGATATCAACGCAAACCAAACCACTGGATGGTTCGGGCTGAAATTTGGCATGCAGGTAGATGTTATGACGTAGGCATCCGCTAAGAAAGGATTTTACGAAACTCCACCCATAAGGGGGTAAAACGGGATCCACGCGTACGAAGTAAAAGTTTAAATAAAAGTCACCATCATCATACACATCGTCTGCCTCTGCAAAGATAGCGAATTCTACTATTTTCATCAATTTCTTGAAATTGTTGGTCCACCAAGCTATGTTTGCCGAGACGCGGTCTCCTCGAGAACCTGTTTTCTCCACCTTTCGTTGATGTTGCAATAGATACGAGGAAGTCATAAAATCACCTTCGTATCATCGATTTGTAGCAAAAACGCGTATAATCTAACAATTTGGATTGATGATGATTGTTGTTCTATTATTTCCTGACAATATTGTTAATTATCCAATTCCTATTGTTTTTACTTACTTAGTATATCATTCATGTACTGTTCCAATTACATATTTACTATTTTCTCGTTCTCAGGCAAATGCAATGCAGGTGAATACATCCTGCCCGTGGCTGTGAAGACTTGCAAAATGGACGCAGATCTGGACACGGCTGAGAAGTTCCTAGAAGAGGCCTGTAAGTAAATTGATCATCTCTTTTATTTATAAGTAACTGATGTCCGTTATCACCATCAATCCCTAATTTTTAAGTGACTCCTATGAAAACAAAATTCCTGTTAACTTCATCACAGGGTTCTCTCAAAAATTAGGGATTGATGGTGAAAACGGGCATGAGGCAAATAGAGGATTTGACCTACACTCCCCACGTTGGCCAGAGGGGATGGGGACCCCTGATGTTTCCTTAGAGCGGTTTCGCACTACGTCCGATCCGAATCCGTGACAATACGTTTGAGTATTAGAATACTTATCTACGGGATTAATACCATGTACTTTTTTATTTACGAGCCTATAAAAACAATATACGTTTGAGTAAGTAGTATGATATATTTTATATGTGTAGATCCGATGATCTAGTACGTAAAGTATCATACTACTATATGTCATCCGATTTCTCCAGTAGTTTTCTAGATTCGTATTTTCGAGTTCGTAGATTGAAACCACTTTTAGTTAGTTTTTCCACCTCTACAGAAATAATAATGTGGTACGCTGTCGGATCCACTCTTCTAACGAAATGTTTTTTTTTTTCATTAATCTACACTTTAACATTTTCTACCAATTTTTTTCCGATATTATTTACGAGGGTATTCATTTATTTCCCAGACATAATGCAGCAATTCTCCCACCCACACATCATCGGGCTGGTGGGTGTGTGCAGCGCGCCGCCCATCTGGATCGTGATGGAGCTGGCAACCCTAGGCGAGATGCGCGCTTATTTGCAGCAAAACGCGCACAGGTAACACTCGCTCTGCTTCCTAATTTAGTAGTAATCATTAACTTTAAAAAAAAATAAAACAGACTTCAAATGCGTGAACACAAAAAAAAATTAAAAATATTGCGTATAAAAAAGTTCATCCCCAATTTTCCACCCTTGGGGGTGAAATATTTTCTTCAAATTCGCATGAAACCACCCTTTTCATAATACCTATTCAACAAAAAATAATCGTTCAAATTGATTTATAATCGGCGGAGATATTGCGTATAAAAAAGTTCATCCCCAATTTTCCACCCTTGGGAGTTGTTTTTTCTGTTATTAAATTTAAATGGGACCACCCTTGAGGTATTACCTATACGCCGAAAAAAGATTTGTTCAAATCGGTTCATAATTGGCGGAGTTATCGCGTAACAAACATAGAAAAAAAAAACATACGGGTCGAATTGAGAACCTCCTCCTTTTTTGAAGTCGGTTGAAAACCAACAATGCATAGATGAATGCTCTAGAGCATTGGTTCCCAAAGTGGGGGGGCGCCCCCCAAAGAGAGGCACATGACCGTTAAAGGGGGACGCGGGCCATCTGTGTACTTAAGTATACAAAATGCATTCCAGACTGCTCGATACGGCCAATAAATAATCTTGACTAGAGGGGAGGAGGGAGGGGTTGTATGGTCGAAAGGGGGCGCGGTAAATAAGTTTGGGAGCCAATTATCTAGAGGATGTCGGTTCATCAAATGGACGTCTACTGCTGAACAAAGTTATCAGTCGAGGATTTCCAAAACGACCATAGGGGATTTCTTTTTTCTTTCTAACCTTGGCATTGCCGAATCATCCAGTGTATATCCAAAACTTCCATAAGGGTGGGTTAGAATGAGTTTTTTGTGTTTTTCTGACCCCTGAACCACACACATCGCGATAACCCGAAGAGTCGCGCTATTACCAAGTGTGTAGAAAATATTTGCGAATACTCCGGTGCTGTTTTGCATAGTAGCAAGACTCATTCGCTGTCGCCCGAATGATTATCACCACGCACGATGTGTGTGATCCAGGGGCTTTAAGATTTGTATGCGGTGACAGCTCAGCAAGAACCTACTTATTTAAATGCTATTTGTGCTATTATATCTGTAATGATTTGCCATATCAGTCTTAAAGTGACGTCACGATCTTGATTATGATGATGATGAGTGCTTGACGTTTAATAATGACGTATTTCTCCCAGACTGGAGACTTGTACGCTAGTGCTGTACATCTACCAGCTGTCGACGGCGCTGAGCTACCTGGAGAGCAAGAAGTTCGTGCACAGAGACATCGCGGCCAGAAACGTGCTGGTGTCCACGCCCACTTGTGTCAAGGTTGGTACAATGTGTACTGATGACGTATCTCCCAGGCTTGAGACGTGTACTAGTGCTGTACATCTACCAGCTGTCGACGGCGCTGAGCTACCTGGAGAGCAAGAAGTTTGTGCACAGGGACATCGCGGCCAGAAACGTGCTGGTGTCCACGCCCACTTGTGTCAAGGTTCGTTAGGCGTTTAGCAAAATATCATCGGAGTTAACCTTAGTAATCTGGTTTTGGGTGGGGACGATTTTTGGCATGGTCCTTTACCATCGGCAACAGTGTTAACTATCCATTGCCTGCCATGTCGTCTCGTTCTATCGCAAAGAATCACCATTTGATGAGAGCGAGAGCAAAAACGGAAATGGATAGTTAACAGTGAGGCCGTGTGTACATTAGAGGCAGAAAAGATAGTGTTTCTATCCAAGTGGGTATCAAAAATCTCTGAGGGAAATGGACACCGTAGTCAATTGACGTACTTTTTAAGAGCTGTCAAATCGTTACTCCTAGCCCTTTCAGCACAGAATAATACGAAAGTGCGTTCGACTTTGAAAAAATCTAGTGAATTGGTAAATCAATTTTACCGCGCCGAGACGCTTCCGATCGATCGTACGGTTCGATATATTTGCTATTTTTCATACAAAAACTTTCAGTGGCGTTCAGTCGGTGCTGTGTTGAGTGACAAAGATGGACGTGTCCCTGACTACGGGAGGCGTGAAAAGTATTAATTTATTTAAATCACTTCTTTTGTGGATTTCAATGAATTTTGTGCGTATTAATTTAAATTATATACTTAAAAAATATAATTCGCTTTAATTTTATAAAAAGTTAGATGAAGCCGAGTACCAGGTACTCCTAAAGTTCTACAGCACGAGCGTGCATGTCGGGACGATGTTTGAATTTTTGGTAATGTAAGTAATGGAAACCTTTCGAATCTTTTAAAGGCTTGAACATCAGATTTACTCTAAAATAAACTCAAGAATGTCTCCGAGACACATAACCACCAAATAGTACAAATCCGCTGTAGAAAATACAGCCACCAGTGAAAATATCGAGAGGATACCAGGATTCAAGTACCAATAGATGAACCAAAATGATCCCTTTTATGAAAATATCTAACCCCATGTATTATTGAATAATAGCCTCGACATCTGGGATTAAAAAAAATAAGTTATTACTAAAAACGAAAGCTCATATTCAATTTTAAGATGCTACTACCCCCAAAATTCAGGTTATGACAGAGTTCTAGGTTAGGGCCATGAGCTATTTTTGAATTGTTTTGCAGAAATTACTATCTAATTACGATATCATGTCTTTATGAAAAATAATAAAGCTCCTTATATCTAAAATGTCTTTTTTTATTAGTTTAAATTGTAATTGTAATGAAATAGCTATTCATAGGTTCATGACGAATTGATACGATCGTGCGGGGGGGTTTAGGGGGGTTAAAGTCACCCCCTAAATTTTTTCGCTATTTTTCTCTATTTACTAAGATTCTAAAGACCCCAGAAACTAACGCGATTTTTTAGAAATCGTCAAATTTTTCTCTCGTGCTGAAAGGGCTAGAATATTTTTATTTATTTATTTACACTTTTTGTAAAATANCTAAAACTGGTTGGTCCAAATACTGCTTCAGTTCATTTGGTACACAGCCACTGCTTGGAACCTCAGACGAAGCTATGCTCTGATTTAATAATTTTTCATGTCTGGACCAGATAGAGGACCCACTAGCTTGTTCTGATGCTGCTTGATCAGGATTTTTATCTGGAGAACGCTGTCCTCTACGCCGATGTTCTGCATGAATCTCAGCACTGATTTTCGATATAGCATTTGACACGACAATTGGCGAGGTAAAGTGGATACGCTTGAACCGAGGGTCCAAAAGAGTAGCAACTGAGAGAAAAATATTTCCTCCTAAAGGAGCCAGTTTGTCTTCAATTTTTTTGAGTAAAGCCTTTTTTACAATCATTCCTAAAGAGGTTGATGGAGTTGCTTGATCTGTTACTTGGGTAATTAAATTTGTAATGGCTAAGCTTGACGTTACATAATTCGCTCCACTTATTTCCTCAGTCGCTTCTTTGAAAGGGCCAAGAAGAGCAATAAAATCTCGTATCACATTAAGTTGCGACGATGGAACCATATCTGGTGTATTTTTGTTAGTTTGGCTTTTTGTGGCTAAAATTTTAGCTACTAGTGCAGACAGTTTAACGAATCTCTCTAACATGTCAAAACAAGAATTCCATCTAGTGCTGACTGCTTGTATTAATGTCAACACCTCACCTTCTTTTTTTCCACACGATTCTTGTTCGGCTCGTAATTGGTCCATAGCATTGACTGACTGCTTAAAGAACGTCACAATGCTTTTGACGTGATCAGTAAGTGCAGAAAATTCTTTAATTTCTTTCAGTACTCCGTCAATTACCAGGTTTAAGACATGAGCCATACAAGGTATCCGACGATTATCACCTAAAAACAATCGTACCGCTGATACTATATTTGCGCCGCCATCAGTGGTAATTGATACAATTTTGGTTTTGTCAATTTCAAACTCTTCACATATTTCTTTCCAACATTCTTGAATGTACTGTCCGGTATGGCCCTAAAAGTATATTTGTACACTGTAAAATGTAATAATTGCAAATCCAAATACTTTAGAGGTGTGGTTAAAATTATAAAGTACATCAAATATACCTGAGAAAGTTTTTGGGCGCATAAGTTCAGGCTCTGAATTACAGGCGATCCGTCTACGATGTCAATAAAGTGAACCGTCAATACTAAGAAACTTCTTGTAGAGTTTGTAATTGTTAGTATGTCACTCGTGAAACATAATGATGTGGTCTCTTTCAATCTTTTTACTATAATCTCCTTCGTGGTATTGTATCTGTTTTCTATTAAGTGAGTTACCTGAATGTAAAAAGTACCAATTATTTGACTGCAATTAAATATTAAAAATATAAATAAAAACAAAAGTTATTTAGAGACAACCTTTTTTCTTGAAGGCAGTTTATAGAGAGGGCAAACTGTGCGAATAAATTTTTTTAGTCCCTTTTTTTCTACGCATGACAGTGGTAAATTGTCCTTGCATATCATATAAGTTAACGCTTGTGTAATTTCACAATGTTTTTGTCCACCTTCTGAAATATACAAATTGTGTTAATAGGTAAATAATTTAATATAATTGACATTTACTTAGAAAAAAAAACAAATATGAAAAAGTCACATTCACATCTAAACTATCGATATATTTACAAATTGATTGGCGACCATCACTAAAATTTGTTGTAAATCACTCCGATTATCGGATATATGAAATATGAATGTTATTTTTATCAATACTAAGATAAATATATATTTGTAAAAACCTTCAAAGCTTGAACTTCTCTCAAAACAGCTTGGTAATGTAGATTGTAATTCTTGTGATGGCTTTCTTTTTTTCGCGGCTTGTTTGAAGAATTGGGTTTTTGGAGAATGTGCAGAAATTTCGTTCATCTCTTGTATTTGGGAATGGGAACCGTCATTAGATGTACTCGTACTTGGTATTGGTAAAGTAACCTGACATTAGTAAACAGAAAAAAAATAATTACAAATCTTAACCTATTTACAAAGTTATCTATTCATCAATTTCATCATGGCGTCAGAGTAAGTTCACATCACATCTCATTTCACGTTTTATATAGTTTTTTTTTTAGAAGTGTAAAATANCCTTTGGCATAGAGATAGTTTGAGTCCCGGGAAAGAACATAGGATAGTTTTTATCCCGGTTTTTGAAACAGGGACGCGCGCGATAAAGTTTTTCTGTGACAGACAAAAATCCACGCGGGCGAAGCCGCGGGGGCGGAAAGCTAGTAAGATATATTTTGGTGAATACTTGTTGGTTTTAGTGAGTATAGTCGCCTATTAAAGTTTTTGTGCTAATTAAAAGTTTAATCTGAAGCGCTCCTAATCTATACAGCAATATGCTTTATCTATAAAAGGGCGCTGCGGTCACTAATATAATATAATGTACCCATTGTTATGAAATAAATTATTTATTTATTTATCTTTTGTGTAGTAAGAAGCAGACTAATAAACCCAAACGATTGTAGGACGTCTGTAGGACGTCTTTTTAAATATCCAGAAGATAAGTACTACTGTAAAATGTGCAGTTGAAATCGTTACTTTTTTGTAATCCCAAAAACATAGAGCACCAGTAACACACTTGGTCAAGACGCCCACAATTGGGCGCGCCCTTGACCGCACGGTCTGCTAACGATACCCTTAGCGGCATTGTCTTGTGCCACAACAGATGGGACTCGAAATAGAACCTGTGTTAGGGTGAAAATAAGGGCCGTAGGGCTAGGATGTAATCTTATCATTTTATCGATATTAGACGATAAGCCTTTGTCGTCTAAAATCGATAAGATTATATTGTGGCGCGCATCCTAGGTTGAATGGGTGGTGATGTTACGAGTATGAGTAAAGATAAAAGATATAAAAAAAATGTTTATATTTTTTAAGCACAATTATGACTGTAACTAGCTTTTCTAATGGTTCATATGTCTAATGGTTCGAAGGCAATAAATACATTTTTTATTTATTTATTTATTTTGCCTGCGGCTTCACCCGCGTGAAATTTTAGTTTGTCACAGATCGTCATAAATTATAGCTTATATGTTATTCAGGGTTGTAAACAATAATACTGTAAAGTTTCATCAAAATCCGTTCAGTAGTTTTTGCGTGAAAGAGTAACAAACATCCAGACATACAAACTTTCGCATTTATAATATTATTAGTAGGATGATGAGCTTATTCATCTTCCATTCTTGGAAGCTGATTTACAAATAAATGCTAAGATTAATGTAACTTTTTCCAAGTATTGGAAAACTGTACCCCGAATATGTAATTAGCTTGTCTCTCATCTCGCTAGCCTCCGTCGCGTGAAAGCAAGCATTAAAGAAATATCAAATTATGGCTTTCTAGTACTACTTCTACAATGTATAAATACAAATAAGTAAACAAGCAAATACCTGAAGTCACATCGACCAATTGTGTTTTCAGTGTTTGATTCTCCGTTGAGTTGAGACCATTAGAACCGACAGACGATGCGACTATTTATTTATTTACTATTTAGTTTAAAATCTCTCCTTTTACAACTATATTTAGCTAAGAACTGTTCGTATCATTCATCACTGTTTCATAAAGACAGGCGTTATAGTGATTTTTATAGCCGCAACAATAGATGTACAATGTTACGTCAATCTGAAAGCGATTATGAAGAAAGCTAATATCTCTCTCTACTTGAGTTTTGGCAAACCAACTGTAAAATANGCGGGCGGCCGCTAGTTATGAATATGAGTTTATTTGTGACCGATTTATTACAATAAAGAAATCATTTTAAATTATATTTATAATTATTGTAGGTACCTAAATAGATTTTTTATTAAAAAAATATTTTGTTTGAAAATGTGTTCAGTAAATTAAGTTGTTATCTCATAATAATATCTTGATCAAGATTATCGACCCGGAAGACTACTGAAAAAAAAAAGATTAATCATTGTTATATTTTGATAATTCTACAAATTGCCACCTATTGTTATTATCAAAATACTAAATATTTTTCTGAAACTTAAAATATGCCAATATTAGCTTGATTTATCGTTTAATGTAGAACATAAGAATTTTACGTTAAAATAATATTAATTGCGGATACATTTTTAGTTTTTTTATTTATTTGCAATTTTTATTAATTCTTTTTGCAGCACTTTTTATAAATTATAATTATTATCAAATATTTCCATCGAAAGTTCTTTCCGCTTTATTACGCTGGAGAAAGTCATACTTTGTAGAACGGAACAGTGTTATCGCCGGGATTGAGAAATCCGTCGTAGCTGGTTGGCTGTGACGTGTGAAATATCAATCTAGGTATACTAATAATATCTGTAAAATAAGGGCCCAAATCTACTAAATAAAACCAACTGCTTTGAAAACAACACCAGGTTTATTCAAAGAGCGAACGAAATCCTCATGACACCAAATGCTTATATAGATCAGAAAAAATAAAACGATACCGCGATCTAAAACCGTACAGCGCCATCTCTTGGTGTCGATGAGAACTAACTATTACATTGCTTAAGCATAACACACTAGTTTTGCACTTACATTTTAGTACCAAAATTGGACATACCGCCCACCAAGGACATCTGTTTATGTCCTTATACAAATAAAACATAAAAAACTTATACAAACAAAACTCGGCCATCATCATGAGGTACACTAACTTCACCATACATACATATAAACTTAATTAAAACGTTTCGGATTTAACAGGTAAAATACATAATTTGGATGTAGGCCGCTTAATTATGGATCCATTGCATTTGAGAGATACGACCCGCGTAACTCCGTCCAAACCTGGATGCTTTTCGACAACCTTGCCCATGAGCCAACGAGCCGGGGGAAGGTTATCTTCCTTTACTAAAATAATATCGCCTATAACTGGTTCTGGGGTACGATTTGTCCACTTGTACCGTTGCAACATATGCAGAAGGTACTCATTTGACCATCGCCGCCAAAAACCTTGCAACATACGTTGTGTAACCTGCCAGCGTCGCAGACTTCCTATGTTCATTTCGAGATAATCTCGGTCAGGCACAGTGACAAGGGGCTCACCGATAAGAAAGTGTCCAGGTGTTAAGGGCATAGGGTCCTCACAGTTACTCGGTAATTGGGAGATCGGACGGGAATTAAGACAAGCCTCGATTTGGCTGAGTAGGGTGGTCATCTCTTCAAAGGTAAGCGTTGAATCACTGATCACTCTTCTCAAGTGAAATTTGGTAGACTTAACTCCGGCTTCCCAAAGTCCACCAAAGTTGGGTGCATGAGGAGGGATAAAATGCCAAGTAACACTGTTGTCGTTCAGCCAACTCCGAATTTCAAGAGCTACAGATGACCTTTCAAGCACAATTAAAGAATGTAGTTCTCTGGACGCACCTACAAAATTTGTGCCATTGTCACTCCATATTTCTCTACAAAGTCCTCTCCTTGAAACAAATCTTTTGAATCCTGCAATAAAACCTTCAGAAGTTAAATCACTTACAACTTCTAAGTGAATAGCCCGGGTAACCATACAAACGAAGAGACACACGTATCCCTTGTAAGACTTGCTGCCCCTACCTTTGGACATTCTGATGCTGATGGGTCCAGCAAAATCAACACCGCTTCTCAAGAATGCTCTTGCTGGTGTTACACGACAAGACGGTAACTGACCCATGATTTGTGGCTTCGTCACAGCAGCATGTCGCACGCAAGTGACGCATTTGCGCACATGAGCCTTTGTTACGTTCTTTCCTGAGATTATCCAATATTTTGAACGTAAGTAATTGAGCATTACGGATGGACCACCATGAAGGGTCTTCTTGTGTGCATCATCAACAAGTAAGTATGTAAAATGATTTTTCTGAGGGATGATGATCGGATTTTTTACATCATCGTCCAGTTGAGCATTTGTAATTCTTCCGCCTACTCGCAAGATATCATCTTTATCTAATATTGGATTTAGACATTTTAGTTTACTTTTATTCTTCACTTTTCCTGTTCTTTTAAGGTCCTCTATTTCTTCCAAAAAATCTTTCCGTTGACATTGTCTCGTACATATCTTCAAAGCTTCTGATATTTCATCACTTGTTAGGTAAGATTTATGTTGATTCTTTTTATTTTCTTTTTTCGTTAGATTTAAGAACCTTTTGCAAAATGCTATGACCCGTACTAATCTGTGCAACGATGAAAACTTCGTCCAAACTTTGTCCTCTGGGACATTATCAGTAACTACATGTGATTTAAGTGCTCTTTCTTCCATGTTGGTACTGATTGATTTTGGCCGCGTGTACGTAATGGTTTCTTCCTGAAGCCATAACGGTCCCTGTATCCATAACTCGTTGCAATGAAGCTCTTGCGGAGTTAATCCCCGAGAAGCAATGTCAGCTGGATTTTGCGATGACGTCACATGAGCCCAATGGGTGTTGTCCAATAAGGAGATAATGTGAGAAACCCTGTTTCCTACAAAGGTTGTCCATCGACTGGGATGACCACTAAGCCAAGCAAGAACCACTGATGAGTCCGTCCAAGCACGTACACTTGATTTCGGAACGTTCATTACCTCTGCAACTTCAGTGATTAGCTCAACTAACAAAGCGGCTCCCATCAACTCTAGTCGGGGAATGGATTGCTGCTTCACAGGTGCAACTTTAGTTCTGGATGTGACTAAGCTTACTTTCACTTCACCCTGTACATCTATGACCCTGACATATACTACAGCTGCATATGCCGCTATAGATGCATCGCAGAACCCGTGCAATTCGACTACCTTATCGTCATGACAAGTTGCAACCCATCTTGGAATTTGACACTTACTAATGTGCTCTAGTTCACATCTGTAGGCTTGCCATTCATCCAACAATTCCGCTGGCAACTCTTCGTCCCAATCAATTCCCGAAAGCCAAAGCTTTTGAATAAATATCTTAGAGACAATCACACATGGTGACACCCAACCTAGCGGATCATACAGACGAGATATGTCTGAAATCACCCTTCTCTTTGTGATTGGTGTTTGTTGAGTCGGCAGCTGCACTGAGTACTTAAACTTATCAGTATCTCGATCCCAAGACAGCCCTAAGATTTTTATAACATCGTCTATCTTGATATCCTTTCCCAATTGAGTTTCCTTTTCGCCTTTAGTGTCTGAAATTTGTTGATTCAATTCCTGATCATTACTAATCCACTTTTGCAGTTGAAAACCACTCTTGTCAAGTAATTCTGTAATTTTTTCCTTGATCATAAGTCCCTGTTCTATTGATTGACACCCTGACATCAAGTCATCGACATAAAAATCTCTCTTCACTATTTCGCGTATCTCTGGACAACTTTGACCGTCATCTTCTGCTACTTGCTGCAGTGTTTTCACTGCTAAGTAAGGAGCAGATGCTGTACCGAATGTAACACGTTGCAATCTGTATTCTTCTAACTCAGAATCAGGATTATCTCGCCAAACTATCCGCTGAAAATCGCTGTGTTCATCCGAAACCTTAACTTGCCGATACATTTTTATAATGTCAGCGCAAATTATGATTGGGTGCATTCTCCATCTCATAATAGTGTGTCGTAGAGGCGGTTGTAGAGTAGGGCCTACTAAAAGGTCATCATTAAGAGACACCCCATTAGAGCCCTTCATTGACGCATCGAATACAATTCGGACCTTTGTCGTAGACTTGTCTTCACGTATGACAGCGTGGTGGGGCAAATAGACGGCTGTATCTCTCTTTGAATCAACGCGGCTGTCTATACGTTGCATGTGTCCCAGCTCTAAGTATTCATGAATTACCTCAGAGTAACGTTCCTTGATTTGAGGTTGTCTTTTAAATTTATTTTCAAGTAGCAAAAATCTTTTGATTGCAAGTTCTCTAGAATTCCCATATTGGGATTTGGGATCTCTACTGCGAAATGGTAGATTCACAACGTAGCGCCCACTCTGGTCTCTGCTTGTAGTTGCTTTGTATATTTCTTCGCAACGTTGCTCATCTTCAGACAGAATCCTTTTGGGAACAATGCTTTCTATCTCCCAAAATTGCCTAAGTAATTCATCATCATCCGCCTGATTAGTAGAGCCACTTACGACATGATGACAGTGAATGTTATTCTGTTCATATCCGGTTTGTCCAGATAGGATCCAGCCTAACACAGTATTTTGAGCGGTAGGTGTCCCTCTAGGTCCCTTTATAATACCTTCCCTCAGGACTAGGCCATAAATTTCTGCACCAAGTAACATGTCCACTTTACTTGGCGTGTGGAACTCTGGATCAGCTAATGTGACCGCTTGAAACTCTGGCCATTGACACTGGTGAAGCTTCTCTGATGGCAGTAGAGACGTTATAGTGCTTAGCACATAAGCTCTTACTTGGACGCTAAACTTTGGATCTAACCGGGATTGAATCGTTACCATTACGACAAACCTGGAAGCTAAGGAGCTTTGATCTCCGCCTATTCCTGTTATAACTGACTTAACAGGTATTTTCTTCAGCCCTAATAACTGAACTGCTGATTCGGTTATGAATGATGCTTGGGATCCCTGATCCAATAACACCCTCAACAGTTGAACATAGCCGCTGCTAGTCTGTGCTTCGACTAGAGCTGTTGCTAACAAAACTTGAGTAGGCACGGACATCGACTCTTTAGAAAAGTGAGTGACTACATTGGAAGTGGTTGGTTCGCCCTCTGACAGCTGTGCCTGAACCGTAGACACGGCTGCTGTATTGACTTCAACTGCTGAATTAAATTTCTTTGTTGTTGCAGTGAAGTTTGAATTAGACTTGGGATGTAATAGTGAGTGATGTTTTTTATTGCAAATACGACAAGTTGAATTGGTGCGGCAGTATTTAATTGAATGATTACTCCCCAAACAATTAAAGCAAAGTCCATTGTTTTGAACGAAACTGTGACGCGAATCGTAACTCTCTTTTGCAAATTGTTTACAATTGGCGATTTTATGATTTTCTTTGCAAAATGAACATGAAATTACAGACTTAGAGTTATCATCATTGTTGATTACATGCATAACTTTTGGTTTATTATAATGAGAAGTGCTGTTTTGCTTAGACTTAATATTAGCTTTTGGATCTAAAAACTCAAGAGCACGAAATCTGGCTTCTAAAAATTCTTTAAATTCAGAAAACTTTGGCAAACTATCATTTGAGCTTATCTTCGATTCCCATTGCTTTCGTGACTCTGCATCTAATTTAGAACCAATTATATAAATAATTATAATGTCCCACGTACTGATGTCGACACTGAGATTTTGCAGACCATTCAAACACTCAACAGTTGTGTCTAAAAGACCCTTTATAGCTGTCGAAGATTCTACGACATTTGGCTGACTTATGAGTCGCTTTAGTAAGGTGTTTGATAGAAATCTCTTGTTTTTGTACCTGCTGCTTAACTGAGACCAACATTGCTTATAATTACCAGCGGTTATTGGTATATGTCGAACAAGCTGTTCTGCCTCACCTGTCAAGAGACTCTTAAGATAATGCATTTTTTGCACATCATCTAAGCGGGCATTTCTATCGATCAATGACAAAAACAAATCCTCAAATGTGGTCCATTCGCTATATAAGCCCGAAAAGCTAGGGATGGATATTTGTGGTAGTTTTACAAATGAACTTTCATTAGATTGACTCAAATCGGATGGAACCTGTCCTTTACATGTTGATTGATTTGGTATTAAACAATCAATGGCTTCCTTTAACTCAGATTTATAAGCAAAATATAATTCCTCGGCATTTTCATAAACGTTATCTTTAAAGTACTGATCTCCCGAATGTTTTTCTGTGACTAAACGAATTATGTTTTCATGCGTTGAAATAAATTGTGACCATTGATTGTCCAAAGCCTCCAACCTAGTTTGCAAATATGATAACTTAATTCTGTCTCTAGGTGATTTTCTGTAATTACTTCTAGCTTTATCAATTGACTTGTATTTATCAAACTGTAACTTATACAATTCTTCCATTATGGAGCAATTACTGTGTTAACAATATAAACAAAATTATAATTTTCAAGTAGTTATGAAGCTAAAATTTTTACAAGTGTTTTAAACATGCAAAATCGATATAAAATCGGGCATAGGTTCCCCGTCTCACCACTTTTTACTTAATTATTGCTAAGTCTTAACTAAAGTTACTCTAAATATTACAAAGTCCAATAACTGATTGAAACAACTCCAAATTTTTCTAAGTCCGGTTAATTTCTCAACTTGCAAAATATTCTTGAAGTTCCAAATAATTTAAAAGTACTCACAGTTATGCACCTCACTCACACTGATCACTTGGATTATTTACGCACGTCACAATATTGCCGCCACGCCGCCCAAATTGTCTCCTCCGGCACCTTTGCACACCAATTTGCAGCAACAGCGCCCTCTAGCGCCGGTGAGCGCCCGTCCACCAAAGTACACCTCCACCCGTCGAGACTGGTCTGCACTTCAGTAACGATCCGTCACTGGTTTCTATGCAGTGTTGCAAAAAGTCGCCGGAAGACACGAACTTGTGTCTTAAATCCGACTCGATAAGGACCATGTAAAATAAGGGCCCAAATCTACTAAATAAAACCAACTGCTTTGAAAACAACACCAGGTTTATTCAAAGAGCGAACGAAATCCTCATGACACCAAATGCTTATATAGATCAGAAAAAATAAAACGATACCGCGATCTAAAACCGTACAGCGCCATCTCTTGGTGTCGATGAGAACTAACTATTACATTGCTTAAGCATAACACACTAGTTTTGCACTTACATTTTAGTACCAAAATTGGACACTTTTGCACATACATATGTACAGTGGCGGAAGTTACCACATATATCTAAGATGTTGAAATTGAAATTAACATTTGAATGTTAAAGTACATAATTGTATTTTAAATTACATTTTAATTACTTTGAAGTCAGTCAAAAGCTTGTAAATTGAGTCCTATTTATAACAATGTTTGTAAGTCTTATTTGCTCGCTTTTTTTCTTGTCCAGTTGGCAGACTTCGGGCTATCCAAGATGGTGGAGGACAAGTCGTACTACAAAGCGTCGCGCGGCAAGCTGCCCATCAAGTGGATGGCGCCGGAATCCATCAACTTCAGGAGATTTACTTCCGCCTCTGACGTCTGGATGTTTGGTGAGATTATTATTTTAATATTGATAGCCATAACCTCAATATTTCCCGAGAGAACCAGCACCATGGTATCTGTTTAGGTTATTTATATGAGCGTAAGGTAGTTGTAAGTCACAGAGCTGACTATGAGAAGTAAGAAACAATATAGGGCCCAGTATAGTCCCTTGAAGAACTCCGAATACAAGAGCCTCTTGGTGGCTGATTATTTCTCCTATCTTTGTACATAGCGTCCTTCCCGATAGATAATCTCAAAATAGAACATATGTTTAAACGTCGGGCTTAAAATCAAGGCTTTGATTCGTTTAATTCAAATACATACTTAGACCGGTTACAGCTACAGCTTTGAATCTACATATTTTGTGAACCGAATTTTATCATTTCATGCATTATGAAATGGGACTTATGGAGTTTAGTTTATTTCCAGTAAATTATTTAGTAATCTATGCTATTATTAAGACTATTAAACCTATTTTTTTTGTTCCAGGCGTCTGCATGTGGGAAATCCTGATGCTTGGCGTTAAACCCTTTAGCGGGGTGAAGAACAATGACGTCATCGGCAAGCTCGAGAACGGGGAGCGCCTCGCCCTCCCGCCGCGCTGCCCCCCTCGTCTTTATTCCGTCATGTCGCGCTGCTGGGCCTACGAGCCTTCCCAGCGGCCCACTGCCCACCAGCTGAAGGAGACCTTATTGTGAGTGCCTTAGAGTTGATAGTCCCTAACCAGTTATGACGAGGACCGTACAGTTGATAGTCAAGTCGCTCGGAGAGCCACCAGCTCAAGGAGACTTTATTGTGAGTACCATAGAGTCGCTAGTCGTGTGTACGCCACGTCGCTACCGGCCTGCGAGCGACTCGCATTGCTCCACCGCGCGCTAAATAAGACCTTATTCCAAGTTGTACTGAGTCGCTAGTCCCGCGTACTATGTCGCTGTCAGTCTACGAGCGTCTCGCTCTCTCCGCGCTGCCCACCTCGTCTTTATTCCGTCATGTCCGGCTGCTGGGCCTACGAGCCGTCCCAGCGGCCCACTGCCCACCAGCTGAAGGAGACCTTATTGTGAGTTCCATAAAGTTCATAATCCCATGCATTTCGCCACGTCTATAGCAACGTCCCACTGCGCTCCAGCTCCAGCTAAACTTTACCTTATTGTAAGTGTCATAGAGTTGCTAGTCCCGCGCACTACACACTCGCGCCGAAAGATACCTTATTGCGAGTACCATAGAGTCGCTATTTCTCCCCCCGCGCTGCCCCCCTCGTCTTTATTCCGTCATGTCGCGCTGCTGGGCCTACGAGCCGTCCCAGCGGCCCACTGCCCACCAGCTGAAGGAGACCTTATTGTGAGTGTCATAGTGTCGATATAGCAAATACATCCCGCTACATTTCTTGGAACGCCCTACTGCGATCCAGCTGAGGAGACCTTATTGTGAATGCCATTGAGTCGCTAGTCCCGCGCACTCCACGTCACTACCGGCCTGCGAGCTCTTCGCTTCGCCTCGCCGCGCGCTGAATGAGACCTTATTCCAAGTGGCATTGAGTCGCTAATCCCAAGTACTCTAAGTCGCTTTCAGTCGTACGAGCGTCTCACTCTCCCCGCGAGTCTCTACCTAGCTCTCGCAACGGTACTCAGCGCGCCAGCTGAAGAAGACCTTATTGCAAGTGGCAGTGAGTCGCTAGTCCCGCGTACTCTGAAGTCGTTGTCAGCCTACGAGCGTCTCGCTCCCCCCGCGCTGCCGCCCTCGTCTTTATTCCGTCATGTCGCGCTGCTGGGCCTACGAGCCGTCCCAGCGGCCCACCGCCCACCAGCTGAAGAAGACCTTATTGTGAGTGCCTTAGAGTTGATAGTCCCGTGCATTCCGCCACGTCTTTTGCAACGCTTCACTGCGCTCCAGATGTGCTGTGCCGCTCGTAGCGGTACACCACGCGCTGAAAGAGACTTTATTGCAAGTGGCATTGAGTCGCTAACTGTAAACTTAAGTGCGCCTCGCCCTCGCCCCGCGATGCCCGCCGCGCCTTTATTCCGTCATGTCTCGCTGCTCGGCCTACGAGCCGTCCCAGCGGCCCACTGCCCACCAGCTGAAGGAGACCTTATTGTGAGTGTCATTGAGTCGCTATTCGTGTGTACTCCACGTCGCTACCTACCTCCGAGCGCCTCGCATCGCCCTACCGCGCGCTTAAAGAGACCTAATTCCAAGTGGCATTGAGTCGCTAATCCCAAGTACCTACTCTAAGTCGCTTTCAGTCGTACGAGCGTCTCCCTTCCCCCGCGTTCCCCTTGCCCCTCTACTCCGTCATGTCGCGCTGCTGGGCCTACGAGCCGTCCCAGCGGCCCACTGCCCACCAGCTAAAGGAGACCTTATTGTGAGTGCCTTAGAGTCGATAGTCCCGTAGTGCTCCCCCTGAGTCTTTACCTACGAGCTCTTGCAGCGATCCACCGCGCACCAGCTGAAGGAGAGCTTATTGTGAGTGCCATAAAGTCGCTAGTCGTGTGTACCCCCACGTCGTTACCGGCCTGCGAGCGCCTTGCATCGCCCCACCGCGCGCTGTAAGAGACCTTATTCCAAGCGGCATTGAGTCGCTAGTCCCTTATAAATCACTGTAAGCCTACGAGCGTCTCGCTCTCCCCGCGCGTCTCTATCTAGCTCTCGCAGTGGTGCCATAGAGTCGCTAGTCCCTCGTACTCTAAGTTGCTGTCAGCCTACGAGCGTCTCGCTCCCCCCGCGCTCTACTCCGTCATGTCGCGCTGCTGGGCCTACGAGCTGTCCCAGCGGCCCACTGCCCACCAGCTGAAGGAGACCTTATTGTGAGTGCCATAGAGTTGATAGTCCCTTGCATTCCGCCACGTCTATAGCAACGTCCCACTGCGCTCCAGCTCCAGCTAAACTTTACCTTATTGTAAGTGTCATAGAGTCGCCAGTCCCGCGCACTACACACTCGCGCCGAAAGATACCTTATTGCGAGTACCATAGAGTCGCTATTTCTCCCCCCGCGTTGCCCCCCTCGTCTTTATTCCGTCATGTCGCGCTGCTGGGCCTACGAGCCATCCCAGCGGCCCACTGCCCACCAGCTGAAGGAGACCTTATTGTGAGTGCCCCAGAGTCGCTAGTCCCTAACCAGTTATGACGAGGACCGTACAGTTGATAGTCAAGTCGCTCGGAGAGCCACCAGCTCAAGGAGACTTTATTGTGAGTGCCAGAGAGTCGATATTCGTGTGTACTCCACGTCGCTAGCGGCCTGAGAGCGCCTCGCATCGCCGTACCGCGCGCTGAAAAAGACTTTATTCCACGTAGCATTGAGTCGCTAGTCCCACAAATTTTACGTCGCTGTCAGTCTTCGAGCGTCTCGCTCCTCTCACGCTGCCCCCCGCGGCTAGAATCCGTCATGTCGCAGCGGCCTACTGCCCACCATTGAAGTAGACCTTATTGTGAGTGTCTTAGAGTTGCTAGTCCCGCGCACTCCACATCGCTACGGACCTGCGAGCGCCTTACATCGCCCTACCGCACGCGGAATGAGACTTTATTCCACGTAGCATTAAGTTGCTAGTCCCGAGTACTCGTTGCTGTCAGTCTACGAGCGTCTCGCTCCCCCCGCGCTCTACTCCGTCATGTCCCGCTGCTGGGCCTACGAGCCGTCCCAGCGGCCCACTGCCCACCAGCTGAAGGAGACATTATTGTGAGTGCCTTAGAGTCGATAGTCCCGTGCATTCCGCCACGTCTTTTGCAACGCTTCACTGCGCTCCAGATGTGCTGTACCGCTCGTAGCGGTACACCACGCGCTGAAAGAGACCTTATTGCAAGTGGCATTGAGTCGCTAACTGTAAAATTAAGAGCGCCTCGCCCTCCCCCCGCGCTGCCCCCCTCGTCTTTATTCCGTCATGTCGCGCTGCTGGGCCTACGAGCCTTCCCAGCGGCCCACTGCCCACCAGCTGAAGGAGACCTTATTGTGAGTGCTATAGAGTCGATAGTCCCATAATTAGTGCTCCCCCTGTGTCTTTTCCTACGAGCTCTTGCAGCGGTCCACCGCCCACCAACTGAAGGAGAGTTTATTGTGAGTGCCTTAGAGTTGATAGTCCCCTGCATTCCGCCACGTCTATAGCAACGTCCCACTGCGCTCCAGCTCCAGCTAAACTTTAACTTATTGTAAGTGTCATAGAGTCGCTAGTCCCGCGCACTACACACTCGCGCCGAAAGATACCTTATTGCGAGTGTCATAGAGTCGCTAGTCCCTTATAAATCACTGTCAGCCTACGAGCGTCTCGCTCTCTCCACGCGTCTCTACCTAGCTCTCGCAACGGTACACTGCTCGCCAGCTGAAGAAGACCTTATTGCGAGTGGCATTGAGTCGCTAGTCCCGCGTACTCTAAGTCGCTGTCAGCTTACGAGCGTCTCGCTCCCCCCGCGCTGCCCCCCTCGTCTTTATTCCGTCATGTCCCGCTGCTGGGCCTACGAGCCGTCCCAGCGGCCCACTGCCCGCCAGCTGAAGGAGACCTTATTGTGAGTGTCATAGAGTCGCTAGTTGTGTGTACTCCACGTCGATACCGGCCTACTAGCGTCTCGCTTCCCCCGCGTTCCCCTTGCCCCTCTACTCCGTCATGTCGCGCTGCTGGGCCTACGAGCCACTGCCCACCAGCTGAAGGAGACTTTATTGTGAGTGCCTTAGAGTATATAGTCCCTTGCATTCCGCCACGTCTAGCAACGTCCCACTGCGCTCCAGCTGAAGGAGATCTTATTGTGAGTGCCATAAAGTCGCTACTCCCGCGTATTCTACGTCGCTTCACACGAACGCCTCGCCCTACCCCTGCGTCTCTACCGCAGCTCTTGCAGCGATACACCGCGCACCAGCTGAAAGAGACCTTATTGAGAGAGTCATAGAGTCGCTAGTCGTGTGTACCCCACGTCGCTACCGGCCTGCGAGCGCTTCGCTTCGCCTCACCGCGCGCTGAATGATAGACCTTCTTCCGAGTGCGATAGAGTCGCAAATCCCGCGTACTCTTAAGTTGCTATCGGTCTACGAGCGTCTCGCTCCCCCCGCACTGCCCTCCTCGTCTTTATTCCGTCATGTCCCGCTGCTGGGCCTACGAGCCGTCCCAGCGGCCCACCGCCCACCAGCTGAAGGAGACCTTATTGTGAGTGCTATAGAGTCGATAGTCCCGTAGTGCTCCCCCTGTGTCTTTACCTACGAGCTCTTGCAGTGATCCACCGCACAACAGCTGAATTAGACCTTCTTGTGAGTGCCATAGAGACGCTAGTCGTGTGTACTCCACGTCGCTACAAGCTCCACGTCTCGCTCCCCCGCGTTCCCCTTGCCCCTTTACTCCGTCATGTCACGCTGCTGGGCCTACGAGCTTTCCCAGCGGCCCACCGCCCACCAGCTGAAGGAGACCTTATTGTGAGTGCCCCAGAGTCGCTAGTCCTGCGCACTACACGCTCGCAGCGCTAGAGCGCACGCTGAAAGAGACCTTATTGTGTCGCTAGTCGTGTGTACGCCACGTCGCTGCAATCTTCCTAGCTTGATGCTCCATTTGGGGACATCATTCTATCACCATCAGTGCTGAGAAGAAGTCTCGGAAGAAATTCGGTCATCTTTGTCAGCCTAATAATTATGTATATGTAATAATTGCGATGTTGGTAGGAAAATTCCATCTACGTCACGTTATGAGCTGACGTACGTCCCAAATACTTATTCCTGTTATAAGTTTATAGAGAATCGATTTCTTATTTTATATCACCAATATTATAGCATACATATTTCATTGCAGCGACATCCTCCACGAAGAACGCAACACAGCGTGGGACACGATGCGACGCGAGAACAGACGAGTGGCAGCCGCATCGTGGGGTGACGAGCCGCCGCCCAAGCCCAGCCGCCCGCCCACCAACCTCACCGGTCAGTCACTTGATACAATGGGATAATTTCTTAAAATAAAAGATTTTTCTAAAGCCTGGTCCGTGAGCACGTAGAATCCTGTCCAATGACCCCAAGCTTGCACACTCACTGCGGGCGCCCGTCGCACAGTCGGGACAGCAACATAATTACGCGCGAACGATAGGGATGGGTAGCTTGGGGTCATTGGACGGGATTCTACGTGCTCACGGACCAGGCTTTAGTCCATCAATAGTATTATCAAAAATATTCTAAACAGGCAAGAAATAAATTTTTTTTTTGTTTAATTATAAAGTTATTGTGACTTAAATTTCAACATGACGTCACGCCGTGCTACAGTATTTACCACGCAATGACGTCACTGGTCTCCACTTTTGTGTTTTGGCGCGCTTTATCTTTGTCAATTTAAAATTTGAAAGCGAAAAATGTCGGGTATTTTTGGAAAAGTTAACTGACAAACTAATTCAAACTACCTATTGCTTTTTAAGCCACTTTAATTAATATTATAACAATACTGCTAACAATTCTGATACTGATTAATACTGCTAGCGAGGTTATTTGGCAATAACCTACTTTATAAATAAAAAAATGACGTGTTATTTTAAATCAATAATCTTATCCTCAGCTGCGGTGGACTCCACTTCAGTGCAAGCGGCCGGCGCTGCTCCTCAGACCTACATCGTGGCTCAAAACCCTTTGGTCCTCGCACACCTCCTCCGAGAGAACCAAGCGCGGGCCCTCGAACCACAGGCCTACACCACCCCCGCCTCGGTATTTAACACCGTCGCCGTCGACTTCGCCGAAAGCCTACCCGAGGAGGATACTCTGGAAAAGATCATCAACCCCAAACCCGACGAAATCATCGACATACCCCTCCAAACTGTCCCCATCCCAGCTGCCAGCCTCCATAAACTAGATCCCATAGTCCCGGAACAGACTGAGGATACTTTAACGGTTGTTGTAGGCGCGAGCTGCGATAACCTCTGCCAAAACACCGCGTCCCCTGAAGTACAAGCTCAGGAAGATACGGAACCGTACGCGAGTCGAGTCCGGTCGTTGGAACGGAACACGCGCGGAACGCTGTCGACAGCGGAACGCGCGCCGGTTAGGATGGGGTCGCTTGAACGCAATGCCAGGGGTAGTCTGTCCCACAGGGGGTCGCCTGTCCCGATCGCGCCGTTTACGAGACAACACTCCGTCCCCGCCTCCCCTCCCCCTAGGACCCGTCGAGAGCAAGATGTAGGACAGTTTTCGGTTCAGGGTGCGTTGAACGCGCAGTTAGCAGCTAGTGTGGTTAACAAGATGAGGCAGCAACCAGACCCGCCTTTGGTGGAGGAGATATACGATTTTGGCGGTGAAAACGTAAAGAGTTGTGCAGCAATCGCTGCCCAGAAAGCAATGTCGAAGCCGTTTAGACCCGCTGTCATGTCAGCATCGCACCCAACTTCGTATGGGGTGCCCGTGGGGATAGTGCAGGGTGTTCCATACTCGCAGAGCCCCGTGAAGCCGAATAAAATGGGTTTCGTGCGTTCATCGAGTCCGGTATTCGCAGGCGGGTCTCCGATGTACGTGCCGCAGCAGATGTTTAGCACGCACGTGCAAGGCGCGCAGCCGATGTATCGTCCGCAGGCCACCGCGCAGACTGCTAGCCAAGCTACGGCAGCGTTTGGCCCGCCAGTGGCTGGACAAGCTGTGTATGGCGTGCCAGTGGCCGGACAAGCTGTGTATGGCACGCCAGTGGCCGGTCAGGCCGCGTTTGTGGCGCAGGCCGGGTTCGCCGCGCCAGGGGCCAGTCAGGCCGCGTTCGGCGGGCCAATAGCCGGCCAGTACGGGCCTCAGAGGCCTCAGTTCGTGTCCGCATCGTCAGTGGACGCTCAGAGCCTGTACGCTTCGCGGCAGGAGTGCTCGCCGGTGGTTCCCGCGGGCCCGCAGGCCGTCCAGGTGATTGCACCTTTAATGTCAGTTGAAAGATAGCGTCGGCCATATTTACATTATCACGTGACATCATGCCTACGTGCGCATTTGTACGAGTCCTTGCACGTACCTTGACTCGTGCAAGTAATACACGTAGGTATGGGATACGTCCCGCACGTGGTAATGTAAATATTCCTTTAAGTGACAGTTTTCGTTCCGTCGCTTCCGTCGAATGACCACGCATTTTTAATGGATTATTTGGTAGAATCGAATTTAGCATGTAAATTAGGTAGTTGTGATGTTTGTAGATACGCATGTTCAATACAAATCCACGGTTCGTATTATTTTAGAAATCACGTTTATGTAAATATTATTAAATATTTTATTTATCGTACCGTATGTTGATGACTTTGATTTTATTTTGTTTTCTGTACATAAATATTGATTTTCTTTTTTACAGAGTGTTTTGTGTGTCCATGGGTTCCTCTGGTAGACTTTTGGCTTTATTTTACATTATTTTATTTTATTTTTAACTTTTGTTAGGAGCCGTTTATGAAGTTTATTTATTTTGGTATTTTATTTCACCGCTTCTTATTATTTTATAAAACACTGTAGAAAAAGCACTATGTAGGAATAGTTCGCACGTACTTTTAAGGTTTTTCTTAAAATTGTATAGATACAACACTCATACCAATTTTATCTAGTTAATTTTAAACCTAACTTCAAGGATGATGAAGTTTAAAATCTATTTGGGACATTGGTCATTTTAGGATCATCAGAAAAAAAATACGTCTGATACCTATACAAAACTTTTGATTTTCAATCTAATAGGATTTTCATTAAATAAATACTTCACAAGTGGCTCCTAAATTAACCTTCCCATAAGAACTAACTTTGTGAGTCTCTAAAATCGGATCCGGTGTTTGGTAAAGTTTAACAAAACGTGTACGTCCTATTTACTAAATTTTCCAAATTATTTTCTGTAAATTAATCGTTTGGCATATTGGAATTGTAAAATTCAAAATTCTTAATTGCATTTTCGTACTAACAACAAAGTTAGTTCTTAAGATGGATACGAAAAAGCTAGAATTATTTGACAAAAATAGATTTAAGAGAGTAAAGTCGTTCTCTCTTTCTATCTCTCAAATATTGATTACAAAAAACAAAACTAAAAATAACTCTAAAGTTCTTCTGGCTTTTTCACAAAAAAATAACAATCTTGAAGTGTGTAACAATCACATTTATTTTTTCGCGAAAATGACCTTTATTGTAAACGCAACAGAGTCCAGAATTCGACACGGAGCAGGCCGTGGAGAGGCGACTGCTCGCCGAACTGGCGAGACAGCAACACCAGAGCGAGGAGGACAGACGATGGCTTCAAATGCAGGAAGACAATCTGGTGAGCATGAAGAAATAAACCAAATTATGAATAAATAGGGAAAATAATACGCTGTACACTACGAAAACATTCTGGGAGTGGGTAGTCAAAGCGAAAAAACGCTCAACGACTGGAATGTGCAGGTGTCAAAATGAATCACTGTGTCAACAACATGATACCTCTATTTTTCTGATCAATCTATTATACGTCTGATCTCTTCCTTTTGACATTATTATTTCCATATTACAAACTTTTCTCCCCTTTAAGATTCAATATTTTTGCGTAAGAATACCTTGTGTTCTTTTCCTAGGCCCCATCAACATAAAAAAAATCATCAGATTTATTTTAACTATGTATTAGGAATTTGAATTTAATAAGCACAGTTAAAATAAATTGGTGTTTGTAATAATTAATGCGGGTTGATACGTAATGTAGTTATAATATTGAATTCCCTTTACAGAAGCGGCTATCAAACGTGCAATTAGCTTCAGAGATGGAAGCAAATGAGCAGAAAGTGGAAGCGACGCCCGCGACCGAACCCAGGACTTCTAGTCAGCCGCATTCTGGTAAGATTTTATTCTAGAACGCCTAGTACAACATCATCATTATCATTATCCCCTCATTTATTCTCTTATTTTTGCTCCTAAGAACACACCTCTTTTATTTCACTAGAGGCATATTTGTTGACCCATCCTTCCCAATATATTGTTTTAACTTTCATGGTCACTAACATAATAATTAATTAATATTAACGGGATTGCTACCATGTACCTTAATTTTGAGTTTCCGATATTACGGCATTGTTGCAAGCGGCATGGTCACGGAGTAACCACTTTGGCCATTAGTACTAATTATACTTGTTACATACTTCCTTATTATTAACAAATAAGTAATTATAAGGTAATTACTTATCTGTTTCATTAGCCTTTGGTTTGAGCATAAAAAAAATTTTCCTTTTTCAGCGGCAAATTCATTGGAAACAAGTCCAGCGAACACAGTGAAACCAAAAGATAAACCTGTCGAAGAAACCAAGGTAAGCGCTTGTTTAATTTTTGTTATAATGTAGTTCTTATATTGTATAACCCCAGTTACATGAATACTACAACTAAATAAAAAATAGATTCCACTTTTATCACCTGGCTTTGATCACCCAGGTGATCGAAGTGGACGCCAGTTTAATTATTATTTTAGTTTCCTTTGATCACCTACCTAAAATAAATCACACATCTGAATAGTCACATACGAGTTCATGTCTGAACTAAAATAATAATTTAACTGGAGGAATTTAGTCATCTTATCCATGGGTGATCAAATGACACCAAATTGTCGCTTGAAGTCCACTTTAATCACCTGTGTGATCAAGCCAGTAGGACTAGGATGCGCGCCGCGATAAGCGGTTATCACGCCATTTTATCGATTTTTTCAATACATTTTGGCGTCGATAAAAGTTATTACGGCGTGCATCTTAGGTGTACAGGTGATGAAAGTGGAATAGACCAAAAATATGCTATAGTAAGAGTTATTTCAATCATTCAAAATCAAAATCAAAATTATTTATTCAGTTTAGACCACAAGTGGCACTTATGAACGTCAAATATAAAAAAGAAAAGGTAGCCCTTATGGGGCACTTTACATGTCTCCTTATCTTTTGGGACCTACCAGTTTCAAATTAGTACTTCAAATACCCCCATTTATCGTTGTACAGGGCCGCGGCAACACTAGCGATCCAGTATACGCGGCGACCACAGCAGTGGTCCGCTGCGTGATGCGGCTGGCAGCCGGCTCGCAGGCGCCTGCTGCGCCACACGATACCTTGGCCGCTGTGAGAGCAGTAGGAGCTGATCTTAGGGCGCTGTGTGCCACTGTGGACCTATTGGTGGTGCCGTTCCCTCAGTCTGCACAGAGGTAAGAACCCTTTTGTGTCTATTAGGCATAGTAAAATCTTAAGGGGGAAGGTATTACGCGCCCGCCGCGTCGCACGATACGTTAGCCGCTGTTAGGGCAGTGGGCACGGACCTTAGGGCGCTGTGTGCCACTGTGGACTTACTGGTGGTGCCGTTCCCTCAGTCTGCACAGAGGTAAGAAAAACAAAAAGAGAAAAACCTTTGTACTTTTAAACCTTTAAGCGGGATCAGGAAGACTATACTAGTAGTTATGACGCGCTGATGCGCCGCACGATACGTTGGCCGCTGTGAGAGCGGTAGGCGCAGACTTTAGGGCGCTGTGTGCTACTGTGGACTTACTGGTGGTGCCGTTCCCTCAGTCTGCACAGAGGTAAGAACCCTTTTGTGTCTATTAGGCATAGTAAAATCTTAAGGGGGAAGGTATTACGCGCGCGCCGCGTCGCACGATACCTTGGCCGCTGTCAGAGCAGTGGGCGCGGACCTTAGGGCGTTGTGTGCCACGGTGGACTTACTGGTGGTGCCGTTCCCTCAGTCTGCACAGAGGTAAGAACCCTTTTGTATCTATTAGGCATAGTAAAATCTTAAGGGGGAAGGTATTACGCGCCCGCCGCGTCGCATGATACGTTAGCCGCTGTAAGAGCGGTAGGCACGGACCTTAGGGCGCTGTGTGTCACTGTGGACTTACTGGTGGTGCCGTTCCCTCAGTCTACACAGAGGTGAGCACCTTTTTGTGTCAAGAATCTTACTATATCATAGGTGGGAAGGTATTATGCGCCCGCCGCGCCGCAAGATACGTTAGCCGCTGTGAGAGCGGTAGGCGCAGATCTTAGGGCGCTGTGTGCCACTGTGGACTTACTGGTGGTGCCGTTCCCTCAGTCTGCACAGAGGTAAGACCAACAAAAAAGAGAAAAATATTTTGTACTTTTAAACCTTTAAGCGGGGTCGGGAAGACTACTAGTAGTTATGACGCGCTGATGTGCCGCACGACACGTTATCCGCTGTGAGAGCAGTGGACGCGGATCTTAGGGGCTGTGTGCCACTGTGGACCTGGAGCCGTTCCCTCAGTCCGCACCTTGGTGAGCACCTTTTAGTATCAGGGCTCCTCAAAACTTGAAGCAGGAAAGGTATAGGTAAAGTTCTCTATTTGCACAGAAGTAAACACCAACTGTTTTATATCGTTTCCCCGATGAACTTTATGTTTCTTAAGGCGAGAATCAGTAACAATCATTGACGATTCTCTTGTTCACTGCAGCGTCGATATAAAGTTTTTTGAAATTTACTGGGGACATGCAAAAGGTTCATTCCAAAAACTACTTTTACGACTCAATGAATGATAGTATTTTCTACTCTCTCGCTCTGTTCTACGTTTCTATTAAAATATACCTTCCCAGTTAACTTAAACTGTATATTATCTCTTCTCCAGGGAGGTGGAGATGGCGCACCAGGTGCTGAGCAAGGATATGGCGGCGCTGGTGGAAGCCATGCGCCTCGCGCTCACATACGCCAACACCACGCTGCACCACGAGTACACCAAGTCAGTACACATTACATTCATTTACATTCAAATATATTTTTTAACTAAAGCCCGGTCTCCAAGCACGTAGAATTTTGTTCAATGACCGCACAGTCGTGATAGCAATATAATTACGCGCGAGAGATAAGGATAAGTTTGGGGTCAGTGGACAAAATTCTACGTGCTCGACGACCAGACTATAGACTAGCAGTAGGTACTACTACTACTTGAAGACTAAAAGCCGAATGAAAGTACTTTTTCTCATGCACTACAAAGGTTTAAGAAATTTCAATGATCAAGGGTACCTACTTGATCGGGACTGATTTCGATAAAAATGTTTAAATTTTTCAATCTATACGTGGATTCGGCTTGGATTATTTTGAGATATTTTTATCGTAATGATTTAACCATAATTTTCCCATCCACAGTTCAGTTTTTCAAGAATTTTTCCCTTAAATCCTAACCCCATTACTAATAAAACTTACACGCTCGTTGAAAAGTGTTTTAAGAGACGTTTAGTATGGAAACGAAGATACAGTATAAAACAAAACAATGAGTTACGGACTCAAATTGGGATATTAAATTCACTTTTCGATCAACAGGAGCATGCTAGCAGCAGCGCATGTCCTAGCAATGGACGCGAAGAACCTTCTCGACGTAGTAGACTGCATCCGCGAACGGCACCCCACCATCGACTGGCGCTCCGCCCTCGCGCCCGCGTCCGAAGACGCCGCCCACCAGGCTGTCCCCCAGAACCAAACGCTCACCTCGCAAAACCAAATATTCGCCACACAAAACCAAACGTTCATCCCCCAAAACCCCCTCAGCACCCAATCCTCTATCCAAGACGACGAACCCCCGAAACCAGACTTCAAAATTAACCAACCCGTCACCACTGGTCAACTCACCGATCATATCCCCAAAGAACACAGCAGCCTCCCCGTAACTTCAAATAGAGTCTCAGCTTTAATCCACAACTACAACTTATACGGAAACGTCAGGGAACCCCAACACATATATGGCAACACCGAAGTGGGCGGGTCCTTCCAACACTCAGCCAGCGTAGACGAAACAAAAATCGACAATGCCCCGATGGAATCCGTCAAAAGCAGAGTCCAAGCGATATCCGGCAAAATCGACTCGCCCCCGATATACTCGGTCAGCAAGAAAATGATCCCGGTCGAACAGATCGGCCACGCTGACCAGGGCTGAATGTTGCCAGCTATCAAATTTAGTTCGCTTGTAGGAGCAATTTTTTTTTCACGGCGCCTCTGCGGAGGTTCGAAGCTTTAATGCTATGACGTTAGAACGACTAGTACTTACTGGTATATGCTAGAACGACAGCATTTAGTAATACTTAATTTTTGCCCCGCTTATTTTACTTTACGAAAGTAGTCGCAGGCTTTTCTAAAAGACAACTCTATAATGCTCAATATTCTAATAGCGAATAGATGTCAAATTAATTTAAGTCCTGAGCCAAATATTGTCTATGCGTTTAAATCATATCCATCCATGTATCCAGTTTCATTTATTGAATTATGTATATCTAAAATGTGTAGAAATATTGAATTTATTTATCTCGAGAGAGTACCAAATATATTAACGAAAATCAGTAATAAAAACATATGACTTCACAAGCATTATATCGATTGTGTTTTGTCGTTTTAGTCGTAATATCTATTGACATATCATCGGCATTGTTGTGCTTCAAATTAATATTGTCGTGTTGCCTACTATCTCAAATATTATTCAACATATTTACAATATTATTTCTTCATATTGAACCAATTGACACAAGTACCTACATACTGTTAATCATTTTTGAGTTTATTTGAAAATTCTAAAACTATAAATAGGTACTACGGACCGTGAACCGGTGGATAATATTGATTTGTGATATTATTGCCAATAAATTTACATAATTCGTATAAAATAGCTTGCAGTACAGATGAGAGCACATTCCTTGAATAATTCGCACCGTAAAAAGTAAGTTGTAATTATTTTCATACAAATTTTATATTTTTGGTGTAATGCAGTTTTTATACTGAACCATTACTGGTATGTATAAGTATAACATGAATTCTTCCATAAAACAATAATTATGATTAAATATACTTTTGAAATTAATTATAAAGTATTAATTTTGTAGTCTAAATTGTATTATTACAATGTACATTTTAGTTAAGGTGCATATACAGTCACAACTTGTAACTTGCATTTAGTTTCTTCTACATTCTTGTTAGATGTTCAGCTGGTTTTGAAACGATTTTCTTTGTAAAAATGTACAAATCAAATCAATTGTCCATAATTATTTAATTTTTATCCAAAGTTTTATTATAAGCTTAGATCTCAAAAGGAATTTTTAGAGTAATTCTTATACTCGAGTTGCAGGTGACAGATTTGACCGACTTATTTCTTAAACAGTCTTCTTTTCTATTCGATTTTCTAATCACTTCTCTGTTAACTTGATCTGGCACTATTTCTTATGAACCAAGTCAATTTGTACGCTAAGTGCGTCGTCAAATCGGCCATCTGCTTCGCTTCGTTTTGATTAGTGTATTAATGAATTCAGAATTTATTTATTAACTTTGGTTTGTAAAGTTGTGTTTCCTATATTAGTGTTAGCAGGATGTCATTCCAAAGTACGGTAATATAAGTTTCGCGTAGTCCACGTATCGTAGTGAGCCGATATACTGATTGGATAGACCGGATTCTGTTTATGTATAACTGAATAAAGGACAGGTCAAACATTATACATGGTTTTATTTATTTACGTATCTACAACATACACACTGCACAGTGTAATTAAATGAAGAAAAAACCTAAAATTAGAATCTACTGTATAACTTTCTGAATATTTTTACTGTAAATACTTAAGTCAGTAAGGGCGTAGCAAAGGCTGTGCAGGACATAGCCGAATTTTCGGACGCATTTTGAATGGATGGACTTATAAAAAACTAGATGGATTACAAAATACCAGGTTAGGTTTTACTGGTGACCTTAGTGACCTTACACAGCGCGAAGAGCGTGCCGCGGACAGCGGCCGCTGAGCGCTGCCTAGATTTTTTTCTAAAATAGCTCGTATCTCGAAAACGGTGCGTTCTAGCGCAAAAATAACGTCATATTGCCTTAGACACTGAGTTAAGTGCTATACCTACCTATAATGTAATGAAGCTATAATCACAATATCAGATTTCTCTAACATTTGAATCTACATAGGGTAGAAAAAGATACAATATTTATGATTTCGAAATAGGTAGGACTTCCTACTATAAGGAACGTGTGAATAAAAAGCAAAATGTATCCAATCAATTTGGTTTATTAACAAAATACAAAGCGACAATGCGAATTGGTTAAAGTTAAGTGACACTTGACAAATAAATTACCTATTCAGTTAGCCCTCACAAATAATAATGCTTATACAAAATAAACAATTCACTAGAAGTTTTTCATTTCGGCCCGATTCGACCAAACGGTTACCCAAGAATAACTCATGGGTATAACTGGCACATTGACAGTTTCAGTATGGGAAATATGTCAAAACTGACAATTTATTCTGAGATTAATATTTACTCGTTTGGTCGATTCCACCCTTAGGAAACTAACTCGATGTGGTCAATACCCCCTGAGCACAGTAAAATAAAAGTAGTACCTATGCTATTTTAGACCCTGTTATTTTTACACCCGAATTTCAAGTCGTTCAAGCCAGATAAAACAAAAATGGAAGATACGGCACAAACGTTCGTAACCTACTTGCGAGTCCAACTTATGATTATTAAATTAATCACACAATTTCGCTTCAATCTAAGGATTCACGTGACTAGTAGCGTAGGTAAGTATTACATGAATCTCACACACATGACGTCATCAGTAATCGGCGAACGGGAGCGTACAGTATTCGGCTCGCGAGCAATAATTGGCAATTGATAATAATGGGTCCTTTTATACACATTACTATTATTATTTTACTTTGCTCTTAGAATATGATAGTTGATGATATAATGAGATCTTTTGTTTTCATTTACATCATTTATAGTGTTTTATAATAATATTGTTTTTGTACCTCTATCGTGTAGTAAATTGAAACATGTGAGCCTAGTAAGTCTCATTCTAACATTGCTACATCGCAAAGTTTATTCTAATCAAATAGGTACATAACTTCCACAGACACATCGAAATTATTTTAACCCGTTTTTTCAATATAACAGGTTGGGTAAACTAAAGCCCGGTCTCTGAGCACGTAGAATTTTGTCCAATGACCCCAAGCTACCCATCCTTATCACTCGCGCGTAATTATGTTGCTGTTGCGCTCGCACACTCACTGCGGGCGCCCGTCGCACAGTCGCGACAGCAATATAATTACGCACGAGCGATAAGGATGGGTAGCTTGGGGTCATTGGACAAAATTCTACGTGCTCGGCGACCAGACTATAGATAAGTTTTGTGTTTAGCGCATAACTGAGTCGGTGCCTGAGGTATGCGGCATGGAAGGGTGTTTTTGAGACGTCAAACGACAGCGAGACTTCAGATGCTCTTTCACGTCATAATATGTCAATGTCAACCCTCTCGTGCCGCTCTCATATCTCAGGCAATGACTTGAGTTTAGCGCTAGACCGATAGATAAGTTAGACACAAATATTTTTTTAAAATATTACAGATGCTATGACCACTTATTATAATTTATATGAATAATCGCTACAAATTGTTACTGCATGTTAGTATCGAAAATCATCGATCAATGGTAATGCCATAATAATACCATAGCTGTAGTTCTAGAAGACAAAAATATAACTCAATACATGTTGTTAGACTTGTTGACTCAATATTTCAGAGTACAATGAAGTTTTGACAGAGATTCAATCCTGTCAGTTGATCAGTGATTTTAGTAAAAATAAACATCAAATTCTATAGCCAACCCCTTAGTATTTCGCGTAGAACATTGAAATAGCGCAAATTATTCACCATATTGATATTATTGCATATAAAAATCGATTTGATACTATATCCAGACCTGAGTAAGGTCGTTTTTACAACATCTTAAATTACTTTCCAGTTTCATTTAAAATCGGAAAGCAAATGATGCTCCTACATCTCCCGAATCACAATTCTTGTCAAATGTCTAAAGATTCCAACTGTTGAGATAAAATATTCCTTGCTAGATATCTCCTCCCCACATTGCTACATAATACTGAACCTAATGGTACAGATAAATACGGTTGAAAGTGGCATTAACTATTATGGAATACACTTCACACAAAGAGAATACAGTGCCACAGTTCCTGCACCAAAAAGTAACTATCTAAAATGACATTGTATTTTATGGTTATTTTATTGAATTAAAAGAATCTCTAGACATTGTTACCATGCACAAAAAGTATGTTAGTGAGTTTGAGCTGCTTGAGTTGATTATACTACACATTTAAAAAATTCAAATTATAGTAAAATGTTTGAGATGGTTAACCACAAATGGTGTCTCGAATTAAGATCAAAAAGCTCTATCAAGTATTCACAAACGATGCTTGCTTAAGTGAAGCAGCGAATCGAACGCACAGAGTTGAATAGAGCTCTGTGACTGGCTCGTGTGTGGACGCCCACTGTGAGACCTCATAGTAATGTTTGTGAATACGGGCGTATTCACAAACATTACTACGCGAACCCTAAGATGGCATGAGACCGCATTAACTTATTTTAAGCGGTATTTATTTCTATTAATACTTGATTGAAGAGTTATGCTTTTTAATTATTATTCTGTTTAATGGTTTCAATGGTGCGTATTTGAAACACACTGGTTTCGCCAATGTCGATTGTTTAAAGAGACACCTGGACAGTGGAATTTGAGGTTTGCCTGGTGATAATTCAATTAATTCATTCTTCATTGAGTTTTTTTTTGTTATTAACACCAGCTAATACAAGTGCAAGACAGTCACAATGCTTTTAATTTCAAAAAACTAGACAGACAATTATAGATCGTATCATCCACGAAGACGCGCCCCACCAATTTATGGTCGAGGGAAGCGCGGGGTGCGGTTAGTTTGATCCGAGCAATCCGAGCGTCATTATTGTAGTTTGCGTGTGAAGTCATGGATGATTTAGCGTGTACCGATAACACTCAAACATTAGCGGAAGAATGGTGGGGCGCGTCTTCGTGGATAAAACGATCTATACCGTTGTAGTGACGTATAATCAACTCATACAAATTGCAAACTCACTCCGTCTTGCCCATACGTTTAGCAGTCCAAGAAGTTAGCAGCCATCAACAGTTCCAGAGCGATTTCGGGGGCGATCGGGAACTCAGGGATTTCGGTGGAAGAGTTTGTGTAGCGGACCTTGTATGTGAAGTACATGCACACTTTTTGCAGGACATGCGACCTGGAATAAAATCAAAAATATTTTATTCAATTTTTACCACTGGTGGCACTTATGATATGAACGTCAATTAAGGTAGTCCTCAAGGGGCACTTTACATGTCTGCTTATCTTTAATAATATGAGAAAACGTTAAAATATCAAAAAACTGCTGTAATCTGGCCTGGCAGATACATTCTAAAGAACTATTACACATAAGTACCAAATCTTGCTGCTTAATTTTGCTGTTTCAATACGGGAATATTCCTACCTCTCGTTCCTACCGCTGCAACTCCTGTGTAGCCAGGATCTACAGATTGACCGCCTTTCAAGCAAACCTGTGACCCCGTTTTCCTTCATGATTTTTATAGCAATACTGGTTTCTTTTCAAGACATTCCTAACTACCATATTTTTTATTTTGAAAAAGATGCCCATTTTCTCCCCCAAATTCAATAGCTAGCTTTTAAGCCAAAATCTGTATTTTGAGCGTAACAACATAAAAACCAGACAGAGTCCTTTATTACTAACATTAATATGAATATTTTATACACTTACGGAATCTCCCTAAAGTTGACCTCGTTTGCTTCGTTCTCCGCAAATTGTCCGGGTCCACTCAACATAGCCTTGATAGTGCCTGATGTGAGAGCGTGCTCCCTCTTGACGATGAACTCGTGACCGTCAGAGGAGACCAGCTTCACGTACATGGCATCTGGGCCTTCACAGCCTCCGTATACTTTCTCCTCGGAGGCCACGGAACCACTTACGGCACCTGAAATTTAATTTTGAGTAAGGTTTCTGATATTTAAATTAAATTATTGTATAAAATGTTGGGTTATTTAGAAACTAGCTTTTGATTTTGTACACACAGGAGCTATAATTTACAACGGGAAAATACAAATTCTTTGTATTATTATTATTCTGTTTAATGGCTTCAATGGTGCAAATTTGAAGCACACTGGTTTCTTTGTAAGAAGTAGAAGATAAATAAGAAAAAACACATGAAGCAAATCAACTTCTTAGGGCAATTTATTTTTCGTCATCAGATAACTTTTAACACTTAAGGACTCGCTAATGGGTCTAACAGACCCAGTCCTTCAATTTTTGTGTTATAACTTTTAAGTTTTGACGTTTGCGATGTTGTCGCTCTTAGTACCTTTCCACGACACTGTAGCACGGCCAATAGCGGTCGTACTCGACAAATAGCCCACTGCATGTGGGTGCTACAGACGAAAAAGGTGTTTTTGAGTCCGCTGGACCCAGTAAATAAGGTGATTTATTTAATGTTCTATACTAATTTCTCATTAATTGTTAATTAGTATAAGTAGGCAAATCATAGTACTTTACGAAAATATACAAGGCATTTTTTTAAATAATTAATTACAGAAATTTTCAAAAATAACCTTAATTTTACCAAAAAACCTTCAATTTCTTAAATAATTTGTTATTTTAGAAAAAGGCAATAAATATTACCATTTGATTTACTATTGTCTTTGTTTATATCATATTATCCTTCTAATGAAGTAGTTTTCACTTTTACTAAGTGTTTTTGAAAAATACATAGGATTTTATATACTGGGTCTAGCGCACCCCGTAGCGAGTATGGATGTTACAAATTAAGGCGCGAGTCCTTAAGTGTTAACTGAAGAATTAAATTGTCATTTTAACATATTTCCCTTAATGAAGCTGTTGATGTGCCAAACTTATTCTTCAGTTAAAAGTTAACCAGCGATTAAAAAATCAGCTCTTAGGCTGAGTTGCACCATCTTACTTTAGCTTTGACAAACGTCAGAAATCTGTCAACTCCATACAAAAAGCACCGGTTATTGTTATAGTTACGGACAAAGTTTATGGTGCAACTCAGCCTTAGATTAGCAATTCTAACAGATTTTGATGCTGAATGAATTTCAACATTGGAAACATTGTTTGTCCATGTTTCCAATGTTGAAATTACTATTGAGTATTTTATACCTGAACCAGCAACACTTCCAGAGCGCTGCTCTTCAGCCACACTGGTGGCGGACTGGGCGGCGGAGGCCGGGGCAGACGCGACATTTTGATCGGACATTTTATCTGAAAATAAAAATAAATCCTACATTTACAAAGGCTTTTTATTGGCATCAACATTATGGACATTGTTCCAACCTACTGCATTTGGTTATATATTATCTGATACATAAAGCTAATAAAAATAAATCATTAGATTAAACTGCATGATGCACTTTTTATCACAAGCAGGAATCACAAAGGTCATGGTATTATTGATGATCATTTTACTGAGAAATAACACCACGAAGTATACTTCTAAATGCTTATTTATCTTAAAGAGATCCTCTACTTACTAATGGATAGTTAGAAACACACTCGACGAGAGTTTTTCTATTGGAAAATACAATGAAAATGTATCATCCAACTAAACATTACAAGCACAATCTTAAAACCATATTAAATTGACATAAATGCAGAATGATTTAAATATACGAACCTTACAGAAGTAACTGAAATACTTCAAATATTAATTGTGTAGTTTTACGCAATAAAATTCACAATTTATGTTTGTTAAAAATAAAATTCAGTCAGAAGGATTTGTTTGAGGTTATTTTTATGACAGAAGAAATAGACAATTATAGAATTTAGACAGCTGAGCATAAATAATGGGCACTATTTTTATCAACTCGATTGTTGATTTTAGTACCGATTATAGGGATGTGTGTAACGGACTAACGTATGGGACTAAGTAACGCGAACGGATCTGGGGGCACGGCAGTGCCCCCGCCAAGTCGAGCGCGTAGCAAACACTGCCGTACCATCCTTTACTGGAACCATTTCGCCGCATTTTCAGGCCTCTATTTGAGAACCTCTGGATAAGACCAGAACGCTGAAATTTTCGTTATCTAGTAAACTATAAATCACATACTTAAAATTCAAAATTTCAAGTCTGTAGGTCATTTAGTTTCAAAGTTAAGCGAAAGCAAAGTTTCGCATTTATGACACTCACTCACTGATGATCATCAAAATAGAACTAGTACTTCCCATAAACTCAGAGAGCTGAAATTTGGTACAGAGTTAGGGTTTAATGACTACATAAAGGGAAAACTATAAAAACTAGGAAAATTGAAGATCTGGAGTAACACCACATTATAAACAATACTACTAGCGCCACACCGGCACCGTGGTGTTCGCCTATACCGCTCACCGCTAGATGGCGCTAGCACTTTGAGCGTCATTTTTCTGCACCGCGGTGTCCAGATTATTTTTCCTTTCTAGATCCCCCCGTCGATTAAGTTGAATGTTGTGTAAATATTTGAATTTCGTTGATTTCGTTTATGGTGAGGTTGGCTAAGGTTATTAAAACAACTTCTGCTTTGTTGTCAATTTTAAAGGTCGTTTAGTTTATTTGTGTTTAATATCGTACAAAAAATGTCGATAATTTGAAAAGAAAATACGTTAAATAATTATGCCACTTTCTACAAAAAGAAGTGAAATCCCACCAAAAACATTCTGTAAAAAACTAGCCAAGTCTCGATGGACCTGCTTGTTTATCTCTAAAAAGTAATGAAATCTAGACAAAGTCGTGCCAAGTCTATGGTTCTTTACTGCAATTTCTTTATTATTATAGTTAATGTTTTGTGACTTGGCCGTTAAACAATCTTTATAAGATAATCATACATAAAGTATTATTGAAATACGCAGCTTTATCAAGCCTACTTGACTGGTTATTGAATCAACGTTTTCAAAGTGGCAATTTTCCATCGTCAATGGGTAGCGGTTCTGGCGACAGATTGGTGCAATGGTGTCATGGACCACCTGGTTTTGTACCCTTCAACGGCCAAGTCACACAACATTAACTATAATAATAAAGAAATTGCAGTAAAGAACCATAGACTTGGCACGACTTTGTCTAGATTTCATTACTTTTTAGAGATAAACAAGCAGGTCCATCGAGACTTGGCTAGTTTTTTACAGAATGTTTTTGGTGGGATACATTTTAATAAAATGAAAATGAAGTACAATTAAATATGAAAACGCTTTGGATGGTTTGTAAAATAAAATTATCTCAAAAAAAGTCTAGCAACTGCTCTGCTGACCATATATTATATTTAATTACAAGAACATGGAATTCAGTCCCCTTCCTCGAAATATTCAATAAACCTAAGATCAAAATTGTAAACGATGCAATAAGAAAACGAAGCACGGCCCCGATTGCGCTAAAGTCGTCGTTTAAAGACAGCTAGTTCAAACGATGCTGAAACGTAAACATAGCTCTACTATACCTTTACGTAAAAGCTGACAGAAAGCTACTACTTTCTTTCTCAAAGTCAAAATTTGCTGTAGGTATTCTAGTAATTTTAGTTTCAAAAGGTGTTCGGACTTTTAATGAAAAGTGCATACCTAAATCCGTTGTTTCGTCTTTGTTTACGTGTGAATTTTACGATACCGAATTGCACATCAGCTGGAATGAAATTAGCGCGTTATTGGTGTGCAGACCGGAGATGAAACGCCAATGAATTGGAGACATTACAAATAACGCAATCGGGGCTCTGGAAATGGATTATTGTGCTTATGAATAGTCAAGAAGTGCGGTTCAATGGTGTGAATCAATATTTATATTCAATCGCTATCTCACCACTGCAGATTGGTACTAACAAAGAGTAACACACAGGATCAGATAAATTGTTACTAATCTAATGCAAACGAAAAAGGTATTAAAGGTGTTTGTTTAGGCACTCAACTTCCCTAAATACGTAAAAATCATAAAAAAATAAATTTCCTGGTCAGGAAACAGTATGCGACACTACTTCCGATTTCAGTAAGGTAACGGAAACGGAAAATCATGTAATCGGTAATCTTTACCGGTATCGATTTACTAGTGACGTAATTGTCGGTCGGTCGACATTCGATAAATTCAGCGGACTTTTTTGACATGGCTTTTGGCTTCATTTCATTATTTTCAGTGGTGCCAGATTAGGCGAATTATCGCCATTTAGGCTACCTCTGGGGGTCAAATGGCGACCAAAAAATGCAAACGGCTACCGGTAGCCATTTAGGCTACCTAGAAAATAAGATCGGGCTATTTAGGCTACTTCAGGATTACCTTGGAAAAATAAATCCTAACCTAGTATTCTGTAATTCAGTTAGTTTTTTAAAATGACCCCTACCCCCTTTACTACTCCATGAAAGTCCAAACTCTATACTAAATCCGTAATTTTTTTTCTAAGTGTCAGCTCCATACAAATTACGTTCGAAAATTCAGTTATTTGGCTAAGTCCTGCACCCCCTTTGCTACACCCTAACCGTAATAAATAATAATGATCAAAATCTGTTTACTTTACACATTACCGGTGGGCCAGCTGGACGTAGGTATTCTATACAATGCCTAGGAATTACATACACCTGCCTAGGTAAAGTATTTATTGAACAATAATATTTTATACATTGCCTACGCGCCCCAGGCATTGATTTTACACATTTACTAGGGATTGTATAGAATCCCTAAATAATACAAATTGCCGCTAACACATAACATTACGCACACACTTACACACAATATAAATACACGATTTAAGAAAACAAATGGCCGCAATATAGGAAATGACAGGTTTTGTGTGTGTGTGTGTGTGTGTGTGTGTGTGTGTGTGTGTGTGCGTGTGCGTGTGCGTGTGTGTGTGTGTGTGTGCGTGTGTTGTGTAGTTGTCAGCTGATTGCCTATATTGCGGCCATGTTGATTTCTTAAATACAATTGTATGTACTCGGCACAAGTCAGGTAGTTAGTGACGTCACAAAAATGTTGCCAGAGTAGTTGAGTAGGCTAACCAAACATTATCTATCTCATTTTCATACGTCACCATGGGTAAGTAAGAAAGAGATAAACAGATGAACAGCTGTTTGTCATTAATGTGTCGATTTGATATGTATTTTTGTATACTTACCTCAAAATGTTAGGCGAATTAGGCTACTTCAGGAAAAAAAAATATTAGGCGATTTAGGCTACTCGGTAGGAAAAATTAGGCGAATTGAGTTAGCTGATATCTGGCAACCCTGATTATTTTGACATTTGAACATTTCGATGTCAAGCGCTACGTATTTCTTTGAAAAAAAGTCAATTATTCATCGTTTTTGATTAATTCTTCACTTTTCCAATACGATTACACTTTATCTGACACGAGTGCGTTACATTAAACAGTGCAAAAATACTCCGAGCCCCAGAAATTCCGCGAGAAACATGTGACACGAATACGAAAAAGGGCTTCCAGACCGTCAATGTGACAGAAATGTTTTCTGCCATCACGACGAGCCACCGCCACCTCGGAGCCTCCACGACCGCGACGCGTGCTCAACGAGAAGCGATATAGGGTAAGATCGTTAAAAATGAGCGCGAGATGGCCAGTCCGCCACCGAACCCTAGAGAAGGCGAGGAGGGCGGCTCCGACTTCGCGGAGGAGTCGGCCGGGGAACGCGCGCCCGCCCCGCAGAAGACGTTCGTAGCGCCGCCCGCGTCGCAGCTGCCCAGCAAGCTGCAGTACGTGGCGCTGGGTGCGCCGGGGCCCAGCGGCGGCATCAAGCAGTGCTTCCGCACGGTCAAGGCGGCGCGCCGCGTGCCCACGCTGCCGCGCCGGCCCAAGGAGGGCGAGGGCTCGGACCCCGCGCCCGCCGAGCCCGAGCGCCGCGTGCGCCGCGACCGCGGCAAGCGGCACGTCTGCACCACCTGCGACAAACGCTTCTCCAGCCCCGGGAAACTTAGTCAGCATGTACTGTCCCACACCGGCGAGCTACCCTTCTCCTGCGAGCTCTGTGATAAGCGATTCAACTCAAAATTCAAACTCGTTCGCCATAACTTGATACACAGCGAGGCTCGTGCCTTTACCTGCAATGTCTGTGGTAAAAGTTTCAATCGGAAAGATCATCTCACCAACCATGTTAGAGTCCATAATCCAGTTAAAAAGCTATACACCTGTGAAAGGCCCGGCTGCAGAAAATCTTACACATCATTACTGAGTTACCGTAAACATGCTGCATTACATTCTGCCGAGGAAGGAAATTTACAATGTAAGATTTGCGATGAGACTTTTACCAACCGCCAAGACATTGTCTACCACCTCAAAGTTCATACAGGAAGTCGCACTGTTAAAAATGAGACTGACAAGAAATTTACTTGCAATTTTTGCGATCGAAGATTCTTCACCGCTAAAGATGTAAGGAGGCATCTAGTTGTACATACGGGTAGACGTGATTTTTTATGTCCTTACTGCCCACAGAAATTTGGACGTAAAGATCACTTGGTCAGGCATGTCAAGAACGCTCATCCAGATGAGTCGTGGCGATCAGCGGCAGTGGGTACCTCAAGGGAACCAGTACCAGAAGCAACGTCATTTGAGGAAACATATACCGAATTTAATACAGATTACGCCATATGGACATCCCCCCCAGTCGTCAATCCCACATCGCCATCAGAGAGTACGTCTGAGGGTCCCACGAGAGTGCCCTCGTCCGATATAATTGTAGAAATGCCAGCAGACCTCGATATAAAAATAGAACCGTTAGATATAGAACTGGAAGACCCGTTAGATATAAAGATGGAGCAGCCCGAATCACCGCGATGTGAACTCGTGCCTGTGGATTACCCCGTGGTGTATATGGACTTGCCGTATCTGAGTACGGAGCCGCTGACGGACGCGCAGTTGCTGCATCCCGGGAGTCATCACGTGGAGTCCCTGTTGATGGATCCGGGGGAGGGGCCTTCAGGGTTGTCGAGTCAGATGCTTAGGGGTTTGTTAGAGGAGAGCGAGCCTGCGTACGCTGGGGACGAAGCGCGGCAGCAGCAGCGGCTGCCGGCATTCACGCAGGCCTTCCAAACGGCGCAGAGCACAAAGCCGCCGCCACCGCCCCCTCCGCCGCACTAGCCTCGTGCCCCGAGCTTCCTGCATTTAGCTTATGTGAATACCGAGCTACCTCACTAGGTAAGATTGGTCTAAGCTGTAAATAGTCTGGAGTGAACTAGTATTCGATTGTAATGTTGGACTTGATGACTTTGTCATATGTGAGGGGCGCACGCCCAGGATTTAAATTGCCAAATTGTATATTTGTACGTTTCAGGTATACCAAAATGTTTCCGAATTCTACATGAATTGTGATCTAGTCGTGTATGTACTTTCGGAATTGTATATTGTTTATTTATAGCGTACACGTATGACGTTTATGGAGTTTAAAGGGACCAACAGTGCTTAGTTCATGATTGGACCACTCAGATTTTGACTCGTGCGTGGGTTGAGTAGAGTGAGCAGAATGGTAGATAGTATGCTCTTGAAAGCAGCCGACTGTACAATATGTTTTAGAGAAGCCGGTTGCTTTTGACGCGAATGATAATACAACGGAGCATACTCTTTGTCTAACAGTAAAGTGAATAATTCTGCTAGATATAACATCAGATCTGTCTGTTCAGAGTCTGAAGCTAGATTGAAATAGCTAAGTTGTAAGTGTTCTGATCAGAGTTAGACTATTGAACATAGTAATCTAGTTTTCGATGGCGTTCTATTTTTCAGAATGTTATTGAAGTCATAAACTCAACAGATGAGCTAGCAATCAGATGCAATAAAGCGAAATAATATACCTCAGAGGCACCTGTGTCTCCTTAGAATAGTAAGACAGTTACACTTATTGGATCCGTTTCTGATGGGCAAGTGGGCAGGTTGCTTGATGGCTGTTACACCGTGTTTGCGGTGAAGAGCAGCCGAGTAGAGCAATGAAAAAAGGTGACAGAGAGACGAGTGAAATGGGGCGACACACTTTAAGCTGGGGGACAAACTGCAACAAAACAGCAGCTGTCGCCCTGACTTACCCCACTTTATTTCAGTTCAACTTATTTACTACACCAACCATCCCACTCGGATTGCTGAGCTTTGCTCTACTCTGCTCCTCAGCTATGCACGCCGTACATTAATTCAATACTTCTACAAGTTTTTCCACTGGCAGAGCAGAGAAGGAATGCGCGTTTTGAGCAATGTGATTGGTCAATTTTACACGTACTTTCTCTGCTCCGCTTTAATGGAAATGCAGCCTTACCATTGCCTTGTTGAGAAAATGTGCCAAAAAGATCCGTAAATCATGAGTACTTCCATGCAAGTTGAATTGCTCATTAGATCATCTATTCATAGCTTTTTCCTTTGACTGGTCAATTGAAAACATAAATTCAAAAAAATCTTATTGGAACAATGTCTTGGCATTCTTTTTAGGATAATAAGCCAAATTCTGTAAATTTTAATGATGATGTGAGTGTCAGATAGTAGGCGGAATAGTGAGAATTTAAAAAATGGTTGGATGAAATGGAAGGGTAATTACAGCTGGATTATTAGGTGCCTTGCATTTCTAGTGGCCATTAGGAATGTTTACTTCTATTATAGATACTTGACATACAGTTCTCTGGTACGAAAGTGTATCCTGTTAACTGTAAATTGAGTATTTAAGCCATTTGACTACGAGTTTCTTACCATCATAAAATTACACTTAATTTAGAAGTAAAATTGCTGTGGTTACCATCAGGAAGAAAAGCTCGTAAATGCCATTGAGACTGGTTTTGGGAAATTTTCTTGGGCATCGTCGTATCCTTTTGTGCGTAACTTCATCAAAAAGAACCTTGTGTTTACCAGTTTTGGGTTCAGTAAACTTCTGAAGAATACTACTCTTAAGCATTAGCGGTGGAATCGCCGTAGTAATCTCGCTTACTACATAAAGTCATATAGGCTTGCGAAAAACGCCCCTCGCTCGTTTAGTTTCCGCTGATAGCGACTATTTTGTGGTCACCGCGCGACTAGACGCCTCCTGCAGCTTTAGCCGAATGATACTGGATCATAGCAGAAATAAAATGTATGTACCTAACTGTATAAGATATCGGACCTGCTATTAAATCACTCAGATTTAAAAAAAAATCTTTTGATTTTTAATGGGTTTTCTGGTGTCCAATTGGATGCATCATACAGGGGATAGAACCACAAGGAATGTAGCTTTCTCCTGATTTCAACAATAGGACGAATTAGTAGAAACGAATACCAACAGGAAACAACCTTACCTTACTGGCTTATCTATAACGATCCATAGATATTTCTTGCTTTTCTGTATCAATGTTTTTCGACAAGTTCTTTTACAAGAGCCGCAGTTAGTGGGGTTACCACTTGCATCTGCTTATTCTGTCATTATATGTCACTGCAGCTGGCTGCGAAGGATCTATAAGTGGTTTTGGGACCTTAAGGCAGAGTACGGTCCTATTATGTCCCTATATTGCTACTGGATGCTTAAAAGAGTTAGAAGGATTTTTAAGAAGCCCTATGGAAACCTCCTCGATGGCATTTACGAACAACCCATAGTATATTTCGTTCCTGACACTAGTGCACACTGTAATACGTAAATATTAGGTTTTATTTGGTAATAATATAATGGTTTTTAATACATAAATGATAGTTACGATCAATGTTTGGCGTCTAGTAATGGAGAATCGCGAGGAAAGTACACGTAGATGTGAGATCCAATGTTGTAAACGCTTCATACATAGAATATGTAAATAATTCTAATCTTTTGTTAGGTTAATAGGACTGTAAAAAATTTTATCTACCTCAAACGCAACTTATTCTTACGGCTAGAAATGTAATACTACGTTAGATTAGTGAGAATGTTAGGTTCTTTTTTTCTATTTGAGAGAAATCACAGGAGAAGTAAACCATGCCAGGTTTACAACAATCTTTGTTGTGTTATAACTTTTAATGTTTGTGCTGAAGTAAAGAAATCTTTATTGATATACTATAAAAATATGTATGATTTTGCTTAATATGTTCTTTTAATACGCTCTTTTAGAGATACATTCAAATGGGATAAGTCGATTAATAGCTATTCGCAAAAGATCTGGGATATAATATTTACTGAAAGAAAAAAATAAAATTCAAAAAAATATTTTTTATGCTATCTTTTAAGGACCATCGCTGCCACACACGTTAGAGGTCGGTTTTTGGCATTGTACATATTTCATTAAAGCAAATATCAGAAAAGATTTCCGCAGTATGTCCATAGAAGTGCGCCAGCAGAGTTTTAGAAGTGAATTAGATTTTTTTCTGATGTGTGCATGGATTTGGACATAATTGCCAAATCACTCGTAAGGTTGTAGACTGAAATTATAATCTTAAAACATGTCAGAACTTCAGAGTCTGCTCATTCAGTCTATATCCTTAGTCCGCTAGTCATATACAATAGCAGCACATAATAATTATATTCTCAAATAGACAGTTAAACTGAGTGATATATAAACCTGATTTTACAATAGTTTTTTTACACGAAGGTGCAAACCCGATGAGTACAAATACAGATATGAATAATATAACACGTATTTACTATAATAAACTATATTTCCTCATTTTAGTATTGATACAGAAATATACAACGACATATGCAATATATTTTTGTAATATTTTAGATTGTAACTGTATTTTTTAATTGTTAACATATCAAAGACTAATCCTTGTTTGATAAGAAGGCATGGATGGCAAATTTTTAAATACATAATATTAATACATATTTTTGATGCCAAGTAACCACAACCAAAATACGAAAGTAAATTATATTTCTCAGTACATTGACTTGGTATTCGCAGTTTTGAAACATGAATGTGTTAAAATTGTTACAGTTGATGACATAAACCTTTGGATTAAAAATGTATAAGGGGTGTATGGGATAGGTTCACACTTCCGAATGTAAAACTAGTAAAATATGTATCTATAAAAAATGGTAATGGATTTCCCATATTTATTAATTATTTTGCTAAATTAATGACATACATAATTTTAAAATATAAAAATTATTAAATTACCCACAACATTGTTTATCATTATAGTCTTTAAAAGAAAATACATTAAAATATTCATAAAAAATATAGTAGGTAATGTTTTTTGTATAAAAAACCCAAGTAATTCAGACGCACAGCGTAGATAGAGCATAGGAAACTTAGATTTTAAGTACAAGGGAAAAATACCTAGTTATTTTTATATTTTTTATCAACCTCTCCTTTACGCCCTATATTTTTGACAATTTTACACCATCCAAAGGTTGTACAGTTGAAATCAATTTATTCGTTGGCTTTTGGTAGTGATTGTACACTCGTTTTTGTTACGTTTTGTCTTGAATATGTAATATTGAAGTTCATACATTTTGGTGTTTATTCTGTTTATTTATTTAACAGTTAGTTATCGAATGTCAATTGACAATAAATATTGTATCTGCTATATTAGAAACACAAAGTGTTCATTTCCTTTTTTATTGGGGACATTATTTATGCATAATTAAATTGTTAATTTGTACACCCCAGTTTAATATTTATAAGCTTATATTTTATCAGGTAAATGAGTGTGACTCATGTTATTTACCTTAATTTTTGTAATTACAATATGTTGTGTAATACCAAATAATTTTACTTTTATTTTGGCTTACTTTGTGTAAGTTTTCGAATATTTTTGTCTTTTTTTATCAGCAACGAAATTGCTATGAGCAAGAAAGCATGCATTTTTGTGAATTATCTACATTTATTATTATTTCCCTATATTTTATTTTTGGTTTGTTTCATCCGTTTTGTTATGTTATAAAAAGTAAAAAATTAAACAATGTCATTGTATTTTAGACCTAAATTCCATATTTTGTTAACTCTTTAACTGTTTTATAGAAGAACATTTTCTTTGGAAAACTTCAAAATATGGTAGCAAAATTCACCCAGCAGCTAAGGGGTTAAATTAAAATAATGTATATTTCTTACTCGTAGCAAAAATGTGACTCTGATCAATAGATATACGTAATTCTCGTACATAACATAGGGGCCTTAAATAATAATAAAAAAAAAAATAGAATGTTTGAATTATAATGGAAAAAATAAATATTTTTAGAAATGATATTTTAATAGAAATGATCTATTTTTGTTACGCTTTTTCAATTATGTCATTTTTATACTGGATGTTAATGTTTCATTAATCAGAAGTACCATGTTCGCGTCGGAATAGTTTTTCCACATTAAAAACCCCTATAAAAAGTGGGCGGAGTTTAGTTGAAAACTATAAAAGGGTTAATAGAATCAAAATTAACTTTTCCAAAATTTAACTCGTTCAGACTAAGCACGAGTGCTTACGTCGCATTTTATTACTTCTTTTGTAAATATGAATGTTATATTTTCATTTAAATTAATAAAGTTGTGTGGCAAAGCTTATTTCCGACTGCGAATTGAATAATAACCGGGCCAGGAAGTAAAAATGTCCCATCGTAGAGTTAACTTGACCTAATGTCACACTGGTCTTGATAATGACAATTACGTCATCGTTCATGAATGATATCAAATGAAATGTAACCGAATTCACAATTTTATCGACGTTACCATATAAGGTCATCTCTTTAGTCGATGTGAGTGTGCTGTGCGTGCGATTTTATTATTTCAGCGGTACTTTACCTGCGGCCATGTAAACTGCTTTATCCACTTGTTATAGTACATTTTTTGTATTTAGAATCAAAAACTAAATAATATACCTACCGGCTATTCCAAAAATATTCCAGCCTTACGGTAAATTTTCCATTTGGAAGCGAGGAGAAGCACTATAATATGGCGCGAAGGTTATAATAGACCATCTATCACTCATAAATGTGGGAAAAAATACGATTTTCAGCCCCTTATTTTCCTGTGTACCCTTGGCTGTTCCCTTGATGGTACAGTGGAAAATAAATTTTAACCGCTGTACCCTTGGCCGTAAAACCCAACCAACTTAAATTGTACACGTGACCAAGGGGACTAGGTTTTCTTGAATTTGGGCAAAAAACAAAAACAAATGAACATCGATAAAAACAAATGAAGTAACATGGATGTAGATAAAAGTAAAACCTAATTATAATTAATTAAGTACATAATATAATAAAAGACAATATTACGCCATTTTCCTGTACCACTTCTGAAATGTCAAAATTGTAGTACTGTCGACCGTCACGTAATAAAACAATACCGCCATTCCTCTCAATAAAACAAGGTATATCATCGTCAATGCAATTAGCTTCCATGATAAAATTCACAAAAAATATTGTAAAATCAGTTATGAAATAACATTCACAGGGACAATTGGGCAGAAGAATAATATCAAGATATCATATTTCTTTTTCAGAATAATAAAATTAGCCAAGTGCGTGTCGTGCCACGTGCAATGTAGGGTTCCGTAGTTGTCCGTCGTTAACACAATATATTTCAGAAAAACCAAGCAATTACTTAATCTAATCACTTTAAATATTTTCTTCTAAGGAATTTTCACTAGTTAAGAAATTTTATAATACATGAGTTAAATGACTATTACTCTAAAAAGAAACGGTAACATTAAATAAGTTCAATATCAATCCTAAAATAGGTACAGGATTACACTTGAAATGTAAAACTATAGTCTCAATCTCATTAAACATAGGTAAATATTAAATCTCATTAAATATGGGTTATATGGGCAACTAAAAAGTATCATCTAACTCCTAAATTACGAAGTTTGACCTTTCATCATCAGCTCACCTAAAAAACCTGAAGTAATACAACTGTGTGTACATACGTACCTAAAATATTTAAAGAATTATTCTCCAACTCCTAACCGTTAAGGAGTTTTACCTTCCATCATCACCTCATCAACATTAGATGATGACTACCAGATGCATATACTTGAATATCTTTATAATAAATATTAAAAACGATATACATGCCTATAAAATTTAAAGGTTGTCCTCGATTTCCCTAGGATCCCATCATCAGATCCTGTCTTGGTGACAATGGGACCACTACAGAAGTGTACCCTATCGAACAAAAAAAAGAATTTTGAAAATCGGTCCACAATTGACGGAGTAATCGGTGAATATAAATAGAAAAAAAAAACATTACATACAGCCGAACATTTTATAACCTCCTCCTTTTTTGAAGTCGGTTAAAATAGCGTAATATTGTCTTTATTATATGTACTAAATTAATTATAATGTACTTAATTAATTATAATTAGGTTTTACTTTTATCTACATCCATGTTACTTCATTTGTTTTTATCGATGTTCATTTGTTTTTGTTTTTTGCCCCAATTCAAGAAAACCTAGTCCTCTTGGTCACGTGTACAATTTAAGTTGGTTGGGTTTTACGGCCAAGGGTACAGCGGTTAAAATTTATTTTCCACTGTACCATCAAGGGAACAGCCAAGGGTACACAGGAAAATAAGGGTTTTCAGCGACTTCTCTCTACATAAAACATCTGAAGGCTTAGTGTGAGTTTACGTCGTCACTAGTGAGCGTGTTAAAAAAATGTCATCATCATCATCATCATCATGTCAGCCATAGGACGTCCACTGCTGAACATAGGCCTCCCCTAATGCTTTCCACGTTGATCGATTGGTAGCGGCCTGCATCCAGCGCTTCCCTGCTACCTTTACGATGTCGTCGGTCCACCTTGTAGGTGGACGTCCCACGCTGCCGCGCATAAAAAAATGTATGAAGATTTTATTTCTCGAAAGTTTCTGCTAGGGGCGCTGTACTGTACAATCCGATATACATTCGATGTCACTTTTTTACGCAGTCGACATCGAATGTGTTCGAGGTAAACTCACACTACGCCCCCTGTTGCATTATGTTGCGGTCCCAGAATAAATCTTTGGTACCTGTTTAAAAAAGTTGAGAAAGATACAACTTACGCAGGTTTTTTGTACTTTTATCAAATGGCCTAAAGAATTCGCACAAATAATAAGATCTATAATCGATATAAGTGATCTTGAATGGGTTAATTTCCTGGCCAGGTCCATCTTTTCGAGTGTTTGTACAAACAATGTAAGTACCCCTCGCAGGTTAAAGTTAATAATTAAACTATAAACATTGTACCTGGTTTGTAATAACATGATGTAATTATGGTCTTCAGTAATAAATATTTTGAACATCATTTTGTTTATTTAATTTCGTTCAAATTACCCTGTGTAATCGTAATATGACACGAAAATATTGTTTAAATTATTGTCTTTTACATTAACCATAGTTTACACTCCAAAAATACTTACGAGAGCTAATCTAATGCCACTTTTCTAAACTAATACTGAGGAAATTTCTTGCAAGACGACTCAGTGTGAACAGAGCCTTAGTTGCTTAGTTTTTCTGATGGTATCCTTCCGTTTGGCCAAATTACTTTTCGCCAAATTTCACTTCGCAAACAACTTATCGCCAAAGTTTCATTTTCCAAATGAACTTTTAGCAACTGTACTTTTCGCAACTAATTCATTTGGTCAAATTATCATTTGGCAAAATTTTACTTGGCAAATGTTTATCTAGCAAATGTTTCATTTTGCCAAATATTCTATCCCAAATAATTTGTTTGGTCAAATTGACACTTCATATAGGTAGGTACTTAATTACCCACCGTTACCCACTAATCAAAGCATAAGGCAGATAGATAGATGATCATGGTTTTCACGAGAATTTTATGTAAAACAAAGAGATTGCAGAAAATAGTATGGTTGCAGAAAGTAGGTATTGCACAAATAGTAGGTTAGGTTAGGTTAGAACAGTGACCCTTAACGCTAGAATCACCTCTATTGTTAATAAATCATTTGGACATTTCGATAAAAAGAATGAAATATGAAAACTAATTTAGAACAAAGTTTATATTAACTACCTACTCACTAAACAAAATAATAACCACAAGCTAATTTGTATTCCATTCTATGCACCAATCAAATTAATTTGTAAATAGTTTATCGTGAAATATTTTTGCCAAATGAAACATTTGGCAAAACATACTTTGCCTAACAATAATTTGCTAAACAATAATATGCCAAAAACGACATTTGCGAATTAAAAGTTTGCAATAAGTTTGTTTTGCCAAATAAGAATTTGCCAAATGAAAATTTGCGAAACGTTGTTTGCGATGTGATAATTTGGGAAACGTTTTTTGGCTAAACATTAGTAATCCTTTTCTGATACATATTATCTATAAATAACTTGAAAAATATATATAAAATAGTTTGAGATGCGACTCTTATCGCTAAGAAATTTTAATTTTATCTGTTTATTTTTTTATAATAACAAAGTCCATTTTAATTAAGCCATTCATTGAATCTGGCACAAGAGTTGTGACCTGTTGAACCTATACGATTACTACGTTTATAAATACTTGGGATAGGTAGAGTGAGTATTGGTGTGATAGTAAAAAAAATATGCAGTCAATATCGGTGAAATATATTTTTTATTGCTGATCAATCCATTAACAAGTAACACATAGACTTAGAACCAGAAATAACAAAATAAATAACCTAATCCACATGGTAAAACAGAAAACGAAAGAAATGCAGTCAGAAACATAGTCATCCTATCTATAAACATGAATTTACTATACACAGACAAGTGACGGTAAACTTTATCGTAATTTTACAAGATATACATCAATATTGTAAATATACAGTTTGATGATTATTCAGGATAACATCGTTATTCAAGTATCTAATTTATCTAGACTTGAATTTGAACTAAATTAAAATTGTACTAAAAATACTAACACCCCCCCGGAGTGGGCCTGAAGGCCGCAGGTTATAGTATAATATGCTTTTAGAAAAATATCCATTCGTAATAAGAGGAGTCCAGTTAGGCTCAACCATAAATGCACTAAACAACAGTCACAGAGGAATGTTCAGTTCACGCTAGTGTTGAAAACCATCGATAGTAGGTATCTCCATCGAGTAGCACAGTGACGTTTCGATATCGTTGAGAAACAAAAAAAGAGCGATAGACCGATAGCAGTATCGAAAATTTAATCGCATTTCTTATCGATATATTTATAATGGCTTTGGCAAACTCATTGAATATCGACGCACACATCACAACACTATCGACTTGACTAAAGCTTTGGATACACTATGGACAAGAGAATCCGAGTGTCAAATCAATGTCCCGCGGTGTTTCAAAATGTTTCATCGCGTAAACGCGTGTAATATTGCACGGCAACACATCGGGACATTTTTCGGTCGTTTTGTCCGCTAGTGTATCCTCGGCTTTCACAGCGGCACTTTAGACGTGGTGAGAAGCGACTTTCTGCCTCAGCCTGTGCACAAACTGGAAGGCAAGAAAGAATCATTTCACTGTCCGACTTTTCATTCTTCTCACTTTGCCGCGTTTAGGTTTCGCTTTCAGCGATATGCTGTCCAAATTAGGTAGATCGGCGTCGGTAACTTTGTCCGTAACTTTCACCGGGTTGTCGTTCGCATCGTGATCCGAACTGTCGACGCCGTTTTCCATTCTGACTACGTTAACGTAGCTTTGCGGAGGGCTGACGTCCATTTCTTCGTCAGAATCTTGATAGTTTCCATTCGGCTCATGGCGTTTGTATTGAAAATGTCTGTAGTTGATATCTTCGTCGGAATCGGCTGTCGCTTTGCCCTTGTATCTTCTGTTGATGTTTTGAAGAGATTGATTTTTCTGCAGCTCGGTGTGAATCGTGTCTCGGATGTTCATTTCCGAGGTGGATTTGGTGCAATACTCTTCCTTGTCGGATTCGGAGTATTTCCGCGACAGCCGGCGGTCGAAGGGTTTGTGGGCGTCGAGGGTGGCGGCTGGCACGGCGGGGGTGGGGCACTTGAGCCGCACCTCGGGGCCGCCGCCGTAGATGTCGGTGAAGAACCTCCACAGCTCCTCGCTGAGTTGCGCGTGGTCGGAGCCCTGTTTTAGGAGGTACGTTGTGTTGCCGTCGTTCTCCTGGAAAATTTGAGTAGTTGTTAGACATTTTATAAAACAGAAACGAAATTTTTGGCAACAAATGTGATGTTGGAACTGTTGATCTAAAAAACCTTGTAAATACAGTGTGACTGGAACTAGACTCGCCATAGCAAATTCCCAAGTAGAGGAGGTCGTTTACGATTTCGTAAATATTTCAATATTGCAATATTTATTGGACCATCCTTTTTTTGTACACACAACCTGTATAAACAATGTTATACAAATGCGGCGAGCTATATGAAAATATATTTTGTAGGTTCATACTAAAAATTAGAGAAGAATTAATAGAGATAAATCTGCCACGTCGCAATTCAACAAAAGGCACTATTCAGTACTTCCATAGTATATTCTTGTGCTGCATTGTTGTATTGTGGTGCACTGTGATGTAGCTTTAGAACAAGGATGCACAAACCGCGGCCCGCGGGTCACATGCGGCCCACTAGCAAAATTATAACAACCTGAACCTATATTGAGTTGTTTTTATTTCTTGCTGCCCGCTCTTTTAGCTCATAATTTGCCCGAGTGGCCCCAGTAAGTCCGTGCATCCCTACTTTAGAACATTTCTTTCGATATAACCAGTGTATACGATTATAAGTCTTATCTCTATAGCAATAAGTACCTGTTTGGTGACTATCCCCGTGTTATCGACCGGCGGCGGCGGCTGCTGCGTCTTGTTGCGGACAAAGGCCTGCCACTGCCGGAACCAGTGCATACTGATCGCGTATATTGCGCGAGGACGCTCTTGCTCCTGAAATTATGGTTGAATGGTTAGGTTTAACCATTTGTGGCAGGCATAAAACATAAAATGTAATCATATTAATTGAATTAATGCAACAACACGCAATTAACGCAACGGCTTCACTCTCACTCTTTCTGCGAATGTCGTAACAAGCTATGAAGGGAAAATATGGGAACTGCCCCCTTAGATAAAATGCACTTATTGATCGAATCGAAAATCGAATCCGTCAAAACGTTATACAAAAAAAGGCATATCGACCACTTTTCGACTGGTTTGCGATTATAATGTGCACTTTGTCTAGACCCAACCTGCCTCCTCAACCCGTTTGGCCAGCGTCGAGTGTAGACCAAATAATCACTTTGTCTCTTGTAAATTAAAGAGGGTCGTGTGCTCTTGCAGTAGACACTAACTCCGAAGTGACCCGATTACAACAAGTGTGCTCAAGAAAATTTCAATTCAGAATCCGGGCATAAGTCGGTCAAAAATAGTTTATACCATTTTATTATTTAACAAGATTATGTACTTAATATTTAATTTACTTAACACTGGCGACATTTACAGCCCGCACGCAGCCATAAAAACAAAATAAAATAAACTTCTCACCTGGAATATAGCGTGCAGGTCGCAGAAAGCCGCTAGTTCGCGCGCTCGCCTTGCACGAAGACGCTGCGCCGCCCGTGCGCATACGCCGCACTCGTGTGCGTGAGACAGCGCCGGCCCGCCGCCGAAGCTGCAGTAATTAAGACGTTAGTGTTATAGTAATAAGATATCTTAGTCCGATCAACGAGGAGATTCGTTGTATGGAGACTTTCGAATAATTCCTCTGCCTATGAAACTTGGCATATTATGATGAACTTCCCAAAATAAAAGTAGTTGGATTATTGTATATTTATAATCTGTATTAACTATTTTCATCATGTGCCAAGTTTCATAGGCAAAGGAATTATTCGAGTTACGACAGCTTCGTTGATCGGACTATATCTTATCTTGACGCAGTCTCAATGATGGGCTCAATATAGTGCCGGGGCGTTGCCAAAGCTGTGTTCGAATTACAACCTTAGTATTATAACATTAAGAGTCCCCCCAAACTATGGAATCGCTCGAAGACGCTGCGCCGCCCGTGCGCATACTCCGCACTCGTGTGCGTGAGACAATGCCGGCCCGCCGCCGAAGCTGTAGTAATTTAGACGTTAGTGTTATAGTAATAAGGTATCTTATCGACGAGCCGTCCCGATGATGGGCGCAATATAGTGCCGGGGCGTTGCCAAAGCTGTGCATTGAAATTACAACCTTAGGCTGAGTTGCACCACTTAACTTTGATCGTAGCTTTGAAGATAACCGGTGTATTTTGTATGGAGTTTGACTGATTTTTGACGTTTGTCAAAGTTAAAGTAAGATGGTGCAACCCAGTGCGTGGGACGTCCACCCACAAGGTGGACCGACGACCTGATAAAGGTAGCAGGAAGGCGCTGGATGCAGGCCGCTACCAACCGTGCGATGTGGAACCCAGCCTTAGAGCGCATACACCGCACTCGTGCGCGTGAGACAGCGCCGGCCCGCCGCCGAAGCTGCAGTAATTAAGACGTTAGTGTTATAATATTAAGGTATCTTATCGACGAGCCGTCCCGATGATGGGCTCAATATAGTGCCGGGGCGCTGTCAAAGCTGTGTTGAAATTACAACCTTAGTGCTATAATATTAAGAGTCCCCCCAAACTATGGAATCGCTTGGAGACGCTGCGCGGCGCGCGCGTATACGCCGCACTCGTGTGCGTGAGACAATGCCGGCTCGCCGCCGAAGCTGCAGTAATTTAGACTTTAGTGTTATAGTAATAAGGTATCTTATCGACGAGCCGTCCCCGATGATGGGCTCAATATAGTGCCGGGGCGTTGCCAAAGCTGTGTTGGAATTGTGAGCCCTAATGTTTGTGAATACGGGCGTGGGACCCTTAACGCTGGTCCTTCGAGCCGGATATTACCAAGGTAGTCTACTCACTGTGCGTAGAGGAATTCCCACAGCGGTTGCGGCACGACAGCCGCTAGGTGGTGTAAGTGCTGCGACAAAGTCGTCGTTGTCTATGGTCGGCATAGACAACACAAGCAGAGAATATAGTCTACTCACTGAGCATAGAGGAACTACCATAGCCGCTATGATTTCTTTGTGTATCTCCGGACGAGACCCTCTATATTAGGCGCGAACTAGCAAAGTTCCCTTGACACTGGTCCTTCGAGCCGGATATTACTAAGGTAGTCTACTCACTGTGCGTAGAGGAACTACCATAGCCGCTATGATTTCTTTGTGTATCTCTGGACGAGGCCCTCTACATTAGGCGCGAACTAGCAAGTTCCCTTAACACTGGTCCTTCGAGCCGGATATTACTAAGGTAGTGTACTCACTGTGCGTAGAGGAACTACCATAGCCGCTATGATTTCTTTGTGTATCTCCGGACGAGGCCCTCTAAATTAGGCGCGAACTAGCAAAGTTCCTATTGCATAAGAGTCTAGTGCCAGTTTTCACCATCAATCCCTAATTTTTAAGTGACCCTATGAACACAAAGTTCCTGTTATGTGTTACCATAGGGGTCACTTAAAGATTAGAAATTGATGGTGAAAACGGGCATAGGACCCTTAACACTGGTCCTTCGAGCCGGATATTACTAAGGTAGTGTACTCACTGTGCGTAGAGGAATTTCCACAGCGGTGTAAATCCTGCGCGCGGTCAGGCCGCACGCCGCCGTGCCAGCAGACGAAGTCGCCGTTGTCTATGATCGGCATAGACAAACAAGCACAGTCTACTTACTGTATGCAGAGGAACTCCCAGGCCCTCTATATCAGGCGTGAACTAGCAATATGCTTTTGCCACTAGTCCTTCGAGCCGGATAATTCCCGATGTACAAGCACATTATTCTACGCACTGGGTGTAGAGGAACTACCACATTGGCTGGGGCATAAAAGCGACTAAAGCCCGGTCGCCGAGCACGTAGGATTTCGTCCAATGACCCCAAGCTACCCTTCTCGCTCGCGCCTAATTTTATTGCTGTCACGACTGTGCGACGGGCGTCCGCAGATAGTGTGCGAGCGAGAGAAATTCTACGTGCTCGGCGACCGGACTATAGATGGTGCAGGAAGTTTTTTCACACAAGCAATTTCCACATGTTGTACAGGGCCTTTGAGCCAGATAACAGTCTACTCACTGTGCGTAGAGGAACTACCATAGCCGCTATGATTTCTTTGTGTATCTCCGGACGAGGCCCTCTATATTAGACGACGCGAACTAGCAAAGTTCCCTTGACACTGGTCCTTCGAGCCGGATATTACTAAGGTAGTCTACTCACTGTGCGTAGAGGAACTCCCACAGCGGTTGCGGCACGACAGCCGCTAGATGGTGTAAATGCTGCGCTCGGTCGGGCCGTACGCCGCCGTGCCAGCAGACAAAGTCGCCGTTGTCTATGGGGCCTGGCTCCGCCCACGTGTTGAATCTATGGATTATAATGATGATGTACCAGATTGAAAATTATAGTGCATGATTTTCAATATGGTACATCATTTGGCTGCGATTCAGATTCGCAATTCGTCTGTATCATTTAGGCCCGATTCGATCAATCTTTTATCCGAGAATAACTCCTGGTATTACTGATACTGAAAGTTGCAGTATGGAAAATGTGTCAAAACTCAAGATTTATTCTGAGATTAATATTTATTTACTCTTGTTTGGTCGAATCCACACTTAGTGATGTTTAGTCCCAGGACTCGGTTATGTGCGATGCATTCTGATGACGAAACATGACATTTAGGTTTAGCTACTTCTGTTTATACGAGTAGCCTTATGCTTTCCACATGCAAAACTATAATATATAAAAGTTTAATCAAAGCTATTTATTGACAAACTTTCGCACTATCAAATATAGATTTTAAATTGACTTACTTGTTGATCCACTGCTTAGAAATGTAGAATTTGATGTCGTTGGGTTCAACATTTGTGGACTCCAGGATCTCTGCTGCTTTTTGCCGCAACACTGTCATTTGTGGGTTTACTTTCCTGTGAACAAAATAATAAAACAAATTGTATGTACGAGATTTGGAGCTATGTATTTTCTTTCTTTCTTCTTTCACAAGTGGCGTCAAGCCCACCTATAGAACAACACGTAGGCCTCAGCACTCGCTAGCTGTGCAGGCGGCAGCGGCACCACGCTCTGGTCGTCAAAGGTGTACCAGCCGCATGCGTTGCTGACATACCTATAGTGCCACATGACTGATATGTGGCGTCAAGCTCACCTATAGAACAGCACGTAGGCCTCAGCGTTCGCTAGCTGTGCAGGCGGCAGCGGCACCACACTCTGGTCGTCAAAGGTATACCAGTCGCATCCGTTGCTGACTCACAAGCGGCGTCATGCTCTCACGTGACTCACATTTGGCGTCAAGCTCACCTATAGAACAGCACGTAGGCTTCAGCGCTCGTTGGCTACGCAGGCGGCAGCGGCACCAAGATCTGGTCGTCAAAGGTGTACCAGCCGCATCCGTTGCTAACACACCTATAGTGCCACGCGTGACTCACGTGTGGCGTCAAGCTCACCTATAAAACAGCACGTAGGCCTCAGCGCTCGCTAGCTGTGCAGGCGGCAGCGGCACCACGCTCTGGTCGTCAAAGGTGTACCAGCCTCGCCCATTACGCGCGACGCACGTATAGTGTCCACCGCCCGCGGTGCCCGCGTGGCAGATCACCGCGCATAGCTCGTAGCGGGTTATTTTTGACGTGCAATCTGGAATGAAGCAAGCAATTTAGAATTATTTACTACTGGATTAAGGTCTAATAAACACTCCCCTAGGACCACCCGGACAATCCGGGTATTTCGGGGCGCTTCAGACGTTGACCCCCTGTTACGATCCCTAGGGGCCCCGTAAGGGCCCTTAGCACCCCGTCAGGATTGAGATACCGGGGGTCGAGATTGAGCTATCGGGGGTCGAGATAGAGCTATCAGGGGTCGAGATTAAGCTATCGGAGGTCGAGATTCGAGTTATCAGGGGTCGAGATTGAGCTATCGGGGGTGGAGATTGAGCTATCGGGGGTCGAGATTGAGCTATCAGGGGTCGAGATTGAGTTACCGGGGGTCAAGAGTGAGTTATCGGGGGTCGAGTTGAAGGGGTTGAGCTGTTGATACTTTTACGTACCCTTGTGCGTGTAGGGCGCCATGTCCAGTCCCCGTAGAGGGAATGACACGCGCGCGGCCACCTTAGCGCTGAACATAAGCTCGTGGCGGAAACGTTTCAAGTATAAAATCCTCTGTCACGGTCCCTAGGGACCCCTTACGGACCCGTAGCGCCCCGTACGTTCCCTAGGGGCTCCGTACGGGCCTATAGCGTCCCGTACTCACCTCTGTGCCTTGTTGTGCAGCTTGTGGCGGTCCCGCTTCAGGTGTTCCAGCTCTGATACGGTCCCTAGGGGCCCCGTACGGACCCGTAGCGTCCCGTACAGTCCCTAGGGGCCCCGTAGCGCCTCGTACTCACCCTAGTGCTTCGTGCAGCTCGTGGCGGAAGCGCTTTAGATGTGGTACTTGTATGTGTCCCGTAGAGGCCCCGTACGGGCCAGTTGCACCCCGTACGGGCCCATAGCGTTCCGTACTTACCCTTGTGCGTGTAGGGCGCCATGTCCAGCCCCCGTAGAGGGAAGGACACGCGCGCGGCCACCTTAGCGCTGAACATGAGCTCGTGGCGGAAACGTTTCAGGTGTACACACAGCACTTCTGGAAGGCGCACCACGCCAGACATCTTGACGCCGTTGCGGAGCTTGTTGCAGCGGGAACAACTGGGAATAGTTAAACGTGGTTAATTACAAAACTGTTCTATATGTATCTTGGACGAATAAACCACTGGACACGAAACCTACAAGATTTCTAAGGAAACACGATCAACCACTTTTTGCGGGGGGAGAGGTTTGACAATTGTCAAATAATGACATTTAGTGCTGGGAAAGATCGTAAATTTTGATCGATAGTTATGTAAATGAATGAATGAATGAACCTAATAAATGAATTATGGATTGATTTATTATTGAAAGTTTCTTTAATTAAAAGACTATAATTAATTAGTAAAGTAACTTTTTGTATTTTCTTCTAAGGAATTTTTATTAGTTAAGTATAATACATGAGTCAAATGACTATTACTCCTAAACTAACTGATATATCTTAACCGTTATAGTTTTCCTTGAAAGTTCATAAAATAAATTATTATTATGAATTTTCCCAGATTTTTCAAGCTAACGGTTTAGTATTTAGAGGGGACTCGAAAAAAAATTGGCACTTTAAACTTTAATAATTTGCAAACAGATCTCTAAATGGAAAAATAGCCTTAGAAACCCCTAAGCAATTTTAAAAGACCTGTCCAACGATATCCCACACGATGAGGTAGAAGATAAAAAAAATTCACCCCCACTTTACATGTACCTACCCCTAGATGTAAAGCAACTAGATACCGTAATTATTTTTTTTTCAAAATTTTATCTTACTGTTTTATCAGCGTGATTAATATACATGTTACGGTCAATGTGATAAATTGAAAATTATTAATAATAACCGGTTATTATGAATAATACCCGACAGTCGCGGTGAAAGTGATAAATTAATCACAGTTAACAGTGATTATTTAATAATTCAACCTTAGCACTAACAAATTTCATAAAAGAGAACAACATCTTGTGTACGTGTTCGTTTACAGCCAAACTTTTGAACTTTTTGATATCATATATTAATATAATTTGGCATAATGAGTTTGGAATGTTTTTTGCATAATATTACTTTTCCATGATGCCTATAACATAATGTTTTGATTTAAAGTGAAAAATAGGTTAAGGTGCGGCGGGGGTGGCCCTTGGGCCACCCCTAAGCCGCCTATTTAGTTTTATACACACATAAATGACCTCATATTAATCACATTTACCAAATCATGCGGTAATTATTCATAATAACCGGCGATTATTCATAATTTTCACATTTATCACTTTGACCGTAACATACATACCTCCACAAAATTACAGCTCTCTAGTGCCAATAGTTTCCAAGCAAAACCTCGGACAGACAGACATAGCAAAACTCATGTTACGGTTAATGTGATAAATTGAAAATTATTAATAATAACCGGCTATTATGAATAATTACCGACAGTCGCGGTTAAAGTGATAAATTAATCACATATAACAGTGATTATTTAATAATTCACCCTTAGTACTAACAAATTTCATAAAAGAGAACAACATCTTGTGTACGTGCTCGTGTACAGCCAAACTTTTGAACGTTTTGATATCATATATTAATATAATTTGGCATAATGAGTTTGGAATGTTTCTTGCATAATATTACTTTTCCATGATGCCTATAACATAATGTTTTGATTTAAAGTGAAAAATAGGTTAAGGTGCGGCGGGGGGGGGCCTTGGGCCACCCCTAAGCCGCCTATTTAGTTTTATACACACATAAATGACCTCATATTAATCACAGTGATTATTCATAATAACCGGCGATTATTCATAATTTTCACATTTATCACTTTGACCGTAACATACATACCTCCAACGCAAAAAGCTCTCTAGTGCCAATAGTTTCCAAGCAAAACCTCGGACAGACAGACATATCGAAACTATAAGGGTTCCTTGTCAGGACTACGGGACCCTAAAAATTATATTTTCTATGATGATAATGACATTTTATTATAAACCGTCTATGTAAACGAATAAAACTAATAATGCTTCCATTTGCATGTATGAATACTAAAATGCAGAATAAATGACGAAATGAAGAAAAATATACAAGTTTTTTTTTATCAAAATCGATTTTCCTAGATTATGTTGAAAGGAACAATAATAAACTAGGTACTTCTGTAAAAAAACAATGAGACCCTAGTACTAACCGCTGTCACTACACGTGTTTTTCTAGATCTATTCGTAATCAGTGGGCTTAGTGCGACTTTATATCGATCGTCATCCGCTAGCGACTACGAGACTGCGTAAAAAATGACATGCATTAAGGCTTGGTATTTCTTCTAAAGTAGGTATTTCGCGCTGTCAAAATCTGCGCGCGCAATTCTTCGCCGAAAACAGCGCGTCAAAGAGCTCCCGCCACAATTTCCAGCTACACAGTATAGAAATACGCAGTTGGTTAGGTTAGGTTGACTTCCTTCCCTTCAAGCGTCACACTCACAACACTTTCTAATAGAAATCATATCCAAGTGATACAAATTAAAACACCTTTCAGACTTTTTGGGAATATATTCTAGAATCGAATAAATATAAAATATAACTGCAGAAGTAAACACTGTTCAAAGTGGCCGTGGCGTCGCCCGACCTTCTGGAAATTAATTTGAATAATTTCAGTTTCAGTTTGTTTGGTATATCGATAAACTTATCGACATTTTTCAAGCCCTTTACGTCATAAAAAATGAGATGTGAATGAATGAATGAAACCTATAATCCAACCAAATTAAATATGCTACATGTTTTAAGCATTTACATGTACAATGAGTACTTTTTAAAATGACGTAATCATATTTTGTTTACATATCAAATTTTATTTATTTTACGAAAAAATAGCTACTATAATAGATTTAAAATGTACTTACGCGTGATAAGAAACATTTCTTGTGTGACCGGAATAATTTTTGCAATAAAGTACGGCGCATTTACCCATTTTTCATGATATTTTTACTCTTCGAGAGCTCGCGTCATACTGACAAAGTGACAACCTGACAACATTTACCATGGCTAATTTAGCCTTAGTAAGTGCTAGAGGGGTAAAGACGAAAACGTCACTCGTTACGCGTCCAGTGGTTTATTCGTCCAAGATATGTATTGAGGTTGCTACGTTGCGGATGACATATTAAGGCTAGGTTGCACCATTTTACTACGTGGTTAATTACAATACTGTTCTATATGTATTGAGGTTGCTACGTTGCGGATGACATATTAAGGCTAGGTTGCACCATTTTACTTTAACTTTGACAAACGTCAAAAATCTGTCAAACTCCATACAAAATACACCGGATAACGTTATAGTCACGGTTAAAGTTAGATGGTGCAACTCAGCCTAGGTTTTTAACATTGGATTGGTTGATCTCAATCTAGAAGGTGGAAGGTTTTAGTAACACTTGGTAGGAACTATTTTCTAACTATTCCAAGAGAAAATAATATAATAATTAACTTTTTTAAAAAATAAAACCGACTTCAAATGCGTGAACACAAAAAAAAACTAAAAATTAAAAATATTTCATATAAAAAAGTTCATCCCCAATTTTCCACCCTTGGGGGTGAAATATTTTCTTCAAATTCGCATGAAACCACCCTTTTGATAATACCTATTCAACAAAAAAATAATCGTTCAAATTGATTTATAATCGGCGGAGATATTGCGTATAAAAAAGTTCATCCCCAATTTTCCACCCTTGGGGGTTGTTTTTTCTATTATTAAATTTAAATGGGACCACCCTTGAGGTATTACCTATACGCCGAAAAAAGATTTGTTCAAATCGGTTCATAATTGGCGGAGTTATCGCGTAACAAACATAGAAAAAAAAAACATACGGGTCGAATTGAGAACCTCCTCCTTTTTTGAAGTCGGTTGAAAAGACGGTGTCTTTCGTCTCGTGATTTTACATTCGATACTAGAATTTTTTTCATATTATATGCTCTTGTGACACACCTGTAGTGTCGCGCATTGATTGGTTTATAAGAGAGACCTAACAAAAACCAACAAGACCGAACGAACAAAAAAGGCTTATAGTGTATATTACCTGTACATATTGTCTCCTTTGAGCTCATCCGCGCTAAAGAAGGCAGCGAGGCAGTCCTGCAGCGACACCACGGGCCCGTAGAACCACGACCGCAGCCAGCTCAGAAGCCACCACACCTTCAGAAAATGTTCGTACGTCAATATAGAGGGAATGTTATAATATCAAAAGAATTAGGCTGAGTTGCACCATTTTACTTTGACTTTAACAAACGTCAAAAATCTGTCAAAAGACTAGTTAATGTTAAAGTAAGATGGTGCAACCCAGCCTTATTGTAGTATGACGCTTGCATAATGTAGAGTACATACAGGTCACTCAATAAAATATTGTTCAGCTACATCATACCATATCGGCATGCAAGAGAATCAATTTTTCGTGATTAAGAAATTATAGTACAAATAAATTAAATTATGTGGTGTAAGAAAAGTCAATTAAGATTAAGAAACATTATTGTGAATGCTTTTTAACCCGGCGAGTATGTGATACAAAAAGTACACGTGGAGAATGTGGAAGGTCTTCATGACCCTGTATTTGAATGTAATTTTTTTGGTACTAAGCGGTATTTAAAAAAAATATTTATCAAGAAACTGAAGTAACAGTAATTAAATTGAATTCAAATGTTGGAAATACGTGGTAATCGGCTTTGTGTATTGTTTTTACACAAATAAGGCTTCCCATCCAAAAAAAAATCTGCGAAGCTGAGACCTTCGGCCTGATCATCACTTACCATCAGGTGAGATACAGGCCAAGAACTTCCTCGTCGTGGATAAAAAGAAATGTGCATATTTGAAGGGGGGGTGGCTCTTGGCCTGTAAGACCTGATGGAAAGTCAGATCTAGCTAGTTGTCTTCCTCAGAGGACGTGGTTAGTATAAGACTCGATTGGCACTTTTTAATCAAATCGAAAATCAAATCCGTTTAAATTCATACAAAAAAGGCATTTCGACCATCTTTCGACGTAAACACTGTCACCTTTTGCATTTTGTCTAGGGTAGGTTTATGTATCATGCTCGCTATTTACCTCGCAGGAATGTGTAAATGTGGTGTAAAATGTATCCTAGTTAAAATATAAAGTACAAACCGGACTCACCCACGACTCCTGCGAGCCATGAGCGGCGTGGGCCAGCAGCGGTTGCTGGCAGCGGATGACGGCTAAATGCTCCCGCGAAGGGATGGGCAGGGACAGGTCTTGGAAGGTCTCCACGCGGGTTGACACCTGTCAAAAGCGTTGATTCTATAGCAGGAGTGGCCAAACTTTTGACCTGTGAGGTCTACTATGCACGAAAATATTTCTTGCGGTCGACTGCAAGGTGTAGTTTAGATGATAGAAATGTTTTATTTCACATTTTTCATTTTCAATCATTCTGTTCAGTTCATTTAACTCACGCGGGCTACCAAAATAGTCTTCGCGGTCGACCGGTAGACCGCGGTCGACCTCTTGGCCGTCACTGTTTTATAGAATAAAATAAAATGTAATTATTTTTCTCAACACAAGTCAAAGCTTTATATTCAGTACTTATGCCGTTTCCAGGGCACTTATACACGTCGTAGCTTTCCCTACCACCACTTCAGGACAACATATAGGCTGGTACTGAGAAGTGGCGGTATCATTAAAGCTTATGCTAGACTAGATGAAAAGCACCATAGGAAAAGTGCGCTCAATGTGCACTCGCACAACACGGTCGTTGCGATCTAGTCCAATACTAATATCGAAAATAATTCCCTGATGCGGAGTGTAACGAATACACATTCAGGGAACCAGTTTCACTTCAAACGACATGACATTAATCTCTAAAATATCTTTTCAAAAAGTTCAACGAAGAGATTATACACCTGCCATTGAGACGTTAAAGGGACGTCTTGGTTCACGTGCAATGTTTAGGCCCGGTTTCCACCAAAGAGTTGAATATCCAATCAGATTTTATTATCCAGGAAATAAGGAAAGATGACTGGTTATTCCAAACACATCTCCGCTTCGTCTTGATGGAAACCGGGCCCAATAACAACATCTAATACTCTGTGACAAAGCCAGCATGCAAAAAGCAAGGAAGTATTTAATTTCACTCACCCTATCGCAGATGAGGCACTGCACAGAAGACAGCAGTTTCCCGTCAAACACGTCGGATATCACGCTTCGATATCTGACACCGCTGGAGCCGCCGTCGCCGCTGCCGCACGCGACTGGCTGCGGTTTGCTGCGAAGTAAACGATACGAGGTATAAACTCACTGCCTATGCATGTAACCAAAGGTTTGTGAGTGATATAGAGGTATAAACTCACTCCGTCCGTAAGTTTACAAAGGTTTGCGAGTGATATATAGAGGTATAAACTCTGCGTCCGCAAGTTAAAACTGGTTTACGAGTGAGATAGAGGTACAAACTCATTGCATTCGCTGTCTTACAATGGTATATGCGATAAGGCTTGGTAGTGCGATGAGGTATAATAAACTCACTGTGTGCGCAGGGAATGATTTGTAAGTGAAAAGAATAGAAGTATAAACTCACAGCACCCGTAGGTAAATAGTTTGTGACATATAGGATAAAGGTATGAACTCACTGCGTCCGCAGGATTACAATTTTTTGCGAGTGCGTTAGTGATATAAACTCACTGCGTATGAATTTTTACAAGTTTGTAAGTGAGATAAAGGTAAATTCATTGCATCCGCAAGTTTACCACTTTCAGTCCGCAAGTTTATAATGGTTTGAATAAGGTAGAGGTATAAACTCACTGCGTCCGCTCCGGCCTTGTGTCGGGCGCGTCGCTGGCTCCACTCGAGCACGTCTCATAGCGCTCCTCGGCTTCGCTTGAGCAAGAGAGCTCCGATTCTGAACCGATATTGTCACGCTGCGTTGAATCTGGACCTGCGGTTTAGTAATAGTAAATAAATAACAACTAATTTATTTACATAATAGTGCAGTCTATATTTTTTTATAATTATCGGGTTTGAATCTCTCTGGGATAATATTTTTTTTTACAAATATCTACTGACACAAGTTTAGGGGTCGCATTTCATAATAAACATCAAGTTAATTGTCTTTTCTTTTTTCATGTACCTAAAGTATTTCTTTTTTCGTTCTTCAAGAATAGATTTTTCCTCTTCCCGACGAAATCGGTCGCGAGCCATATGACCACGACCACCTTGGGCCACTGGTAGCGATTAATCAGATTTCAGTAATTACAGTCGGCCGTTTGGTGTAGTGGTTCGAAACGGACTACTATTCCAGAGGTTGCGGGTTCGATTCCCGCACAGTACAAACATTTGTGTGCATGAACATATTTGTTTGTATTGGACTGGGTGTTTTCTATGTACAATATTATGTATTTACAAAAAAAAAGTATTTAAGTATGTTTATATCCGTTGTCTAGTGCCCATAGGCACAGAATAATAATAAGTACTACGTACAGAAGTTTTACTTCGCGAAGGTATTTAAAACAATGTATGCTCAATGTCATTAACAATATGGTGTAATTTAGCTTGTCTCAAGAGTCAAGCAAGTTTGTCAGAAGTTTTGTTGACAAACGTCAGTGATCGGTACTGCGCCGAAGCTATAGGGCTGACTTCGGTAAAATGATGTGACGTGAGGTGCCAATCTGCAGAAAATGGCGGAGGAAATACATGATTTAGCATGAATTATCATGAATAATATTAACTACTTATTTACCTCTCAGTGTCTTGAGGCAACTTAAAAAAGTACATTCTGTGTTTTTATTATTATTTAGGCAGTTAAATACTGCACAGTATTTAGTACACCATTTTCTTTATTTTTTTCCATCATACACAAGAATACGCGTGCGTGAGTCAATGTTCGCTCGTATGTGAGGCCTTGTCGAATAGTACTCTTGTAGGGGGCAATCGTGCGTGTTTTGTTTTCGATGTAAACTCGCGGAGATGAACAGGCCTGCTATAGGTACAAGCTTTGCTTAGTTTGGGACTAGAAGCGCAGTGTAAAATGTCCAAGGATATTTATTTAATTTCGTGATAATGTTATCTTACCCACTGTCCCATTGAGCGCAGTCATCACGCTGTAGGCCAGATGCTGCGTACCAGCAAAGCTAGCGGAGCGCCGGTGCCTCGTCGCTTCCTGCCCCGCCACCCTAGGGAACACCAAATATTATTTAAAAACAAATTCAACGTGGAAAAGTGCAGAAAGTACTAAGCTGTCCTCATCATAATCATCAGCTGCTGAACTAGGCCTACCCAAATTATATCCATATCGGGCGGTTGGTAGCGACCTGTATCCAGCGCCTTCCTGCTACCTTACTACCTACTAACTTAAAAAATAAAAAGTGTAAATATGCAGAAAGTTTATAATCTATTTGCACTCCATTTTGGCGCCTATTCGAGACTCTATTTTACCTGTTGGCGCTAGAAGCAAGTGACAAGACCTTGCTCTGAAGTGGCGCATCTCAAGTCAGTGCAATAATATGGTGCCAAATAGTGAGCGCTGAAACGGTGAAATGAAATAGATCTTTGTTCGTAGTGGCGACACAGAGACGGGTTATGAGAGCTCTTTCATAAGCAATACGGATCCAAAGCAGTCCAAATTACAGGATATAAAATGAAATTACTATGCACTGAGTCAGGAATTCAGTTTTCTTGTTGTAGGGTCTACAACAAACCTATACAGTGTCAGCCCAAAACTCCGCTACGGAAAAATGGCGTTGTCAGTAGCATTTATTAAATCTTCCTGCATGCAGTCGTTTGGGCACGGAGGGCACGACATCATGTGCTTCATGAGGAATTTATTTAAAGAGGAAAAAGGTGTTACCTCAAATACCCATCGGCCCTCGATTCGCTGTAAGAAGATGGCGCCGGGGACTTCCGCCTCATTCGCGGGAACAGAGGCGCGTCACTCGCTGCAAAGGAAAAATCATTTTGCTTTATTATACCAAGCTACAGGCGTAGTGTAGTTTGGGGCAAGGTGAGAAGGTTGGAACATTTCTTCGAACTCGTAATAGCAGCTACTTAACATAGCAGGTGGTAGTCAAGGGGTTAAATACTAAATGGAGATATAAAACCTAATAACCTGTTTATGGGTACTTTATTTTTTTGCGACTGGAAAATGCATTGAATAGCAAACCTGCATGCAGGACCGCGAGACTAATAATAGAGCAGGTAGTTTTCGAGCCTATCCACAAAAAATCGCACTTCGCTTTGGTCACGCTTAGTGGGGCACGAAGCGAGCAAACTAATGTTACAGCTGCAGCCTTTCCCTTAGGGCACTTTTAGCAGGATGCCTTCTCGATGAAGCACAAGGGAACTCCGTGTGCACATAAATGACCTGTGTGCTTACCATGAGTTGTATGACAGATTGTACTGTTGTACAGCGCCCCTAGCGGCTACTTTCAAAAACTAAAAGATTATTTTGACGCACTCGCTAGCGAGCACACCTAACGTAGACTCATGATAAGCACAATCATGATCATGATGAAGAGTCAATGTACACTTAATTCGCAATAAAGTATTTAATTACCTCCAGAAGAAGCAGCTCGCCGCCTGACGTGGATATTCCTATTTTCCTGATGGTCGCCGTCCGCGTCCGAGCCTAGCTTGTCCTCGGCCGTGCCATCCCACACCTGGAACAATTTTCACCCTTATTGGGGCATGGTTGGCACATAATTTTAAACCTTCTTGCCATATATTAAGGTCCAAAAATGATGAAATTTAACTTGTGTATAAAAAAAGAAATGTCTAAACTAAATCTCAAGCATTGGCCATCCCATAGATAGATTGTCCATAGAGTCCATTGTTTTTATTCCGTACTTTGGTGCCTTGAAGATTGTCTTAATAAGTTCTTCAAAAGGTAGCCGAGCAGAGAAAGGTATCGGAATAGCCGACTCGTGATCCGAGGAACACGGGTTCGATGCCCGCCGCCGCTCGACTATTGTGGTGAGTCCACGCGTAGCAAAAGCATATAATTTAGCTTATCACGAGGGGTTAAGGGGATTATTATAGATCTAGCGCTAAACTGGATCAGCGCCTGAGGTATGAGAGCGGTACGAGACGGTGTTTTTGTGACGTCAAACTGACGTTTGTCGCTCACGCGACACTCCAATTGTGCTTTAAAAGACAATCTTTTTTTTTCGCGCTGTCATCGACCAAACTTGTGAAGTTGCAACAAAATAGTGACATTGTATGTGTAAACAAACATTACCATCCATTAAAGGCTCCACACATCAGTATGGAGCAGAATCAGCGCTATAAAAAAATATCGCAATATTTTGTTGCAATTTCTTACAAAACAAGACGCCACCTTCCAAACAAAATCTGGCATTGCCATTTGTACGCTAAATCACGTCATAAGTCAATGTCACCCCTAACGTGCTGCCCAGGCTCTGACTCAGTTTTGCGCTGGACCTATAATAATCGCAGCAGTATTGAACATAAAATATTCAGATTTTAATATAGCAGACTCAAAACTCCAACCCATATAGTAAAATCATTTTCTACAGCGTTCCTTGGGAAAGGTTTACGTGTATTAGCTGAAATGATGATGATGATGATGACTTACAGGCTCTTTCAGTTCCTCGTGCAGCTGGTCCATGAAGCAGCGTAGGAACTCCTGTGTGTCGTGCTGGTGGTAGCCGCGGAACATTGGGTGGACCTAAACCAATTAATTACATGAGAACTTGCCTGTTTGTTTATCCAACTGGTCAAGGAATCTATATTTATACATAAAAGCGAAAGGTCACTGACTGACTGATTCACTCAAATCTCAGAAATGATAGGAGTCTCAAATTTTGGGGATATACATAGGGACTCTTTTTAGAGCGTAGGTGCTCACTAAGACGCGATTTTGCAAAATTCAACCCCTAAGGGAGTAAAACGGGAGCCACGCGTACGAAGTCGCGGGCGAGCGCTAGTATATTATACAATTGTCTAAACGAAAATAAATGTCCTTAGACATTTTACACTGCGCTTCTAGTCCCAAACTAAGCAAAGCTTGTACTATGTGTACTAGACAACATATATAAACATATTTAAATACTTTTTTTTGTAAATACATACTTATTATACATAGAAAACACCCAGTCCAGTACAAACAAATATGTTCATGCACACAAATGTTTGTACTGTGCGGGAATCGAACCCGCTACCTCCGGAATAGTAGTCCGTTTCGAACCACTACACCAAACGGCCAGTTACATGAGAACTTGCCTGTGAGTTTATCCAACTCTGACTCACTCACACATCACGAAATCTCAGAAACTTCAAGTGATAGGAGTCTCAAATTTTACATAGGGACTCCTTTTAGAGCGTAGGTGCTCACTAAGACGCGATTTTGCAAAATTCAACCCCTAAGGGAGTAAAACGGGAGCCACGCGTACGAAGTCGCGGGCGAGCGCTAGTATATTATACAATTGTCTAAACGAAAATAAATGTCCTTAGACATTTTACACTGCGCTTCTAGTGCCAAACTAAGCAAAGCTTGTACTATGTGTACTAGACAACGGATATAAACATATTTAAATACTTTTTTTTGTAAATACATACTTATTATACATAGAAAACACCCAGTCCAGTACAAACAAATATGTTCATGCACACAAATGTTTGTACTGTGCGGGAATCGAACCCGCTACCTCCGGAATAGTAGTCCGTTTCGAACCACTACACCAAACGGCCAGTTACATGAGAACTTGCCTGTGAGTTTATCCAACTCTGACTCACTCACACATCACGAAATCTCAGAAACTTCAAGTGATAGGAGTGTCAAATTTTGCATGGGGACTCCTTTTAGAACGTAGGTGCTCACTAAGACGCGATTTTGCAAAATTCAACCCCTAAGGAAGTAAAACGGGAGCCACGCGTACGAAGTCGCGGGTGGCTGCTAGTATACTATACTAGATACAGGCCACTACCAACTGGCAATGTGAAAATCATTGGGGGAGGCCTATGTTCAGCAGTGGACTGTAATTGAAATGATGATGATGATGAAACGAAATCCGTTAGATTTTTTCAAACAATAGAAAAAAAAGGAAAAATAATAGTACAGCCATCTACAATTATAAGATTTAATTGAAAAGTAGTTACTTTCAAACTGTGATTTTTTAGATAATGTCTGGGAATTGTTAATGGTTAAATACTTACGTTTCTAATACCATATAGTATACCGTTTGGTACAACGTAGCCTCTGGTTTTTCTACTCCACATTTCTTTTATTAACTTCTGGTACGCTCTGGAAAAAAGAAAACCAAATTATTAATTATCCGATTGTAACTGGCTAAGTATCTATGTATTTCTTAAACCTCATCTGAAACCATTATAATCACGAGGTCATTTTGTCTCCTCGACCTCTGTAATAGACATGTTGACACCACCACTCAATTGACGTACTTTTTAAAACTGTCAAAATGAAACTCTCCCATAGATTTTGTATGGCATTACAAGCAAGTGACGTCACTATTTTGTCAACTCAATCAAACTACTTTTTTCAATTACAATGCGAACAAAAATCGTAATTTACAGGTAATTTAAGATGGATTAAGTTTTTAAGACCAGAATGTAGGGTCTTTTTAAAACAGTCGTGGTTTCGAATTATTGGGGTATGGTGTCAAACTGTCTATTTAGACGGCTGGCCACTTGGCTAGACGGGTTGAGGAGGCCTGATGTTTGCGTATTTTTCACTTAGCCACCTCTTATGGCATCTTCATGGGGGTTGGATGCCCATGAAACCACTTGAGTGAGTGTTTTATGTAACGCGAAACAAATCTTGAGCTGCTACGAGCAATATCAAACAAAATTATCCGGCTCGAAGGACCAACAAGTTTCGAGAAATAGACCTATTTTTTATGGTTCTATAGGAAGCACACGGCAAAAAAAATTATATCATCATCTCAGCCATAGGACGGCCACTGCTGAACATAGGCCTCCCCCAATGCTTTCCATGCTGCCCGGTTGGTAGCGGCCTGCGTCCAGCGCCTTCCTGCTACCTTTATGATGTCGTCGGTCCACCTTGTGGGTGGTTATTTCTCACTTAGCTACCTTTTATGGCATCATCATGGAGGGTAGATGGCAGATGCCAATGAAACCACTTGAGTGAGTGTTTTATGTAATGCGAAACAAATCTGAGCTGCTACGAGTAATATCAAGCAAAATTATCCGGCTCGAAGGACCGAAAAGTTTCGTGAAATAGACCTACTTTTTTATGGTTACGGCACGGCTAAAAACTATAAGATTGGACAAAAAATGTATTGTTTTGTGCTTACCGACTTAGACCCGGTTTTTTATCCGCAGCCAGCACGGAGACGGCGGCGGCGCACTCCAGGAAGTATGACGTCAGCGGCGCGGTGTTGCTGAGCGCCTGTAGCGCCGCGTTCATGTAGCACGTGTTGCCCATGTTCTGAAGCCCCACCAGCCCTGCGGGGAGCGCTGCTTGAGTTATAGCACCACTTTTGGGAGGGATTTCAGTATAACAACGAAAGAGAGAGAAGCAACGAGGGTTTCCTTAATTGCGCTCGCCAGTTGGCGCCACTGCAGCACTGGTTCTAGACACGGGCGTACCCAGAGGGGGGAAAGCCCCCTGAAAATCCCTTTGAAGGAACTAAGTCAAACCATCTGACCTAAAAAATCTACCCAGCTCCTGGCTAGGCCCTTGGTGCTAGACTGGCGATTGGAAATGCGATAGTTTTCCAACAGCTTCTGTGCTCATCGGTTGGTGCCACTGTCTTAGGCACAAGCAAATAATAAGGACCTTACTCGGTAATGGCGCCACCAATTAAGGAAACCCTCATTACATTTTATTTCAACCGCGTGGATTGAGCCTCCAGCCGTGCTAGGATACGCGCAAAGATAAAATCTTATCGACGATTTTAGACGACAATTGTATGGGCTTATAAAATGTCTCGATAAAAGTGTAACCGCGGTGCGCACTGCAGGAAGTATGACGTCAGCGGCGCGGTGTTACTGAGCGCCTGCAGCGCCGCGTTCATGTAGCAGCCGGGTTAGGATACGCGCCATGATAAAATCTTATCGACGATTTTAGACGACAAATGGGCTTATTGTGCGGAAACGACAAAACCCCGCGATAAGTCTATCCGCGGCCAGGATGGCTACCGCGGCGCACTCGAGGAAGTGTGACGTCAGCGGCGCGGTGTTGCTGAGCGCCTGCAGCGCCGCGTTCATGTAGCACGTGTTGCCCATGTTCTGCAGCCCGACCAGCCCTGCGGGGAGCGCTGCTTCAGTTATAGCACCACTGGTGGGAGGGACTTGAGAGAGAGAGAGAGAAGGAACGAGGGTTTCCTTAGTAATTGCGCTCGCCAGGTGGTGCCTCTAAACTGTCGGTAAGATTCTGTTACTGCTTATCGCTAAGACAGTCACACCATTTGCAGTCACCAATCTGGCACCACTGTCGAAAAAGTCTTATAACTGGTTAGTGTTGCCAACTGGAGAGCGCAATTAAGAAAGTCAACCGCTAGCCTAGAATGAGCCCCCAGCCGGGCTAGGATACGCGCAAAGATAAAATCTTATCGACTATTTTACATGACAAATGTATGGGCTTATAAAATGTCTCGATAAAAGTGTAACCGCGGCGGCGCACTGCAGGAAGTGTGACGTCAGCGGCGCGGTGTTGCTGAGCGCCTGCAGCGCCGCGTTCATGTAGCACGTGTTGCCCATGTTCTGCAGCCCCACCAGCCCTGCGGGGAGCGCTGCTTGAGTTATAGCACCACTGGTGGTGGGGATTTGAGTACAATGAGAGATAGAGAGAAGCAACGAGGGTTTCCTTATTAATTGCGCTCACTGTTGGCGCCACTGGCGAGTAAGGTGCCCCCCCCCCTCTGGAAGTCACTTTAAAAGAACTCAGGAAGCTGGATATGACTGGTCCCCCCCTCCCTAGTTCAGAATCTGGGTACGCCTATGATGCTAGACTGGCAATTGGAAATGTGATAGTCCTCCAACAGCTTCTGTGCTTCCACTGTCTTATGCAGAAGCAAGTAATAGGACCTTACTCGGTAATGGCGCCACCAACCCTAATTACATTTTATTTCAACCGCGTGGATTGAGCCCCCAGCCGTGCTAGGATACGCGCCATGATAAAATCTTATCGACGATTTTAGACGACAAATGGGCTTATCGTGCGAAAACGACAAAACCCCGCGATAAGTCTATCCGCGGCCAGCACAGCCACCGCGGCGCACTCCAGGAAGTATGACGTCAGCGGCGCGGTGTTGCTGAGCGCCTGCAGCGCCGCGTTCATGTAGCACGTGTTGCCCATGTTCTGCAGCCCCACCAGCCCTGCGGGGAGCGCTGCTTGAGTTATAGCACCACTGGTGATGTGAATTTGAGTACAATGAGAGATAGAGAGAAGCAACGAGGGTTTCCTTAATTGCGCTCGCCAGTTGGCGCCACTGGCGCACTGGTTCTAGACACGGGCGTACCCAGAGGGGTGACAGCCCCCTGGAAGTCCCTTTGAAGGAACTAAGTCAAACCATCTGACATAAAAAATCTACCCAGCTCCTGGCCTAGGGCTAAGCCAGAAGCTGGGTACGCCCATGGTGCTAGACTGGCGATTGCTATTGCGATAGTCAACAGCTTCTGTGCTTCCACTGTCTTATGCAGAAGTAAGTAATAGGACCTTACTCGGTAATGGCGCCAACAACTAAGGAAACCCTCATTACATTTTATTTCAACCGCGGGGAATGAGCCCTCAGCCGTGCTAGGATACGCGCCATGATAAAATCTTGTCGACTATTTTACATGACAAATGTATGGGCTTATAAAATGTCTCGATAAAAGTGTAACCGCGGCGGCGCGCTCGAGGAAGTATGACGTCAGCGGCGCGGTGTTGCTGAGCGCCTGCAGCGCCGCGTTCATGTAGCACGTGTTGCCCATGTTCTGAAGCCCCACCAGCCCTGCGGGGAGCGCTGCTTGAGTTATATCATGATAATTGGTAAAGTCTGGTCGCGGAGCACGTTGAATTTTGTCCAATGACCCCACGCTACCTATCCTTATCGCTCGCGCGTAATTATATTGCTGTCGCGACTGTGCGACAGGCGCGCTGGCGGCAGCAGTGAGTGTGCGAGCTAGAAATCTATGTGAATGAATGACGACCGAGGGAGAGAACTTACTGAAATACCCCTTACCCTACATTAAAAAATAAAGACAAAACATTTGATTACATCCCAACCAAGTCGATTGCAGAATTTGCAGATATAAAATAGGAACAAAATCGGACCATACAAACTCTTCAGCCTTATAATATTAGTATAGATTAGTCTGTACCTCTAGGGCGCGATTCGTCGTCATACTCCATATCTTCAGGGTCCAGGTCATCTTCAGAGGGCGGGGCCAGCCCGACGGAGCCGAAGCGAGCGCTCGCCCCCGGGCCCTCCATCGTCGTTGTATCTGGGCTTGCCTATAACAGATGAAATTATAATTAGATTTTAAGAAAAGAGTTTTCAATTTTATAACGAAGACTATATGTGACTCTGGCGGGATTCTTCGGGGAGGCCACTCTATGGGCCGTAATATCCCAGACCTAGGTCCTGGCCATGAATGAAATAAGAGGATGAAGAATATTTTAATATATTGTAGAATGGCCTTGCCATAATAAAAGCAATGGTAATAGAAATTGCTTTCCCATATTATCCCAATTGGAAAATAATTATTTTGAACTAGCTTAAGATAGCTTCAAATTAGTTAACGGGCACCCTATTATGATGTCACTTTCAGGAAGCTTGTGATGTTTCACAAGCTTCCTGAAAGTGTTTGTTGCTTGTGGGTTTGTTAGTTATATTAAATAATCAATTTTTTCTACACTCAAATTGGGATAGGTGAAACTATACTAACCGTAGGTTGCGCCATCTTACTTCAACTATAACAAATGTCAGTCTGTCAAACTCCAAACAAAAACATCGGTTAAAGTTAAGGTGATGTAATTCAGCTTTAGTTTGTAATAGACAAGGTTTTTGTTTAGTTAGTTTGGACTGGGCTTTTGTTATTAACTGCTGTTAATTTGCAAGGCATTGCTACTGTTGATCCATAATTTGTAATTCACGAGTCGATAACTCACCAGAGATTGTGCTAATGCAGCCCTGACGTGAACTTCCTTCTCGCACGTGTAACACCATATCCTCTCAGTCGATATGTTCATATGCACGCAGTGCGATGGGAAATTCTGAAAACAATTCAACGATTAACTAAAAGGGCTGATAAAAAAACAGTAAATAATATATCAGTCAGTAATAATTTGTTGAGATAAGTTTTTTGCGAGAAAGTGGTATCATGGATGCAATACTTGTTTAATGATGCAGCTTACTTGATAATTATTTTATTATTTTTATGCAATTAAATTGAGAGCAAGTCAAGTACTGTCGAGAACACATCAGATTTATACATTTTTGTTGCCAAATAGCCTTTATTACAATGAGATAAGACACCACAGTTTTTAGCTTGATGTGCTGTCATCTGTACATTCGAGAGCACAGAGGGTTATTAATTTTTGTAGTGAAATCTTCCTTTATACATAAGATTCCACTGTATTTATCTCAATGAGCCATCAATAAATTAAATGAAAACATAAAAAGCTCTTAACACAAGCTACTGTATGCATAAAAGGAAACTCCAAACACTGTATGTTATATAAGTACTTTTATATTGAAATAAAATATTTTGTATTTGTAATAAGAAGTCATATTTTGAACAATATTTTAGTATAGTACTAATTAGAGATGGGTTATACTAGGTAAATTTGATACTAGGTGCACCTATTCCTAGTATTTATTAATACTCGATCCAAATACCTATTCCACCTAGTACGTAGTAATTTAGCATACTTGACGCGACTAGTGCGGACTAATCCACGTAATATGACTTTAAAATACATTTTTTTTTTAAAAGATACAACCGTAGTATGAATAATGCAATTTGAAATTGAATAATAATTCCTCCCTTCATACTTCAACAGGCTTCTAGGACTGTCAACTTAAAAGTTGGCGTATTTAAAAGATATCAATTTCATAAAAATATTTACATATTTTTTCTTATTTACATGAATATGGTTTGACTACGCTTGTGTGCGTTTGCTTCGTCGCGCTCAAATTTGTTTGGTCAGACAGAGACGGAATGAATCTCTACGTTCGCACATAAGCTTAGCGAGAAATACTAGGTGCGCGTAATACACGACTACGGATTACGCAATAATAACCTCTATTACTTTGATGATAGGGTCGGAAATCGTGTAATTTATAAAATACTAGGTGGATCAAGTATTTAAAAAGTTGGAATAGGTGCCGCCTAGTACTGTAAAATACCTAGTGTGTGGATCTGTTCTAGTAAATACGTCTCATCTCTAGTACTAATGTAAACAATAACATCCTGTGTACATACTACAAAGAGAGAAGTAACCTTCAAATATAATCGATATGTGTAATGTGTGTATTCGTAATAGGCTTCATAATAATTATTTTTAATACACTAAGTTGTAGGTCATCAAAATTATTGACAAGGTAATTTTTTTTTATACCCTTACATACTTGTATGAAGTAGGTACCTAAACCTTGATTGAGCCGTGGTTTCAGTTGTTTTATTTTTCTTCAAATGATAATTTTAACTTTTATTCTCTTTGTACTATAAACATTCCAGATATCAAGAGCTAAGTGACTAAGGAGTTCTAAAATAAGAATTTACTCATGGAACAAAGACCTTTGTTCCAATAATATTCAGTTGAACTAATTGTTTGCTTTTAATTGCGCATGAAATGCTACAAAACGTCATATAAAGCTAGCAACGATTTGGCTTCAAAAATAAGAAATTCTTTGAGGGAAACTTTAAAATTGTTTGGAAGTGAAAAATATTATTTTTTGTGGCTAATTGAAAGTCTGAAGACTGCTCTCATTAATAATTGCACAATCTTTATTGAAAAAATCACTAATTATTAACACAACTGTAAATATGAAATAAATAGCTGCTAAACACTTTATAATAGAAATATGTAGTGGCAAATTCTATCACTACAATCAAGATTTCTGAAATGCGTCTTGTAAAAATATTTTTACGTTACCTTTTGATGAATGGTGCTGTGGTCATTCTTCACTTCCGAGCAACCAATGTGGTGACAATCGGGCTGCAGACAGATCCACAAGTTGGGACCCGGACAACCGCAGTCGAAACAGGTTAATGTCTGTAAAACGACAACACCTTTTACGTTTAACTTTATTCATGAAACTGAAGTTCTATAAAGGTTACGATTAATAAGATTGCAAGTGTTTGATAGGAAAAAGTTCGGAAAAACCCTCCGAAGCAACTTTGCCTCGATTGGTTGGTTTTTATTGGCTACAGAACCTTTTATATGAACGAAATCAATGTAATGATGAGAAGGAATAATTTTTCTCATTCCTCATTTGAATATTACTGTGGCTCAAGATTATAATGGAATTGAAAGATAATTTTGTTTAAAAATTAACTGCCAAATTCTGAAATTAATTCCAAGGCTAATGAAGTTTAATTTACAAGTTAGACGGACATGTTAAAAGTGTTCGAGAGAATCTAAATTTGAATATTGCACCAATTTACATCAGAACAGTCATCGAATATTTATGATTTTTTTGTTATTACAATGCACAAAAGTTAACAAAACCTCATAGAATTACAAGAATTACAAGGAAGTGTAGGCTGGTGGTAGTGCAAGGATGTCATACATAAATAAACTGTTACATAGCTGGAAAACGCACGAGCGTACTTACTCTATCAGTTGCACAATCACAACTGGACGAAAGAATGTTAATTACTTTACATTATTACAATGACATTACGATATAGGTTATGAATCAACAAAATCGGTCCCACTTACTTCTTTTGACTGCCACAACTCCTTCTCCAAAACATCCGCGAGCTTATTCAAGTGCTCACAAGTCACTCCTTTATCCATTGTCGCTAATAATTAACTAAAACCGTAAATACAACTCTTCACTGATCCACAATAGTCTTGTAAATAATGGACATTATTTTAAAGCACAGGGGGCCGAAACATTACAATTTTATTGGACAGATGAAATAGAGACAGAAAATAAGTATACAATGAAAACATTTTGAATAAAAGGCTAATAATTGAATTAGATTACAGAAATTTCCTTCAACACAAATCCTTCCGTGACGAGCGAAAAGTCAGCTCCCTATTCTGTATTTTTTTTCCTAGAGTCTGAATTAAGTTTATAATATTTGTAAGCCTATCTCTCTTTTTTACTTTTGAATAGAGCGAGACATAAATATTTCGATTTATGGAATTCAAATTCACCCTTGTACAATTTCAGAATAGGGGCCTCAGTGTTACTAGTAGTGTTGCCATAAGTGATTATTTACCACTTGACATTTTGTAAAGGTTAGTGTACACTATGATAATACATTTGTATTTATTGCATTAATTCCAAAGCGTAGAGTTGGTTAACCCAATAACCTAAAAAAAAGGTTTGATTACATTTCATCTCGTTAATATAACTGTGATAAATCAATTATCTCTGTAATATGGATATAGTTCCAAAATACTGAACTGTCCTATCGATGACATTGACAGCGGGGCGCCACCGTCAATACCGAATCGCTGGTTCCGATTTTTGCCATGTTGGAAACCATATAGTTGAACGATGGTAGCGCCCCCCTGTCATTGAGTTTGGCGGGACAGTTCAGCGTGGGTCATCTATAAGTGTGCTTTTACCTTTGTTTGAAATATTTTAATCTGTGGTGGCTAGTGTAGTATAATTCGAAAAACATCACATTATATCGGTAGTATCGATTGTAGGTTCATCAATATTAGTAGTATCGATTATATGGATACAAAATACAAATGGACTATATCGATAGTTTAAGTACTATCGGTATACTATCGATCTTTTAATGTTGATCGGCAGCACTAGTTAGTGGTTGCCATTTAAAAAAAAAGGTTTGTAAGTTGACGTCTGACGTTGACATTGACGTTTGATGTACAGTCAAATGTCAAATGACGTAATGTTTTGACTTTTGATTTGTGTACCTGTCAGTCAGCACCTACCAAGTATTTTCCTAATTAAAATTTCGCCTCGTAATTAGGCTTTAAGATATAATTTAAACTGCGATAACCTTATTAAATTTCGCAATGACTTCTGCTTCGTCGAGCAGTGCGCGATGTCTTTTTGCCGAGTCCAAACAGAGGTTAGCTGAGCGAGTGCAAGTGAACATGAATAATATTTCATCCCTGGCCCGCCAGATCCAGCGAGGATCAAAATCTAATGAGGTATTTATTATTTAGGATGTCAAACAATATTAATTATAACAACCACATTGCAAAATGTCTTATTATAAGTGCATAACTTACTGACTGAATGGCCCACTTGTATTTACCTACTTATAAATAGAATAGAATTTTATGTTAGGACAATTAGATTTAGGAGACGTAAAATACCTTGAAAAGGTCCTACATACTTTGATTTGATGTAGAAAAAGACAATATTTATATTTCTAAGGTCCTTAATATATCTCTACAATTTTGATATCTCTGATTCCAGCTCCTTTCCAAAGCAGCGCGGGAGTTTGTAACCACAGAGCACCTCATGGAAAGCACAGAAGAGAATTTGAAGAAGATGCAACTGATCTCCGTACACATGGGCTACCAGTTCGAGAACATTCACAAGTCTGCGCAGATGCTCACGCAGATTAGTGAGCAAGTCGCTGCTATGCAGAGATGATGATGTTGTTGAATATTAAGGCTTTCATTTTGCTATTATAGTACTGCTGACGACAGCACATCAAGCTGAACAAATTACTGTCTTGTCTCGTTGTGATAGAGGCTAATTTGCAACTAATATGTTTTTTCGTTGCTTGACTCAAAGAATCAGTATTTTTATTGTTGTCAGGTAATTCGCAAGTTCTAAAGACATTAATTTAATTTTTATTATTATTTCGTATACTTAAGCAAATAATTAATAAAATAAAATAGTTTTTCTGTATGCTACTGAAACTGAATATGTTATGAAGTTGCTTAATATTGTACCTTATGTTGCTACATTGTTTATTACAAAAATAAAGTAATAAGAAAATGATAACGCTTTTATTTGTATTTTATACATTAAGTACACACGACAGCACCTGAGGTTACCCATTTTTGTTGCAAACTCGCCCCTATTACAACCGCACAAGAACCCACAGTGGTTACGTATTACAAAAATAAGTTTACAAATCATTACTAAATAAGTTGCTTTATTTGTTAGAAACACTGCCAGTTTCTATTGGCGCATTCAGACAAATGTGAAAGACAGTAGGCGGCATTTTATTCTAACCCAATGTTCTAACCACACATGACAAAAAAAGGAGGCGTTCCGTTCCGCAGCGTCGTTATTTATGTTTCGGTGTCACAAAACTAAGCTAAATTACATTTCGGTGGCCGGTAACAGAAGCAAATAGCTTACTTCCTCCTACAATTAATTATTAGTACCAATTAATTAAGTTTAAATTGCTATTTAAACAAGAAACACGTTTGAAAATAGTAGGAAGACTGGTAGTGTTAAAATGCTGAATGAGCAATTAATTTCAGAGCGGCACAGGTCTGTTGCTATGACTTTGCTAATTTATCAATTCAGGCGTTGTTTATTAATTAACGTGGTTCTTATTTAATTTGTTTTGTTAATGTAATTAATTTGGTACGTAGTACGATAAATAAAACTTGCATATTTTTTATGACTACTTACATATTGCTTAGTATGAATTAATCCTAACATTTACGGGTCTGGTCTGTTAAAATGGTTTTGTAACTGCGCTCTGCGTTCTAAGTTATTCTAGTTTAGATAATTATGTTACAGTAATGACTTAATAATATCATTAGCGAAACGTTACGAATGTTAATATTTAACAACAACTTTACAATCCCTTTTAGCTATTTCAGACATGTAAAGCAGTTAGATAGATCTGTACAAAGCGCTCGTGACTGCTCAGTCGGTAGCCAGGAAGTGATGGGATCACGAGCTACTTCTAATCACTGGTGAAAGTGCTCGAGGGCTGCACTAAATCTAGATATTTTGTTTAGTAACGAGCACTGGAGCTGCTAGGTAGAGCATGGTTTATGAGTGAGGAATTCAAATTATCTACGGTTATGTATAAAATCGGTTGTCTTGATTGATCTACTTATTTATTAACAGTTTTATGGTTGTAGTTATAGCTCAGAAGTTATCTACTGAGTTTTGAAAGATTGGATATTTTCAGGTAGCTATGAATTTCGTTTGGAACTTCATTGCGACTCCTGTTGTAAAGCCAGAACCTTATAGATCCATGCTTACTAATAAAGTAAGGTGTCTATAAAACCCAAACAGCTGTTTTGGTGAATCAACGGATGAAATTAAAAGTATAACAGGATATTGAAAGTTTTTTTTCCAAAGAAGAAGCTCTTGCTTGACTGCATCTCACGTGATGGAAAGTGATGATCAGACTGAAGGTGGAAGCGAGCTTCACCTGAAATCCACTACCACACAGAAACTGGCTATCCTTCCTTTGACTTTCGGACCACAACAACGCTGTTGATATTTTTGTATAGCGAAAGACTTACAATAGACGTAGCTAGCCAGACTAACTTAGACCACCAGCAAAACTGAGAAAATTTTGCCCCCACTAGGAATAGAAGTTAGAACCCGTGACTTCTGGGTCTGAGTCAGGTGGTCTTACCACTAGACCACAGTGGCAACTCGAAGTACTTACCTATAATAACTAATAGCAACTTCGCTCCGTTGCAAAATAACTGAAACGGTAGAGGCCTACCTTTATTAGACCGTGTCACATCACAGTTCAAAGGTTAACGAAAATTCGTTGCTCTTACAAAATAAAAATTGGTACACTAAGTACCTTCGCCCTGCGTACCAAGTCGTGGGCAACAGTATTACGGTACTTACTGAGTATTATATCGTAATCATTTGTTATTCTCACGCCTACCCAAGCAGATTATAAAACGTGATATCTAGTTAAGTAATTCATGGATTGATAACTACATAACTACCTACCTACCAACCTACCTTTGCTTATATTTTTACCGTGGTATCGGTGCGGTGTTACTTGGCTATTATTTACTTGAGTTTGAATTGATTTTTGAGTAGGTATAATTTAAGTTGTTCACTCAAGTCTTTATCAAATCAACAAATCAAATAATCTATTCAGTACCTACTTAAGCCCTTTCCAGGGCACTTGTACAGTACATGTCCCAAATATAGCTTGTGTACCACCACTTCGGGACAACATGGTGATAAGAAGAAGTGGCGGAAGAAACTCACTCACCAGGAAAATATGTAGCTATCTAGGTTTTCTGAAACATTCCTTTCGGTACTCCACCTTTTTAAAAGTCCTCCTTTACCACTCCTCCTTTTTATACAGGATGTCCCAAAAACAATGGATAACCCTGTAACCATCGATAGGCCTCGCCATGGTCTCCCTAACATCCAATTTTGTATCACCGTTTTCAAGATTTTTAACTTTTTGTGCATTTTTAGAAAATTGCCACCTGCGATTACTTTTTCTCATGCCATTTTTACAAATGAGAATATTTTTCAATCTAGTTTTTTTACTTATCACAAGGGATAGTTGGGCTATCAAAAGAAAAGATTAAAGTTCAATAAAATAGTTTAAAAGTATGAAAATTTTAACAAATTGCCGAGAAGAAGGAAAAATTAATTCATTGTCTTGCACTTTTGATCAGCCACCGTGTAAAAAAATGTAGGAAGACCATCGTGCCCATTACCTTAAAAACTTCCTTGGTTAATTGAGATTCTAAAACGGTATCACAAGCCTATGTATTCTGTATTATTTTTATCTTATGGCTACTTGAATAGCAACAAGTATGAAAACTGCATAAATGAGTTTTTCTCGTAATAGTTAAACTAGGACTGCATAGTGGCATTAAATACAAATGGATAATTTTTAGCGTAGGAATTTTAATAAAGCAACATTTTATCATCATCATCATCATCATTTCAGCCATAGGACGTCCACTGCTGGACATAGGCCTGTACCCCAATGATTTTCATAATGACCGCTTGGTAGCGGCCTGCATCCAGCACCTTCCTGCTTACCTTTATGGGGTCGTCGGTCCACTTTGTAGGTGGACGTCCTACGATGCGCTTTCCGGTACGTAGCCTCCACTTGAACCCTGTTGCCCCATTGGCCGTCCGTTCTGCGTTTTTGTGATTACTTAATTTTTGTTTTAAACCTTATAAATGTGCCTATAGACAGATACTCGTGATAATACACTGCTCGGAAACGTGGATTTTTTGGACAGCGTGCTATGGAAGGGGCTGTGCTCGGGTTTCTTTACGAAATCGTATCAGAAATTAGGAGATCCGTAAACGAACTAAAGTCGCTGACATAGCTCGACGGATCAGCAAGCTGAAGTGGCAATGGGCAGGGCACAGTATTTTGCAGAACTGAGGCGGCAGGGTTAAAGTGGAGGCTACGTACCGGAAAGCGCATCGTAGGACGTCCACCTACAAAGTGGACCGACGACCTCATAAAGGTAAGCAGGAAGGTGCTGGATGCAGGCCGCTACCAAGCGGTCATTATGAAAATCATTGGGGTACAGGCCTATGTTCAGCAGTGGACGTCCTATGGCTGAAATGATGATGATGATGATGATAAAATGTTGCTTTATTAAAATTCCTACGCTAAAAATTATCCATTTGTATTTAATGCCACTATGCAGTCCTAGTTTAACTATTACGAGAAAAACTCATTTATGCAGTTTTCATACTTGTTGCTATTCAAGTAGCCATAAGATAAAAATAATACAGAATACATAGGCTTGTGATACCTTTTTAGAATCTCAATTAACCAAGGAAGTTTTTAAGGTAATGGGCACGATGGTCTTCCTACATTTTTTTTACACGGTGGCTGATCAAAAGTGCAAGACAATGAATTAATTTTTTCTTCTTCTCGGCAATTTCTTAAAATTTTCATACTTTTAAACTAGTTTGTTGAACTTTAATCTTTTCTTTTGATAGCCCAACTATCCCTTGTGATAAGGAAAAAAACTAGATTGAAAAATATCCTCATTTGTAGAAATGGCATGAGAAAAAGTATTCGCAGGTGGAAATTTTCTAAAAATGCACAAAAAGTTAAAAATCTTGAAAACGGTGATATTTTTACTGGGGTCAAAATTGGACGTTAGGGAGACCATGGTGAAGCCTATCGATGGTTACAGGGTTATCCATTGTTTTTGGGACACCCTGTATGTCTGTTAAAACAAAAAAGGGCGAACTATTTTCAATCATTCCAAGGCTCCATTTTGACCTAGATACGTGGGCATGCATTTTCATAACTCAGTCAGTTTATGTTTTTTATCAGCTGCTCTGCCCCCTACTGCAAAGGATTGGAAACGTGCTGCCTTGGACTGCTTTTGATAAAAGGACCTGAGTTTCGGCTGTTTACAATAGCCCAATTTTAGAAATCTACAAATGTAAAAAAAACTGCTGTTTAAAGTTTCACGATTCTTCAAAAAGTGTTATGATTAGGCAACTACTTCACTATAGCTAAGTAGGTATCTTAGGTTTGATCGTTTCAGCCAAATGACGTCAATTGCTGAACAAGCTCTCCCCTAAAGATTTCCACGACTTCTCCAGGGCTAGATAGGTAGGTAGAAACAACTTTAATACACCACACTCTTAAGAGAAAGAAGTAAACACACAAAAGAGACGGCACAATTTAGGTGGTTACCTCATAAAGCTATCTCTTCATGACAGACTCATGACAGACTAGAGCAGGGATGGCGAACCTTTATGTATCAACGTGCCACTTTTCCGAAAAAATGTTTGATAAAGTCTTAGACGTGCCATCAAATATCACCTAATGCTAT